ACTACACAAACAGGACCACGTCGATACACAAACAGGACCACGTCGATTTACAAACAGGACCTTCTCGCTACACAAACAGGATCACCTCATTACACAAACAGGACCACCCCACTACACAAACAGGGTCACCTCACTACACAAACAGGGTCACCTCACTACACAAAGCAGGACCACCTCGCTACACAAACAGGGTCACCTCACTACACAAACAGGGTCACCTCACTACACAAACAGGGTCACCTCACTACACAAACAGGACCACCTCGCTACACAAACAGGACCACCTAGCTACATAAACAGGACCACCTCGCTACACAAACAGGACCACCTCACTACACAAACAGGACCTTCTCACTACACATACAGGGCCACCTCGCTACACAAACAGGGAGCTCCTCACTACACAAACAGGGTTACCTCACTACACAAACAGGACCACCTAAACAGGACCACATACAGGGGCCACCTCACAAACAGCTACACAAATAGGAGCTCCTCACTACACAAACAGGACCACCTAGCTTCACAAACAGGACCACCTCACAAACAGGACCACCTAGCTACACAAACAGGGGCCACAAACAGGGTCACTACACACAAACAGGACCACCTAGCTACTCCAAACAGGACCACCTAGCTTCTCACACAAACAGGGTCACCTAGCTACACAAACAGGACCACCTCACTACACAAACAGGACCACCTAGCTACACAAACAGGACCACCTCACTACACAAACAGGACCACCTAGCTACACAAACAGGACCACCTCACTACACAAACAGGGTCACCTCACTACACAAACAGGACCACCTCACTACACAAACAGGACCACCTCACTACACAAACAGGACCACCTCACTACACAAACAGGACCACCTAGCTACACAAACAGGACCACCTCACTACACAAAGAGGGCCACCTCACTACACAAACAGGGTCACCTCACTACACAAACAGGACCACCTCACTACACAAACAGGACCACCTCACTACACAAACAGGACCACCTCACTACACAAACAGGACCACGTCGCTACACAAACAGGACCACCACACTACACAAACAGGACCACCTAGCTACACAAACAGGACCGTCCCACTACACAAACAGGACCACCTCGCTACACAAACACGGCTACCTCACTACACAAACAGGGCCACTTCGCTACACAAACAGGACCATCCCAAGCCTCACAAGCGTGATAACCTCTAGGGTCGTGTTCATGATACGGTTCAATGTCTTGCAAATAGGCCAGTTAAATCGACATCGTGATAAACAATGCATTTACGGGGACCAATCGATGATGCGAATGTTCAGTCAGTTACAGATGAACGGACACACACTGCTAGCGTCGACTCTGCACACGTTGTGGTGCTATGGGTAGTTAGTGCTTAACGCTCTCATAGCGGTTGCAGGACGCCCCTTCCATAAAAATACAACCATAGCACAAACTAACACAGTCGAATACAATTCACACGGTCACATAGCAGTAACATTTCTGTCCAAACTGGAAACAATAAACACTACGAACAGCAGTAATGACGAGTATGGCATCTTCATTCCAATAAAGGTAGTGAGTACTGAGCTGGGATTACACAAACTGGGTTACCTCACTACACAAACAGGACCACCTCACTACACAAACAGGACCTTCTCACTACACATACAGGGCCACCTCGCTACACAAATAGGAGCTCCTCACTACACAAACAGGACCACCTAGCTTCACAAACAGGACCACCTAGCTACACATACAGGGCCACCTCGCTACACAAATAGGAGCTCCTCACTACACAAACAGGACCACCTAGCTTCACAAACAGGACCACCTAGCTACACAAACAGGACCACCTAGCTACACAAACAGGGTCACCTCACTACACTAACAGGACCACCTAGCTACACAAACAGGACCACCTAGCTTCTCAAACAGGGTCACCTAGGTACACAGACAGGACCGTCCCACTACACAAACAGGACCACCTCGCTACACAAACAGGACCACACAAACAGGACCACCTAGCTACACAAACAGGACCACCTCACTACACAAAGAGGGTAGTGAGTACTGAGCTGGGATTACCTCCGCTTTGAACACCATTTCAGCCGAAGGAATTCTCTGAGATTCGACCCAGATTCCAAATGATCCTGGAAGGATTTTTGGTACCTACAATTTACGGGGCTTGGATTTGATTGCTTTCGTGACGAAGCAGAAGGAGAATGAGGATGGTTTACCTCAGTGTTCAGCAATATCGGTCATATCGGACAATTTTACCATTGGATTCCCTGGGATCCCGCCGGGACGGAGAGGCATCAGCTGGACTTACCTTGTCACTGATGCTGGACCGGAAGTAGCTGAACACAACAAATGTTATATTTGAGATTACACTTTCTCAGTAAAGTACAGATTCTTGGATTCTATTTTTGAGCTGCTTGTTTTTAAATTGTGTGCTATGCCTTTTCCTATTTGTAAATAATAATGTAATAAAAATATGTTTTTAAACAACCCGACTCATTGAAGCTTAGTACTTACAATGTCCATGTATGCAGACTTGATTTCGTCGCTATATGGCTGAGATAATGCAAATGCGACGTAAACCTCAACTCAAATCAACTCAACTCAACTTGTTGGGCTGAGTCCCATCCGAGATTTGAACCCACACTCTCAGTCAGGCACCAAATCACCAGCGCACAACGTCAGCCGTCTAATCCATTTAACCAGCAAAGCTTCCACAAATGGAAGTTGGACAACTGGTAGTTTCGACCACGGACTTTGTGTATATTTCTGATTGTAAATTGGGACTGAGAGTGTGGGTTCGAATCCCGGATGGGATTCAACCCAACAAAAATGCTAGAATCTGTACTTTACCGAGAAAGTGTAATCACAAACACTTGCTACATTTGACCACTTCCTAAATGACATTGCGTATTCATGGTTGAATGCCGCCCTGAACTAAGTCAGACGTTGCCGCCATTTATGTCCTGACAGTATCCAAGTGTCCGTGCTACAGGAAGATGAACGTGCTTTTGGGAAAGTGAGAAAAGTAAGTTTATGTCAGACATATCTACTTAGTTGTTGACAGTATACTATCACTCGTGCTGTAAGATACATGATGAACTCTGCCGGTGATTGTAGACGGATTACTTCTTATTAACGGATCACAACAGCAGCTGTTTATAGACCCACAGAATCTTCCACATCGAACGTATTAGCAGTTAGTTCAGGCAGTACACATCTCATGTTCATGTAGGTACCTCTGCAGATGTTGTTTATGTCGTCACTTAGGTCAAGCTCCCAGTCAAGCATTAAAGCAGGATTGTGTACATCTGTGGCTCAATAACACCCTCACCGATTTGTAGAGATTGTTAGGGCAGCTCCTGTTCCGTCCGTCCGTCCATTCCGCCTTGTTAAGCTTTGTGAGAAGTCTTTTTATGAGTATGCAATGAAAACTGACGGTAAAATGGAAAGGTCTAGTGGCGTTTCATTGGCCAAATACTTCATGAATTTGAAATTCGCCTGCATATAAGAAGAAATTTAAATTATTGCGTGGCACCAGTGTCGTGTGTGTGTGTTATTTTTGTGTGCTTTATCTGCGTCTTCGAATTATAACTGAACCTTAGTGAATAACCGAACCGCTTCAAAAAGGTACAATGTGGAAGATAGTGATAATTATTTGATACAACCAAACCGAAAATTGTCATGGTATCGGAAACGATGTGATCACATTAGCACTGTTTCGTCGGTCTGAAAACCGCCAACTAATTTGCCAAATAGCAAGTCTATATTCAAACGTCATGGAGTTTCAGAAAACAATGTGACATCACTTCCAAGGCGATCCTCGTGTTAAGCAATGGCCAGTTTGGGAACAACACCGCTAGAGTGATGAGCTCCAGTGGTCATCATCACACAGACAAGTGTCAGAGAGATTACACTCACTGACGATTGCAATTGTTGCGTGGACAGATTATTTATCAATAAATCACGAGTTGAATTCAGAAGCAGGATCATGAACACGGAGATGGTCGTGTTCGGTGGGCAGAGATGCAGCATATACATTTATCAATATCAGGGCACCTGCGATCTTAGTGCTGGGGTGATCGTAACGCCCATAGCTGAACACATCTCATACGACAGTTGCTTAACAGATGTCATGCTCCTAGTACCTGATGTACGGTGTGTCACATGCGCAACTAATTGCCATTGTTGATATCATCAATGAAGTCATCCTTGAAGTTTAGTATCGAACCTCAAAGGCCTTGGTAGGTATTTTTTCATTTAATACCTGATGTACAGTGTGTTACATGCGCAATTAATTGCCATGCATGTGTATCAATCGTACTCGTGAGTCATTAGTCACTTCCACATGGCGCCATACGTCGTGATAGCCGACCACGTGTAACCTAACACGTGTTGACATACTCGCAGAGTAAACATATAGAACTTGACCCATCACTGCGTCAGCACGGGAAGATAATTTATATATACTCATGGTAATGAATAAGGGAACACACGAAAGTACAAGTGTTCCTTTATTCTTTTCCAGGTTTCTTCACAAGGTATGTATTGAAATTCTGGAAATAAATAACAAAACACTTATACTTTAATGAGTTCCCTTATTCGTTCCTATGAGTATATTATAAGTAATGCCGGAGAGATGGTGCCACATTGAAGAGTATATGAACAGAGTTTGTCGATTGACCTGACGGGTGTCCGACAAGGATGTTTGTTGTTGTGTTAGTCCTTTACTTTACTAATATTCATTATCACATACACATGCAAATCAAATAGTGCTAAGTCTCCTTATTTACACATGCATGTTTTTTCACATAAACTAAAATGGATATGGACGAGATTGTGCAGTGCTCGTTGAGGAGGTAAAATATAATCACTAACCTTCCCAGATCATCAAGCTTACATAGCAACGCAGCATACATGGGTGTGTGGTTGACGGGGACACCCGAAAACAGCAAGACCATCGATCTACACAACTGGGATACGATAATATGTGTCATCCATGTCAGTGAGACAGACCACCCGATCCCGTTAGTCGTGTCATACGACAAGCTTGGTTACTGAAGACCACGGGTACTGTACCAAAGAATGCATTAAGGATATTGTATTGGGGAGAATTGATCCGACATTTATGAATGGTAATACGCATGGGGCTTTGAGGAGTTGGAGAAGTTGAAAATGTTACATTTTGTGGAGGATTCCTCAATGCTATAAATCCAGAGCATGAGGAACAAAGCCAATATATCAGAGGTCATTATATATCTAATGATGAAACATTGGAAATTGCATCTGGAAACACGATTAATGAAAAAGAGATGTTTATAAAAGAGGTATTTAGTGTATTATAGTGAGCAAAATAACCTAGACAGAGGTGGAACGCGACAATCTTCGGGTATAATCTGAAGTGACCAGAGAGTTATCACGAAGTCAGTAACACAGACACTCTGTGTTGTAGAAACCGACTAAGACGCTGGTATGTCCCTAACGAGGACGCTGATATCAATACCATCACAGGGTAATGTGAGGGCAGCGTCATTGGACTATAAACTTCCTAGCCACCATTAGGGGTACATCATCATGGATGGTGTTCTTGTGTTGCTGGTGGTCATCGCCCCCGTGCTCACGTCGACAGACCTCGATAGTTGTGTCACGCGGAGGGAGTATGCACACCTGCAGCAGAGGGTTTACGCCATCGAGAACATGCAGCTTAATACAGGTAGGACTGCCATGAAGGGTAGACGACCCCGAGGTAATGCGGAGAGGTGTGATGCAGAATATAACGCAGGAGAGGGGTGATGCAGAATAGAAGACAGGAGAGGGGTGATGCACAATAGAACACAGGAGAGATGTGATGCAGGATAGAACACAGGAGAGGTGTGATGCAAAATAGAACGCAGGTGAGGTGTGATGCAGAATACAAGACAGGAGAGGCGTGATGCAGAATAGAACACGGGAGAGGTGTCATGCAGAAAAGAAAGCTGGTGAGGTGTGATGCAGAAAAGAAAGCAGGTGAGGTGTGATACAGAATAGAACGCAGGTTAGGTGTGATGCAGCATAGAACACCGGAGAGGTGTGATCCAGAATAGAAAGCAGGTGAGGTGTGATGCAGAATATAAAGCAGGCGAGGTGTGATGCAGAATATAAAGCAGGCGAGGTGTGAAGCAGAAAAGAAAGCAAGTGAGGTGTGATACAGAATAGAACACAGGAGAGGGGTGATGCAGAATAGAACACAGGAGAGGTGTGATGCAGAATAGAACACAGGAGAGATGTGATACAGAATAGAACACAGGAGAGGGGTGATGCAGAATAGAACACAGGAGAGGGTGATGCAGAATAGAACACAGGAGAGGGTGATGCAGAATAGAACACAGGAGAGGGTGATGCAGAATAGAACACAGGAGAGGGGTGATGCAGAATAGAACACAGGAGAGGGGTGATGCAGAATAGAACACAGGAGAGGGGTGATGCAGAATAGAACACAGGAGAGGTGTGATGCAGAATAGAACACAGGTGAGGGGTGATGCAGAATAGAACACAGGTGAGATGTGATGCAGAATAGAACACAGGAGAGGTGTGATGCAGAATAGAACACAGGAGAGGTGTGATGCAGAATAGAACACAGGAGAGGGATGATGCAGAATAGAACACAGGAGAGGGGTGATGCAGAATAGAACACAGGAGAGGGGTGATGCAGAATAGAACACAGGAGAGGGGTGATGCAGAATAGAACACAGGAGAGGGGTGATGCAGAATAGAACACAGGAGAGATGTGATACAGAATAGAACATTTGTGAGGGGAGATGCAGAATAGAACACAGGAGAGGGGTGATGCAGAATAAAACACAGGAGAGGGGTGATGCAGAATAGAACACAGGAGAGGGGTGATGCAGAATAGAACACAGGAGAGGCTGGATGCAGAACAGAACATTTGAGAGGGGAGATGAAGAATAGAACACAGGAGAGGGGTGATGCAGAATAGAACACAGGAGAGGTATTATACATGATAGAACACAGGAGAGGTGTGATGCAGAATAGAACACAGGAGAGGGATGATGCAGAATAGAACACAGGAGAGGTATTATACATGATAGAACACAGGAGAGGGGTGATGCAGAATAGAACACAGGAGAGGGATGATGCAGAATAGAACACAGGAGAGGGGTGATGCAGAATAGAACACAGGAGGGGTATTATACATGATAGAAACAGGAGAGGTGTTATACATTATAGAACGCAGGAGAGGGGTGATGCAGAATAGAACACAGGAGAGGTATTATATATGATAGAACACAGGAGAGGTGTCATGCAGAATAGAACACAGGAGAGGTGTCATGCAGAATAGAAAGCAGGTGAGGTGTGATGCAGAAAAGAAAGCAGGTGAGGTGTGATGCAGAATAGAACGCAGGTGAGGTGTGATGCAGCATAGAACACAGGAGAGGTGTGATGCAGAATAGAACGCAGGTGAGGTGTGATGCAGAATAGAAAGCAGGTGAGGTGTGATACAGAATAGAACACAGGTGAGGGGTGATGCAGAATAGAACACAGGATGAGGTGTGATGCAGAATAGAACACAGGAGAGGGGTGATGCAGAATAGAACACAGGAGAGGGGTGATGCAGAATAGAACACAGGAGGGGATGCAGAATGAGAATAGAACAGGAGGTGTCATGCAGAATAAAACACAGGAGAGGGTGATGCAGAATAGAACACAGGAGAGGGGTGATGCAGAATAGAACACAGGAGAGGGTGATGCAGAATAGAACACAGGAGAGGTGTGATGCAGAATAGAACACAGGAGAGGTGTGATGCAGAATAGAACACAGGAGAGGCTGGATGCAGAATAGAACATTTAAGAGGGGTGATGAAGAATAGAACACAGGAGAGGGGGTGATGCAGAATAGAACACACAGGGGAGGGGTGATGCAGAATAGAACATTGGGAGGGTGTGATGCAGAATAGAAACAGGAGGAGGGATGTGATGCAGAATGGGAAACAGGAGGGTGATGCAGAATAGAACACAGGAGAGGGGTGATGCAGAATAGAACACAGGAGAGGGGATCAAGAATGATGCAGAATAGAACACAGGAGAGGGTGTGATGCAGAATAGAACACAGGAGAGGTGTGATGCAGAATAGAACACAGGAGAGGGTGTGATGCAGAATAGAACAACACAGGAGAGGGATAGATGCAGAATAGAACACAGGAGAGAGGGTGATGCAGAATAGAACACAGGAGAGGGTGTGATGCAGAATAGAGGGTGATGCATAATAGGGTACAGGAGGGTGGATGCAGAAGAGAACACAGGGAGGGGTGATGGGAGAATGCAGAACACAGGAGAGGTGTGATGCAGAATACAAGACAGGAGGAGCAAGTGATGCAGAGAATAGAACACAGGAGAGGTGTCATGCAGAATAGAAAGCAGGTGAGGTGTGATGCAGAATACAAGACAGGAGAGGCGTGATGCAGAATAGAACACGGGAGAGGTGTCATGCAGAATAGAAAGCTGGTGAGGTGTGATGCAGAATAGAAGCACAGTGATGCAGGAGGTGTGATGCAGAATAGAACACAGGCAGGTGAGGTGTGATGCAGAATAGAACACAGGTGAGGTGTGATGCAGAATAGAACACAGGTGAGGTGTGATGCAGAATAGAACACAGGAGAGGTGTGATGCAGAATAGAACACAGGTGAGGTGTGATGCAGAATAGAACACAGGAGAGGTGTGATGCAGAATAGAACACAGGAGAGGGTGATGCAGAATAGAACACAGGGAGGGTGGAGGTGTGTGATGCAGAATAGAACAGCAGGAGAGGTGTGATGCAGAATAGAACACAGGAGAGGTGTGATGCAGAATAGAACACAGGAGAGGTGTGATGCAGAATAGAACACAGGAGAGGTGTGATGCAGAATAGAACACAGGTGAGGGGTGATGCAGAATAGAACACAGGTGAGGTGTGATGCAAGAATAGAACACAGGTGAGGTGTGATGCAGAATAGAACACAGGTGAGGGTGTGATGCAGAATAGAACACAGGTGAGGGTGTGATGTGAACGCAGGTGCAGAATAGAACACAGGAGAGGGTGATGCAGAATAGAACACAGGAGAGGTGTGATGCAGAATAGAACACAGGAGAGGTGTGATGCAGAATAGAACACAGGAGAGGGTGATGCAGAATAGAAACACAGGAGAGGTGTGATGCAGAATAGAACACAGGAGAGGGTGATGCAGAATAGAACACAGGAGAGGGGTGATGCAGAATAGAACAGGAGAGGGTGTGATGAGAAAGAACAGTGAGGGGGTGAATAGAACAGAGGAGGAGAGGGTGATGCAGAATACAGGAGAGGAGGTGTGATGCAGAATAGAACACAGGAGGGGTGTGATGCAGAATAGAACACAGGAGAGGGTGTGATGCAGAATAGAACACAGGAGGTGAGGTGTGATGCAGAATAAAACACAGGAGAGGGGTGATGCAGAATAGAACACAGGAGAGGTGTGATGCAGAATAGAACACAGGAGAGATGTGATACAGAATAGAACACAGGAGAGGTGTGATGCAGAATAGAACACAGGAGAGGTGTGATGCAGAATAGAACACAGGAGAGGGATGATGCAGAATAGAACACAGGAGAGGGGTGATGCAGAATAGAACACAGGAGAGGGGTGATGCAGAATAGAACACAGGAGAGGGGTGATGCAGAATAGAACACAGGAGAGGGGTGATGCAGAATAGAACACAGGAGAGGGGTGATGCAGAATAGAACACAGGAGAGGGGTGATGCAGAATAGAACACAGGAGAGATGTGATACAGAATAGAACACAGGAGAGGGGTGATGAAGAATAGAACACAGGAGAGGGTGTGATGCAGAATAGAACACAGGAGAGGTATTATACATGATAGAACACAGGAGAGGTGTGATGCAGAATAGAACACAGGAGAGGGATGATGCAGAATAGAACACAGGAGAGGGGTGATGCAGAATAGAACACAGGAGAGGTATTATACATGATAGAACACAGGAGAGGGGTGATGCAGAATAGAACACAGGAGAGGTATTATACATGATAGAACACAGGAGAGGTGTGATGCAGAATAGAACACAGGAGAGGGGTGATGCAGAATAGAACACAGGAGAGGTATTATACATGATAGAACACAGGAGAGGGGTGATGGAGAATAGAAAGCAGCTGAGATGTGATGCAGAATAGAACACAATAGAAGTGTGATGCAGAATAGAAAGCAGGTGAGGTGTGATGCAGGAAGAAAAAGCAGTTGATGTGTGATACAGAATAGAACGCAGGTGAGGTGTGATGCAGAATAGAACGCAGGTGAGGTGTGATGCAGAATAGAACGCAGGTGAGGTGTGATGCAGAAAACAAAGCAGGTGAGGTGTGATGCAGAAAAGAAAGCAGGTGAGGTGTGATGCAGAATAGAACGCAGGTGAGGTGTGATGCAGAAAAGAAAGCAGGTGAGGTGTGATGCAGAATAGAACACAGGAGAGGGGTGATGCAGAAACGAAAGCAGCTGAGCTGTGATACAGAATAGAACACAGGTGAGGTGTCATGCAGAATAGAACACAGGAGAATGCAGAAAGACGAAAATGCAGCTGAGCTGTGATACAGGAGAGGTGTCATGCAGAATAGAACACAGGAGAGGTGTCAGGGGTGATGCAGGAATAGAACACAGGAGAGGGGTGATGCAGAATAGAACACAGGAGAGGTGAACACAGGAGAGCTGTGATGAGAATGACGGAACTGAACTGAGTTTGGTTTTACGCCGCTTTTAAGCAATATTCCAGCAACATCACTGCGGGGACACCATAAGAGCTTCACACATTGTGCCCATGTGGGATTCGAACTGATGAACACACAAGAGAGGGGTGATGCAGAATAGAACACAGGTGAGGGGGGATGTGAATAGAACACAGGAGAGGTGTGCTGCAGAGTAGAACGCAGGTGAGGTGTGATGTAGAAAAGAAAGCAGGAGAGGTTTGATGCAGAATAGAACACAGGAGAGGGGTGATGCAGAATAGAATGTGTTTGAACGCGTGTGATGCAGGATATGTGCTGAGACACGTGTGATGCAGAATAGAATGCGTTGAGTATATTTTACAGGAACATGTACGTGATGAGTTCATGTTTCCAGGCAGGAGTTCAACACACTGACTAATCTGTACCGTCTGGTCTAAGGAAAAGATAAAAAATATGTTTGGATTTCAAAAAGTGGGCTTCAACTAAAGACGAAGTTGTGGACCAGTTGTCAGATAAAGATGCATATAAAGCAGACCTTTGAAATCCTATTTTAAGTAGTTTTTCAGACATGGATGTTTCATGACAGTTGATAACCCGGACCTAGGCAACTGTCTCACGCAGCACTTGTAACTGTGGTGACAATCACCTGCATGTCGTTCTCTCCTCAGGTGAAGCAGGTGGAGTGTCTTTCGCTGCCACACTGACAACATCCGTTCAGCTGAAGGAAAACGCCACCATCGTCTTCGACAACGTCCTACTCAACACCGCCGAGGCCTACAACTCCTCCAACGGCGTCTTCACGGCCCTCTTCTACGGCATCCACTTCTTTAGCGCAACAATCAGAGCCGATAATAACACTGCTCTCACGACGGGCATTGTAAAAATACGAGGGTTGTAGCCCGAATTGCGTCCAAATCCCCTCACGGTGATGGGCAGGGGTCAGCAAGCATCACCCTCAATCTCTACCCCGGGGACCAAGTGTGGGTGCAGGCGGATCAGGATGGATCAGGGTATCTCAGGGCCCAATCGGGGTGGAATATCTTTACCGGGTTTCAACTAAACTCATATAACGGGCGCCGTCATGGGGTGGAACTTCAAACGGCGGAACCTAAAGACTTTTCCGTTCAATAATAAAGTGGTGTTAAATATAAGATTAGTGTTGAGTGATTTCTTTACTGAAATTCACTCCAAATACCGAACTGACGCTGATGTATTTGTCCCCGTGTTTATTACCCTCCTTACAGTACCATGTACAACTTCCAGATCACCAACCATGTTGCTTTATAAGGTGTTGTGCACGAGCAATGACGTCATTGCTGTAGTCGTTGCCAGTTGTTCCGACGTCAAGGCGAGACCATGTAGCAACGTTGCCAACCCCAGCGTTATAGGCTGACACACCGCCTACAGATGAAACGGGAAAGAGTTTAAAACGTCAGTCCGTCGACTTTTAATTCGTTAAAACGGTTACCATAACACCACGTTTTACTCCCGTAAATAATGCTGTAGTGAATACCTATGACTGTGTTTCTGTGACCTGGAATGGTATTATGCATAGTGAGTGAGTGATTTCGGTTTTACGCCGTTTCTAGCAATACTAAAGCAATATCACGGCGGGGGACACCAGAATTGTGGGGAATGGAGCCCGGGTCTTCGGCGTGAACACTTTAACTACTCGGCTAACGCACTGCCTTGTGTTACACATAATGTGATACTGAACCTGCAGATTGGCGGTACCATAGTTAAAAGCTGGTGGCGTGTACCTTGCATTTGTTGTTCGGGTGACCAGGTGGGGTGCTTGGCCTTGACCTGCTTTATGTACGGCACCAGGATCACTCTGGTCATCTGGTCAATGTGGTCACAGCTGTCCCACGAGTACCTCTCGCACGTGGAACCCAGGCCGGAAGCATACACGTCACACTGGAACGGGAGACACCGGTCATGCATCTGTCTGTGTTGCCATTGTAGCCTTCATCTACCGAGAAACTATTTTCTCAACCTACTGAGGTTTGTTCCTTATTCAATGTGGTTTGCAGTGGCCTACAGTCTGAACACCTAGGATGCCGAGGAAGGTATCACATCCCTACTGCAATGCTGCCAGTTGTCGTGTCTATTTTCATAACTTGGATGACCACCCATCTGCATTATACCCTAGACGTGGTGCAGGTCCCACCCCCTATAGCACGTTATACTCCTCAACATAACGTCCCACATCCTGTTGCGCATCCGATTCACCTGCATGATGCCCCAACCCTTTAACACGCTCTACGTACTTGCATCATGCCCCCCCCCTTATAACAAGCTCTACGTACCTGCATGATGCCCCACCCCTATAACAAGCTCCACGTACCTGCATGATGCCCCACCCCTATAACAAGCTCTACGCACCTGCATGATGCCCCACCCCTATAACAAGCTCCACGTACCTGCATGATGCCCCACCCCCATAACAAGCTCTACGCACCTGCATGATGCCCCACCCCTATAACAAGCTCTCCACGTACCTGCATGATGCCCCCCACCCCTATAACAAGCTCTACGTACCTGCATGATGCCCCACCCTATAACAAGCTCTACGTACCTGCATGATGCCCCACCCCTATAACAAGCTCTACACACCTGCATGATGCCCCACCCCATAACAAGCTCTACGTACCTGCCACCCCACCTATAACAATAACAAGCTCTACGTACCTGCATGATGCCCCACCTATAACAAGCCCTACGTGTACCTGCATATAACAAGCTCTACACACCTGCATGATGCCCCACCCCTATAACAAGCTCTCTACGTTACCTGCATGATGCCCCACCCCTATAACAAGCTCTACTCACCTGCATGATGCCCCACCCCAAGCTCCGTACCTGCATGATGCCCCACCCTATAACAAGCTCTACGCACCTGCATGATGCCCCACCCCTATAACAAGCTCTACGTACCTGCATGATGCCCCACCCCTATAACAAGCTCTACGTACCTGCATGATGCCCCACCCCTATAACAAGCTCTACACACCTGCATGATGCCCCACCCCTATAACAAGCTCTACGCACCTGCATGATGCCCCACCCCTATAACAAGCTCTACACACCTGCATGATGCCCCCCTATAACAAGCTCTACCCGGTACCTGCACCTGCCCCACCCCATAACAAGCTCTACATGCCCCACCCCTATAACAAGCTCCACGCACCCGGCTTAACCTGCATGACCTGCATGATGCCCCACCCCTATAACAAGCTCTACGCACCTGCATGATGCCCCACCCCTATAACAAGCTCTACGTACCTGCATGATGCCCCACCCCTATAACAAGCTCTACGCACCTGCATGATGCCCCACCCCTATAACAAGCTCTACGCACCTGCATGATGCCCCACCCCTATAACAAGCTCCACGTACCTGCCTGATGATGCCCCACCCTATAACAAGCTTCTACTGCACCTGCATGATGCCCCACCCTGCCGATGCCCCACCCCTAACAAGGCTCTACGTGCATGATGCCCCACCCCTATAACAAAACCCTTACCTCACCTGCATGCCATGCCCCACCCCATAACAAGCTCTACGCACCTGCATGATGCCCCACCCCCATAACAAGCTGATGCCCCACCCCTATAACAAGCTCTACTCACCTGCATGATGCCCCACCCCTATAACAAGCTCTACGTACCTGCATGATGCCCCACCCCTATAACAAGCTCTACACACCTGCATGATGCCCCACCCCTATAACAAGCTCTACATTACCTGCATGATGCCCCACCCCTATAACAAGCTCTACACACCTGCATGATGCCCCACCCCTATAACAAGCTCTGCACGTACCTGCATGATGCCCCACCCCTATAACAAGCTCTACGTACCTGCATGATGCCCCACCCCTATAACAAGCTCTACGCACCTGCATGATGCCCCACCCCTATAACAACCTCCATGATGTACCTGCCCTATAGATGCCCCCACCCCTATAACAAGCTCCACGTGCCCTATAACAAGCTCTACGCACCTGATGCCCCACCCCTATAGCAAGCTCTACACACCTGCATGATGCCCCACCCCTATAACAAGCTCTACGCACCTGCATGATGCCCCACCCCTATAACAAGCTCTACGCACCTGCATGATGCCCCACCCCTATAACAAGCTCTACGCACCTGCATGATGCCCCACCCCATAACAAGCTCTACGCACCTGCATGATGCCCCACCCCTATAACAAGCTCTACGCACCTGCATGATGCCCCAGGCGTGGTGGTGGTCGCCCCATCCCCCGGTGCTGTACAGCAGTTTTCCTCCCCGTGTTTCACGACTGGCGACGCCGGCGACTACGGCAGGGTGGATACCTGGAGTGACAGTAGAAGTCCTTGCACTGACCTTGCACGAACACTTTGCCAGTTGTCATTTGACAATGAAATTATCGACCTCCATGTACCCCCATGAAAGAAATAATGCTGAACCCAAGAAGATATAACTTGAATCGATTTCATAGAATATCATGGATCAGTTTACGGTGTCCCGAACGTACAGTTATTAGCTCCGGCCCTCACGTAGCAAGATTTCCGCTTGTTGAGTTCGGCGTAGTCCTGGTCAACCATATGATTGGAGGCCTGCACACCTGGAAACAAACCATGGTTGGCTTCGTGAGTTCGTATATACCTGGTCTCACGGGGCACAACCAGGACCTAAATCTTCAAACCTAGATCCAGTCACATTTCCATACCCAGAATTTACTTCTCAACATTGCATAAAATATACATGGTCGCCAACCCCAGCGTTCCCTGTCTTCCATAGCCCTCTGACTGAAATAATAGTTTACATACGCTGAACCAGAGCAGGATACAAATCTTGATATTCACCGCCCATTTGAGTCGTCAGCTTACCCGAATTACCTACGAGAGTAATAACCTCCTTCTCATAAGTGGTAAACATACATCAGCCCTCCCTACCTTCCTGAGTGGTTGACATATCTCACCCTGACCTTACCTTACCTTATAAACTAGCGTCCAAAAGAAACGCCACCACACAGTTTTCTTCACTAAAACACAACAAAAGCAAATTATGGTAACAAGAAGTATTGTATTGTAAAACACAATCAGTCAGCAACAATTTTCAGTTAGAAAAACGAAACAGTTCGTGTTCTGAAGGCACATGGATGACACAGGAGTCAGTGTCCAGTATTCGATCGCCAACGCTGATTCGTCTTTAAGGTCTCAAACTGTCCTGAACAACACAGATGATTCAGTATCGTGTGTGGCCACCCCTAGCAGTGATGCAGGCTCTAACGCGGCGTCGAACTGAGTATGTGAGCCTTCTGACGTCATCATTAGGGATTCGGCGCCATTCCTCTTGCAGGGCAACTGCCAAAGCGTCCCTAGTCAATGGCGGCTGTTGACGTTTCCGAATACGTTGCCCCAGTTGGTCCCAGAGGTGTTCGATTGGAGACAGATCGGGTGATCTCGCTGGCCACTGTAGCAGGTTGACGTTGTATTGTTAGTGTTGAGGAAGTCACTAGTGATCCGAGCTGTGTGAGGTGTGGCGCTGTCCTGTGGAAACAGAGTCCTTGGGTGACGTTGCAGGTAAAGCAGCACCACAGGCCGTAAAATCTCGTCGATGTAACGACGTGCGGTGAGATTACCGTTGATGATGACGAGATCTGTCTTTTGGTCCCCACAAATTCCGACCCAGACCATAACGCTTTCACCGCCGTAATGCTCCACTTCTTGGATGCAAGCAGGTGCCGTCCGTTCGCCCCGACGTTGGTAGATTCGAACACGGCCATCAGATTTGAAGAGCTGGAACCTGCTCTCGTCACTGAAGAGAACTCTTCGCCAGTTTCGCTGCTGCCACTGCATTACGGTCCTGGCCCACCTCAATCTGGCACGTCGGTGTCGGAGCGTTAACGTCATGCCCTTGAAAGGTCGATAGGCACGAATACCATGCTGACGGAGTCGTCTTGCTACGGTCTGTCTGCTGACTGCATGTCCAAGGCTATTGGCGTTTGATGACGTCACAGTGACGTAGCGGTTTCTCAGATGAAGCACCCATAAATATCGATCTTCCTGTGGGGTCGTGACCTTGGGTCTGCCACTCCTGTCTGTGACGTGTGACAAGTCTGGCGATGGTGGACTTGCAGCATCCCATGATCCTGGCCACGTGCTGCTGTGTTGCGCCCATCTGAAGCATACCAATTGCTCTTTCCCTCTGTTCTTTGGTCAGTCGAGGCATGTTGGCTGGTTTCAATCGTGTCAAATGATTACGGGTAACTTTGAGCACAATTTCCATTTTTTCTGTGCGAATTCATTTAACTCACCAATCATCAAAATCTCGTGCACTTGTTCACTGGGAATAGACAGGTTGTGTTCGAGGGATGTGTTTTCAGCCGTTTTTGAGCAGATTAACAATTATTTTGACAATTTATGATAATTTCTATTTTGGTGACGTATCTGTTGGACGCTAGTTTATGTCTTACCAACCTGAGACCCAAGTATACCATTATAATCGATACCTCCCCAAAATTCCAATACACCCCTTGCCAACCTACCTCTACCAAAATACCTCTACCCACTCTACCTACCCGTTTCCAACACACCCCTTGCCAACCTACCTCTACCCACTCTACCTACCCGAGTTTCCAACACACTCCTTGCCGACCTACTTCTACCGACATACCTCTACCCACTCTACCTACCCGTTTCCAACACACCCCTTGCCAACCTACCTCTACCAACATGCCTCTACCCGCTCTACCTACCCGAGTACCCCAAGCCCGAGGACGTTCTAGTGCTGGCTCCGGTTGGGTGTAACTTCATCACGTCGCCATAACAATTGTAGTTGCTGGAAGCTGAAACAGTTAACAGTCATAAATTATATAGCTGCTAGTTGAAGTTGTTTGGGTTTTTGTTTGTTCATATGTTTGATTTTTTTGCCCTCACCTTGTGGTGAAAGCATTTGCCCGTCACGCCGAAAACTCGATTTACTTCCTCACATGTGTCAGTACACGTCGGTTGTCTCTCACTGTGATATTGCTGGAACACTTCTACCAGGGACGTGAAGCCATGTTTGCTCACTCGCCACTAGACTTGCACAAGTCTATAAGACATTATTTAATATTTTAAATGATAATTCCTTAAAAATTGATAACAGGCTGGCGTCTGTCCGCTTATCTAGAATGACTATACATCCATGGGCTCAGCTTTCATTACAGCCTTGGAGCATGGGTCACTCGCCACCAGCTCACCAGCTCACATATTCACCAACGCAGAGCCCTACACAACACCTACATCCAAAGGTGTCCTGGTTAAACAGAAATATTAGAGAGACACCTACATCCAAAGGTGTCCTGGTTAAACAGAAATATTTGACAGACACCTACATCCAAAGGTGTCCTGGTTAAACAGAAATATTAGACAGCCATCAGAGATCGTGGCCGAAGAGAGACAAACACCGACACAATACCTACATCCACAAGTGTCATGGCTGAAGCAGCAGACGTTACTTCCGGAGCAGAGACTGGCCACCATGAAGCTGTTGGCGCAGCAGCTCGCCTTCATACACCCGACTCCCTGAGATCCCGCATGGGTACCCGTCAGCACGTGCGATGTACAGGCATCACCTTACAAAATAAATACTGTCTGCGTCATACTGGTGGAAAGAGAATTTTGGATAAGTGGGGATGATATTGCCATTCAGTAATCGTGTAAGTCTATTCTATTGAAGTATGCATATCACCAGTAGAGTCAGTCAAAGAGGAGGATCCAAAATTCTGGAAAAGTGCCTTTAGTTTACCCTTTCACATATAAATTCCAGACCTAAACAAACTTTGGGGTAAGGGATGTTGTAGGCTGAGGGTGCGGCACAACACAAATCGCTTCTGGATCCACCTTACCAGTATTTACGCAGGTCCTAAATTTAGAAATTTAAAGTACATTTAGAACTTTCCGAGGCTATATATTCATATTATAAATATTCCAGAAACTGTGGAAATAATATCCTTGAAAACAATTCCATGGAAATCTTTTACCTAAGATATTGCTTCCCAGGAAATTATCTTCAGGGGGGCTATACAGTATGACCAGAAATTATTGAGAATTTTAGGAATATGTTTAATTGGATTTCTAGTATAAACAACCTTGACCAGCTATCTAGTGCTTGGTTTCATTCAAGAGAGACAACTCCGTTAATCCTTTTTCATTAGTTTGTGAAGAGTTATTCCCCTTTGTTTACTTGCTAGCAGACGACATTTTGAGTGATCCTCAGTATGGATGATTTAGAGAAGAGGAAGTTGATTTTAGAATATTATAACAAGGACATCAGATCAGCTAAAGTGATTTCAAGTAGAACAGGCATCCCTTTGTCCACTGTTTATCGTGTTTTGAAAAATATTGCAAATGGATATGACATTGAGCACCAGGGAGGCGCAGGTAGGCCCAGAAAATTGACTGTCGGTGACAGGAGGCGGCTTGGTATTCTTGTTTCTAAAAACAAACGAAGGAGTTTAGAAAACTTAAGGCTGGATATGATTGATAGAGGAACTGTGGCTGTCTGTAAGGAGACAATTAGAACTGAGCTGCATGCAAAGGGTTGGCAGAAAAGTCAAGGAATTCCATCACCGATCATGAAACCTGAACAAAAGGAGCGAAGTTGAACTGGTGCTTACAGCATAGAAATTTGCCTACTTATTTACTTACAGCACTGGGACAATGTGATTTTCTCAGATGAAAGTTCTGTGTGGCTGTTTCCTAATACACTGAAATTCTGGACCAAACAAACTGAAAAACCTTTGTATCAGCGCCCAAAGTACAGTCCGAAATTTAACGTGTGGGGTGGCATATCTGTGTTTGGGGCAACGCCCCTCTGTGTATTTGAAGGGAATATTAACAGTTAGCGGTACGACAGATATTCTCGAGGGACATTTACTTCCATCTGCTCACGTGTTCTATGGAAAGTGTTTGGATTTTCCAGCAGGACAACGACCAAAAACAACGTTCAAAGCATTCACAGGCCTGGTTTCGGACCCAAAATATGACATTATTAGATTGGCCAAGCTATAGCCCTGACCTAAATCCAATAGAAAATGTTTGGGGACTTATGAAGGAAAGTGTCAATAAGAAAAATCAGACAAATATTGCTGAAATGAAAGAAGAGGTGGTCCGATATTGGGACAGCTTGGACCACGACTTTTTAACTTCTTTGATCAGTAGTATGCCCTGCTGCATTGAAGCCTGCATTGCTGCCCGTGGTGACTTGACGAAATACTAACTGTTCACCTATCTTTGAATCTGGAGTTATGTTCTGCTAATATTCACATTTAATACGTGAGTAATGAGTGAAAAAATTATAAATTACAATCTTTAAATTCTCAATAATTTCTGGTTGTACAGTATATCATATTACACATTCTCGCTGTGGACTTCAGACTGAATAGTGATAAGATAATCATTCTGTTCCTTTAAACAAAAACTATTTCCTGACAAGTAAAACAGCAATCTGTACAGGTCATCATGACACACATTCAATTGTCGCGTCTGAAAATATATATGATCTTTCTGCTTGCTTAAACGTCACACATACTTGTAATACATGTGGCAATTGTACCTGTGTCGATAGATAATTACAGATTAACATAAAAATGTTTCTATTTCAATCATCAGAGTTATTTATAATTTGATGATATTACATTCAGGGACAACAGATACAACTTGAGGTTGGCGTTCCGGCAGGGAAACATATCAGGGGTAATTCAAGTATTGTATTTGTAAATCATGGCTTAAGGTTCAACAAAAAGATTAACTTTCCAACATTGACAACAGTCTTTGACAACAGTTCTGCATTAAGTACTTCATCGTGATTGAGTTTCAGGATGATAATCCATCCTTTCTCTCATTTGCTGAATGGCGTACATTTTAAAATGTTTTGAAGAGAGCACGCCGACACGTACATGCGTCTGGACGTAACGGCAAACGTTTATGGTTTTTACAATACATCCTAGCTATAAGAATGTCGGAGCTGCGGATTGTTTTCGAGCTGTAATATTGTGTCACTGTTTTCAAAAGAGGAGTTAAACCATTGTTAGCACATTTTCATTCAGGAAATCCTATATTGTGAAGTGGTCGATACTTCCATGTGCGTTTAGAACACGTCCCGGAACAAGTGATAGCAACAGGAGGTGAGTGCACTGGTGTCAGAGTAGGACGAACACAACTGTAAGCCATGTTTTGACTTTGAAATGAAATCCACTCGGCAGGACACGAAAGGACTCAATGAACATATCTTGTGTTATATTACCGTTTTGCATTATGGGTTCAGGTTCATCCACTGCGACAACCACACACTAACAAACACAAGCAGCCACACTTAATGTTATTTCTTCCAGCAACAAGGTGTATAAATCAAATATACATCATGTTTGGCGGGTGGTAGTTTCACCAGACGCACGTGGCGCATGAACAAAGGGTCACTATGTGGGTCGGTGATAACATAGCACACACGACCCGTCTTTGTCTGCAGAAACCATGCTTGGTTCTGTTCGAATACTTAGAGTGTTCAAATGGCAACTTTATCGTGCCAGTTCTTGAAGTACGTACCATTAACTGCAGCAACGGCTACGATCAAAAGAAGGAAAGTTCGCATGACTGGAATTGATGTCGCCGAGAAAACAGCACTAGATTTAGAGGACTATCAGTGTTTGATTAAGAAACAGGTGCGGCCTCTAATCTCACAGACTGATTACCAAAAACTGGAACATATACACATGGAAAGAACCCAAGCACCGCTTACTATAAATTTCCATATAGAATTGCCTTTTCTAAACAAATTCTTATCCCATGTCGTTCAACAAAGCGTTCGTAGGGCTACGACAGTTGTAAGTCTACAGCCAACTATAGACGTAGATTAGTAGAAGTGCGACGAACTGCGACGAACCCCTTGACGATCCGAGACAAATATTATATGCCGAAATATTTGTTTTCAATCGTTTGTTGCATCTGGTGTTGATGTGTTCACTGAAAATTTAAAAGATGCATTACATGAACAACTTTTGCCAAAATGGCTGCGTTGTTAATTTAAGACAATAATGTGTGTTTAATATGCGACTAGTGAATGGGCGAGTGAGCAATGTCTGAGGTGCTGTGGAGTGGGGTTATCGCCCTTTGAACAGTTTCAGTTGTGTCACAGTGTGTCAACTTGGTGTGGGAGAAATGGTAGAGGTTATTCACGTCTCTGACTTGCGTCTACTGACACATGAATTTGTCCTTTAACCAGCACCATCATACAATGTTCCAGATTCACCTTGATTAGATAATATAAAATGTGCCCGTACCAACAGCACTAACTTGAGGATACAGAGGTCATGTTCTCTGATAAAATTGCAGCCTGGTTCCTTGGATATGCTGCGCTGGCGCTACACTGACTGGGGCAATGACGTTCTCAAAAATGGCAAACAAACATGCCAGACACGGCGAGTATTTATCATAAAATACTACAAGATAAAATACATCTATATTTTAGAATATTTGATTACTCAAATTTCGGGATTATGGCCTATATTCGCCCATATGATATATGTTTGATGTATATTGAATGCCCCTAACTAGAAAATACAGTAACGACGTTTATAACGAAATTACGGATACAACGAACTGGCTTTTTTTGTGCTCCGCCCACTTGTATATTGTGGTTGAAATGCGTACACCGAACTAAGGTCATAACGAGTGAGTTTAGTTTTACGCCGCTTTTAGCAATATTCCAGCAATATCACGGCGTGGGACACCAGAAATGGGCTTCACACATTGTACCCATGTGGGGAATCGAACCCAGGTCTTCGGCGCGTGACGAGCGGACGCTTTAACCACTAGGCCCACCGCCCCTTGGTTATATAACAAACTAAAACCAGTCTTCGGTTTCGTTATAATCGTAGTTTACTGAATCACTCTTGGTCTGTAATAATGATGCTCCATGGCAGGTTCAATAATTGGTTTTGACATTTGACCTTTGGATTTTATTCATATAAAAAGTCATTTATTTGCACATCACTTCTAACTTCATTATGAAATTGAACATAAATGGTTATTAAAAAAATGGAAGACTTGATATTTGATTAAATCAAGTACTGCTCAACTATGGTTGTGTTTGTGAAAATCGACTGGCCTACATCAGTCATCATTGTGTAATTCATTTTTCTGAATAAACCTAATATGTTGTTTCAGTCACAGCTAGTCATCGATCGTCAGTGCATTTGATTGACTAAACCATAAACATGGTTTGTTCCTTCGATCAGGAATTGACCTTCACTCCGTATCAACTTGCAGTATTTATACATCCTATTTTAAACAACATATTGTTCTCTCAGAGCCAGTTAATGTTATATTGTGAATTTCTCTGGAGAAATCACCCCTATCCCCTTTAAAGGGATTAAGAAGGATGTAAACATGATACTATTACTGTCACTCAAACATAGATGTAATATAATTACAAGCAAGAGGTGGATTTTGAAAGAACACAATTGAGACAAAAAGCAATCGATGACTTTCATTTAAATGTAATCACTACATACTCATATGTACACACCAGCATTATTTAAACATCAAATGAATTCAATGGCATTTTAAAATAGATTTTGGACCAAACAGGCAATCATATCCCAACATATTGGTATGCACATGTGAAGCACGTGCTTCACACAATATTTAAAATCAAACACTTTGGGGTATTAATTTCATAATTGTTGCCTGAACGTATTTAAAGTCGACAGTACTAAACAAATTACTTTTATTGACATGGCAAGACGCAGACTTTCAGAAAATACACGATGGTAAGTTACTGGCATGCATGACGCAGGGTAGTCTGTGATACAGACCCTGAAGCACATATATCCAAGAAAGCCCACGCAAGCACGTGGCCAAGGTGGAAGTAATGGATCGTCAAAGACCTGGAAGACCAATGACCATGATGACCGAGTCCTAATTCGTCTGGCAAGACGCAGTGCCATGGCCCATGCCAAAAAAATGCGCCGGCAGTGGAGAGTGGGAATCTGTCTCTCTACCAGCACTATCAGAATGAGGCTGCGGGCTGCTGGTCTTAGGTAAAGTCGTCCAATGAGACGTCCTCGCTGGCAGATAGACACAGGTAAGAACGTCCGGCGCGGGCTTCGAGAAAACCGCTACTTCAACTTGAGGACATGGCGTAGGGTTCATTGGTCTGATGAACTTCGCTTTCTTCGACACGTTACCACACGTTGTCGCGCACGGAGACGTCGTAACGAAGTAGGCTCTATCACAGGGCCTAGAATTTCGAAGCTCTCTTAGAGCTAAGATAGTCGTAAGTTAATGTTAATGTATGGCACTTACGACTATCTTAGCGCTAAGAGAGCTTCGAAAGTGTAGGCCCAGGAGACTATCCATACAACTGAACCCTTTGGTGGTGGGTCAATGACGGTGTGGTATTTTCCTAATCACTGGATAGCTGAATTATTTTGATTAACCAATCACAACCCAGTATTTACTGGAGTACTCTGTTATCTGCCTTTCTCACCTATCAGGAAGAGCGATCGATATAAGGAACCTCTTGGGTCATGTAGCCAAACTACTGGAGGTACAGAAGCTCACCTTTGTTGGATTTGCCTAGCTTTATACGATTTTAACTTACTTACGATAAATAATGGCAGAGAACGTCATTCATTTCCGGAGAAAGTGTGACTAATTATGTCTTATGAACAAAGAAAACTTCTCTTAACTGGCCACAAACTGACCATGAAGGGCATGCAATTTTACTTTCCCAATGCCGTGACCTTGATCTTGTGATGTACGATATGAATTCTCCTGTGCAATTCGGAAGAAGCTGGCGAATGGATGGATGGAAGGATAGATGGATGGATGGAGTAATCTGACAGTCACATTCGACACAACTTGACAGCAGTCTGTGGTTATCTCATTAATGGCCATTCATAAACTTCCCTCACGTGGGACTCGTGGACTTAGATACCAGTTCTGATGAAGACCGCGGCGTTTGACTGAACACGATTTCTTGACAAATTGTAGTAATTATTTGGATACCATAAACAAATTCCAGTTCTGATGAAGACCGCGGCGTTTGACTGAACACGATTTCTTGACAAATTGTAGTAATTATTTGGATACCATAAACAAATTCCTAACGAGACCATCTAGAGATTCCGACTTTCCACCGCATGATATTTTGTAATAATTGTAAAGGGCGACATTGAGAAATTCTAGACTTGGATATGCTCTGGTGTACGCCTTCGTGGTAACAGACTTGCTCTTGGGGAAAATTTAGTATATCATATCATTTGATTTTCGATCCTGCCTCAGACACAAATCTACGTATTCGGCTTTAACAGTTGTCCTGAATACGTTTGTATGCGAATGTTCACATTCTATTGGGATGATCGTCCTCGTATCAATTGTGCATCAAATACCTTTGTAACAAATAACAGCTCCCTTACCACAACAAACACAGTTTCAATATTCACTGACCTGAGATGATCATGTTTATTTACAATGACTTTACATAACACTCAACACAAGAATAGCATGACACACTGTTGACACATGTCAATCACTCGCTAGACCATCCAACACTCTGTTCGTAGACAGGGGGCGTGGCCAACAACAGGCACACACCCTGTTCACAGACCAAGCTTCAGCAATGTGAGATCAGGGTGGATGTCCAATACATCCACAAGTATAACGGTGGACAGCAAGGAAAAGTAGTTTTAAATGTTATGAAAGAAAACCAAAAAAATAGATGTATTTGATGTTAAATAATCAAAGGTAAAAGGTATTAGAATTGTTTAATAAAGCTATTTGCTATCTAAAAAAGACTAATTACAATCACCCTTGAAGAAAAGCTAGATGTAGCCTGGTAACCATGGTCACCATGTTAGTGTACGAATATATCCATGAAATAAATTAGGGAATTCATTATCCATACCATAACACCAACATTAATTAACAATATAGGAGTTGAAATCCCCTAAAATAGAATGAATCTGTTGTTTGCCATTGTCCCGACAAGCAGGAAGTGACATCAGCCTACATTTAGATCTACTGAAAGGTGACATATGAGTACAGCAGAGTACACTACAATTACTGTATGGAGGTACACCTGCTTATTTTAAGGGATACGCTTCTATCAGAAAACATCATTTACCTGTAAAAACTTGATAGAAATTTCAAACTCAGGTTTGAACCTATTTTTGGCAATTAACTGATGCTTGTGTGGTGGTCTGAAACGCTATTTGCAACAATTCTGCAAAACATACAAACAGTTTAAAGCATAAAAACAACAATTATGCCTCAAAACATTAAAGAACCAAATGCTGCCTATAAAAAAGCCAACCATTTGCTCGGAGTCCTCTGGTAGGCTCAACCCCACAACATGCATTGCAAGCCTCAGATACTGGAAAACAATCTCTCAAGAAAAAAAGCTGATTAATTCAAAATTCAAGTTGATGTCTTTCAAACAGAATCTAATGGCTCACTGAGAAACTGCGAAATAACTTATTTCAAATTGACAATCTCCAAAATTAGTGTCTTTTAAAAAGGGAATCTAAAATAACTTTCTCTTACACTGAGCATCTGCAAATTAATGCTTCATATTTTTGTTTTTAAAAATTCCAAATTAAGAAGCTGCACATTATAATGTGTTTGAATTGTTTTAAAGTACAAACTCTCCTAGGCTGTATGAAGGTCTCCAGTAATGTGTACACCCTGCCAAATCCCACCCACCCTGTAATAAATAGACAGTAGGGGAACACAGAGACGATGCAGAGCTTCAGGACAGGGGACTTGAGATAAGTGTAGCCAGCCTCCTATGGGGTGAAACAGCCCACCCTGCAGTTATCCTACCAATACCCTACCCACAGTTATAGTAGGATCTTTGGTCGCAGTAGCTGCAAGTATCACCGTGCCAAACAGTGCTGGATCCATCTGGGAAACAGGTACTGTATGTCAAAAAAAACTAAAAAGCAAAACCATATGATGCTGATAACAAAAATCATAAGATGTCTAGTGACTTTCTAGAACCACGTCAGACATGCTCACTGGTTTAATATCAACGATTTCAGTAATATTTACCAGAACTGCTGATAAAGTTGTCCAGTCCATCCAGTAACAAATGGGCTACAAGTCCTAACACCATAAAATGCATGTGAAAATTTGTTGGTTCATCAATTTTGGCATCAAGTACATGTGTGAGGTGGAATGGTTGAGATGCAACACTTTCCCAAAGCTATATAACATTATGATTCATGATGTACAGCAAACCCTCATATTCACTACAACTGATTCAAGTGAAACTAAATGACACGGTTGTGTGTTAAGTGCTGCTTCCCTGTATGAGAAGCTACAACCTGACCAGCAAATATCTCATTAAGTGGCATAATACATGATAATGGACAAAATATAACATGAAGATTGAAAGCATGATAATAAACATAACAGGTGACAGGAACCAATCTCACCAACTTTACATGGATGTATACGAGGTATGAAAAATACTGAATGCTTCATATTCAACTTGAGGGAAGGACAAAATGCAAAGTTGATTTAAAAAATCCTTAAAAATTCTATAAAATGATTCAATGGAAGAGAACAATATTGGCAAATTTTGACAGGGTATGTCTATGAACACTTTGCAAGTTGATTGTGCAGGATGTTATATACAATGTCAGACAATGTGAATTATACATGGCTGTACAGCTCGGCCGTGCTGGCTGGACAACTCTTTACGTCGGTTGGTTGCAGTGACCCTATTTACACTGGATTCCATCTGTATACACAGACAAGGAAAACAAACTCTGTTTTGGTACAAAAAAAACCCATCTACATTAACAGCACATGATGGTAGGTCTGCAGTACTGAGACAAGCCTGGTGGACCAAGGACAAGACGAATTTCTTAATGATAGTACTATGACTATAAAATTATGAGTATCTACAATGAGATGGGTACTGCATGAGACTGTCATTAACAGAGCATTATTTACAGTGACAGGCTTTCTCAAACAGAAGTACATCATAGGAAACGTCGGACATCAATATGTCATATCTGACAGCATCAACAAAAGTGTAAAGGTTGAAATTTTCATGTCGCTGGTATCCAGCAATGGTTATTGCTCATGAACAGACTGAGATAGATAGTGCATGTTAGGCTCTGTCGCTCATCCTACTACTTGACACACATACATACAGAACTTCCTATTCACAATGGTGTAAATACTTTCACTCCTCTTCCACTCTGTACAACACTGGACAGTGCTGTAGCCAGGCTGGTGTCTGTGGCACACAAGATCAGCTCTGCTGAGGAGAAACAGCTCACTCCAGGCTACATAAAACATGTCCACTGAACAGCAGCATTAGATGTACAAGACCAGGAACTGTTCTAACAGTGTCACTGCAAACCGTTTGTGATAACAGTGCCGTTCAACATTCTGAAGACAATGTTGTCACAAACAGATAATGAAGACAGCGCAGTCACAGATATGTAGAAAGTCAAAACAAATGGTGTATGCAGACAGTGTCTTAACAAACAGTGTATGAAGACAGTGTCGTCACAAACGATGTATGCAGACAGTGTCATCACAAACGATGTATGCAGACACTGTCGTCACAAACGATGTATGCAGACACTGTCGTCAAACAGTGTGTGTACTTAGTGTAATCACAAATAAGTGTCATTAAACAAAGACACTGATCATCAAAATACACATGTTGGTGTACTACCAGTACATGATGTGTTCACAATGACAATACACCACACTACATCGTAAACATACCATGAAACACAACAACGATGTGACACAAGCACATCTCATTAAACTGTGCATGTTCCTTGAACACGAGAGAGATAATGCATCATGAAATAACTTAAAGACTATGGATTCTTGCACAATATATACAAAAGACAATCTCCTCCAGCCTGCTTGAAAGTTAAAGCTCCTTTGCAAGCTGGTGCACGAGGCTCTCATGGAAATGTCGATTCCATTCCACTAATGTTACATATCATATCATCCAAGTATTTACATATCTTCACAGTTCATTATGTCAAAATGGTCATTTGGCATAGTTCAATAAGTAACAATTATGCACATTCTTTATTGTGCATATCATAAGATTCACTGTATTGTTCCAAGTATATACATAACTGGGGCATTTAAATGCCCTGTCACCTACATTTGTTCCAATGCTGCAACTGTCAATGAAAATTGAACTTTAAGTGAACACAAGCATCTCTTTCGGTGCTAACTAGCAACTAAGGCAATAAAAAACTACTTTCTCAACACCAATACTACATTAAAATGTTATAAAAAAAATCTCAAGAATCAGAGTAATAAATCATACCATTCATATATCCATCTAAAATCTGCATTCCAAAGTATGGCAAATCAACAAGAAAGACACAGTTTATCTGAGAATATCACAAACACAAACTAGAAAAATATAGTGTAATCCTGTTTAACAGATATGCTATGTATATGACTAGTAATATCCAGGGACGTATATAAAAACATGTTCGTATAGCCCAGGAGCAAGCCTTGACGGCCTGTCCTTCCTCTTGCATATGTCGTAACGATCTACTGCTACTACGCCACTGTACAGGCAATAATGACAGATATATTAGTAACAAGATTGGTTCATGCCTTGCTCAGGCCACTATATGCCTATGAACAACTATAGTCAATCGAGCATAATTTCAAACATTACTTAAATCTCATTTGCTAAAAAGTTCATTTCATAGTTATTTCATTCTTATATAACAGCCTTTCCATGTTGACAGTTTTAAGTAGAGAATCTCAATAAAGATGGGATGGGTCATGGACTGTTAGAGAGATGACAGCTAGTTCATCCACTTGCGACATCCATGAGCTCCACAATTGCAGGGTATTTTGTGTTGGTCATCTTCAAAGTCAAACTTGTAGTCATATGTCAGCTGAAAAAGAAAGGATTACATGAAACTCAAAAACAGATGTGAAAACATTAGTTTAGGTGTTCAACACTCCCAAGAATATCTACTGTTTCACTTCTATAGACTAATAATACCTGATGATGTCTTATCTAAAGCAACTTAAGGTTTGTTTTACACCTAGTTTGCGATCTGTGGTCAGGTGAGGTGAAATGGGGTTTAACGTCGCACTTAAGAACATTCGCTTATAAGACGACGTGTAGAGTGTGTATGTGTGGCTGCTTGTACTAGCCCAGACTTAAGCTGGTTTTATAGTGCTAGCTCACTGAGATACCATGCCGCAGTTAAGCATGAATACCACACTCGAACACATTATACTGACTCTGAGCCAACCAGTTCTTGTTGCACCTATTAATGCCAAGGCAGGGACCAACAAGTACGATATTTCAACGTCTTTTGGTATGGCGGCTTAAAATATGATTAATTTTGACGCGGACGGGGATCAAACCCAATACCTTCCACTCTCCAGGTGGACGCTCCAACCACTACACCATCTTGCGATCTGTGGAGCAGTTTCTGTTTTCTTCTACAACAAAGTTATCTCTGCTTCTTGGATGTAGTCATAAACATGTGTATGTTGTATGTGAACAGTAATGGTTATATTTCTTCATTACGTCTTTTCTGTAGTTATAAACCTGAGTATGTTGCATGTAACAATAATTGTTATAGTTCTTCTACAACAAAATGATTTTAACAGCCTCATAGATTGTTTATCCTAAATATGCAATGTAGCAGGTGCCCCTTACCTCCTTGTGAACATATCCCCAAGTTGGTGCAGTGAAACTTCGTTTATTCTCCAAACAGAAACTTAGTAGGTTTACTAACCATCTAGTTGTGTTAGTAGCTTGATGATGAAATTCAGGTGTAGTCTGAGTTATATGGTTATATTTCTTCATTACGTCTTTTCTGTAGTTATAAACCTGAGTATGTTGTATGTAACAATAATTGTTATAATTCTTCTACAACAAAGTGATTTTAACAGCCTCATAGATTGTTTATCCTAAATATGCAATGTAGCAGGTGCCTCTTACCTCCACGCCCTTCGCAAGGCGTCGGCTGGTGATGATGATGATCTTGCTCTCCTTTTCAAAGGGAACAACCTCAGCCACACAGTTGGGGGCGCAGGAATGGTTGATGTATCTGGCAGGACCACCCGCCATGGTGGCGTCGATGACGATGTCACAGTCAATGCGGAACATGTACACACCACGGTTCTGGAAAATGGATGGAAACATGTAAGAACAAGAACCGTGAATTGTTTTCAAGAACATCTCATCTCAGTTGAAGTCAAGAATCAAAATAGTTATTTGACAGACATGCTCTCTTTTATCAAGACTGTATTTTTGCATCTCTGGCCTTCATTAGTATAGAAGCATCAAAGCTTTTTAAGAGCCAAGTGTAAAATAAGCTTTCAACTTCAAAGGTTAGGATCAGGCATAGTTACAGAAGGCAATATGCCATCTCCCTTTCCTTTGCCCAGACCACCAAAGCAATGGCTACACTGGATTTGACCAGGCAGGGTTAATAATAGTTTGTGCCTGCATGAACTTGTTTTACTATATCTGAATGTGTAAAAGGGTGAGACCAACCTCTCCTGCTATTGTTTGATTGATTTGATTTAAAGTTAAGTTAAGAGAAGATGATGACAATGCAATGTTATTGTCAGATGGACTGACAACTTGCCTGTCAGTCAGATGAGCTAAAACTTTACTTGTTTGTCGAAAAGGTTTCATTTTTCTGTTGTGGACACCTACCTGATCTTCATACACCTTTTCCCGGCGGTTGGCAACCTCGTTCCGGATGAGGTCCCCGATGTATTCTATCACCATTGTGTGCTTCTCAAGGTCTCGGGCAGCAAATAGACCCAAACCCTGGAAACAGGTGAGAGAGGGGAAGAGTAATAAGGGAGTTAGGTCTCAAGACATTCAGCAATATTCCAGGAATATCAGTTCGAGGACACAGACTGTAATCATAAGGGGAATAATGCACTCCAACCATCTGTGGACTACATGAGCATCAATTTAAAAGAAAGTATGACAGTGGTATACTAGTCAAACAGAAGAGCTTAACTGTAACAATTCACAGATGCATACATCAATACTTCATTACTAATCTGTAAAGTTTAACTGACCCTTGGTGTGTCAAAAATATTTGAACCACTACCATGTCTAGTAAACTAGAAAAAACGTGTGTGCGTGCGTGTGTGTGTTTCCGTTGTGTGTCAGCAAGATGTGGGAAGAAAGTCTGCAGTGATATAGGTCCTTGGGCAAGCCAGGATTTGAACCCAAGGGACATAACTCTGACCGACTGGTCAACCCTACACAGAATCATCAGTTATGGCAAACTTTCCTCTTCCTACTACCTGTTCCTGTCCACTGTACAAGTGATATAATTACCTGAATTCCTGATCTGGCCAGGAAGACGTTCGTCTTCCATTCTGTCTTCAGTCGGCGATACTGCTGGGACTTGGAATGTACAAACTGCTTCATGTAGGGGGGAGTTGACGTCTCCAGTCACGCCTGTCACAGTGGTTGGGAGGGACCGAGAGTTGCTGGACTGGAGGGTGTGAGGGCGTCTACAACCACGAACGATCAACATGTAGTTGGGTTTAACACTGATGATAGGTATTTCAGTCTTATTATGGCATGTCATATTCTGGGTAGGAAGACTAAAAGAAAGCTGAGGATCCATAAGAAGAAGAACGGTGCTAATCAACAATCCTGACTAGGCTACATGGCAGTCTGTGATTGTAGAGGTGACAGCCTACAGACCTGGCATTGGAACAACAGCGATGAAGAAGTAACCTGTATACTGAGTCACTCAACAAGTACTGTCATGCATTGTCAGCCATTTCTGCGGATTTACAATATGGAGATTATTGGCCATACTTTGACTGGCTGTACATTAGACACAGTTTTGACTGGTGTTAGAATTCTGAATCTGGGGCCAGATCTACTGGCAATCTGGAACAGGGACATGGACATCACATACGGGAAGTATTCATCTCCTACCGTTTGAAGTGTGTTCTAAGCTTGGGTTCGGTCCTGGCACATCCGGTTGGGTTGATGGCCAGCGGCATTTCAATGAGAGGTGAGCGGCCATAACGGAAACAGTAGTTGCCAAGGAGATCTGTTCCTGGCAGCTGAAACATGCAAACAAACATAGGAACACAGGAATCACAACTGGGTGGAAAGAGGTCAAGTAAAGAACTGCAGCATTTTAACAGCAGTGGACACTAACACATTCACAAGCTACCTTCCTGAAACAAAGAGCATAATGCTCTGTTTGATATTTGAAAACTAGATGCTTACGGTACTGTACATCATGACAGCTGGTAAGACTTCAGAACATGGTCTCAAATATGTTGGAAAGTCTTATGTCAATTCTATTCATGTGACATCAGTGGCTTCATACTCACCGACTCCAGCACTTTAAGTATGTTGGGTTCGGTGAGACCAAACAGCTCCTCGCCAGTGAGGAAGGTGGAGAACATCTTGACGAGGTCAGCACCGCGGCGGATATCTTCCAGGGGTTTGAGAATGTGCATCCATGCATCTGCAATGGAAACAATAGAAATACAGCAATACTACATAACAGAGGACATTAAGGCAACTTGTGGCAAACTAGAAAAGTTTGGCATACACACTGCTTGTAAATATTTGCAAATCACTGAAAGTAAGTTATAATGGCTGTGTAACAATGTTATTGTAATCCTGTGCAATGCACACCTTTTGGGGAGCTCTCCTTGTAGAGAGTATCTGAGAAGCCCTCCTCCTCTATCTTGATGGTGAATTCTGGGCAGCCATCATTGTCAGAGATGCTGCAGGTGTAGCGACACCGCTTGTACAGCTGTCCGCATGCTCCAGTAGAAGCGACTTGTGCGGAAGCCAACCTGGAAATAGTTATCAACATGCACAACTTTTAACATTAACTGTAGAATACTCTTGACATAGTGCTTCATCATTTCATGGCAATATGTACTGCATGGGCAATATGTGACAATGTCACATGGGGAATATTTGACAGTATTACACAATAACAATATGCATGACACAGAACATTCAATTGAGGACAGTCGATGCAGGACATGAAACAGGAAATGACATGGAGGATTCTTATGAAGGACATGTAATCGAGCGACAGAGGACATGTGATGCAGAGAAGTCTCTCTACTTACAGGGTAGATGTAATCCTTGGTGTGGAACCTGCCTGTCTGGATCTGGTGGGGCAGGAGCTGGCCAATACTGTGAAGGGTCAGCGAGCCAACCCTGAGTGTGTGGCTTCCTTCATCCTGATGGATCATGCTGCAAACACAGGACATTGCAACATCTGAATACATGATCTGGAGGAAGACTTACAAATGAACTAAAATGATGGTGATATCATTCACATCAAAACTGCAGCAATATCCATGGTATTGAAATTATTGAATGTTTACCGTCACATAAGCATTATGTAAAGTAGGACATGACAGTATCTAGAAAAAGAAAATCTATAGGGGCATGCACTGGAATTCATATAGGGACCCAGTGCAGCCACTGTACACATTATTTATGTCTTTCAAATAGCATGAGAGCACAAGGCTTTCATTAAGCCTCAGAAATTAACAGGAGTTCTTGGCAAATTGCACACAAGTTCTGCTACATGTTATCATTATCAGGACGTTATGTTTCTATCTCAGAAATAATGGTCACTGTACAGCCAAGCATCACAAACTGCACATTTCAATGAACAATTTCTTTTTCTTGAATGCAAAGTGGGTAAGCTGACCTGGCCACCTGCTTGTCCTCGTCCCGGTTGATGTAGACTCGGCGATGGACCACAAGGGTCTCCAGCTCGTTCTCCACAGGAGACTTGGGGAATGAACAGGACACAGCAGAGTCTGTGAATAAAGATAGCGTCATCATGTAGATACCAGAGATGACAGATGACAAGCAGAGAAATATGCAAATCCTCATCAGTTTCACTTGTAAGAGATAAAATATTTATGATACTCAAAGAAATTACATCATACATATATGTTCACTTTTATCTCATCATATTATGCATCAAGGTAATAAAACTTGAGACAACAGCCAATATAAAAATAACTATCACTGTTATGTGGGAAGGACACAGATGTCTGACACTGTGGAGACACTAACCAGCAAGGTTATGGTGCTGACAAACCTAGAAATGCTATTGGGACAAACTGGGAATCAAACCAACAAACATATGTTTTGCAGTGCCACTGACAACAGAGTCATCCATGCCCCATCAATGGTGTGAAAATAGCAGTTGAGTACGAACCTTATCCTGGAAGAACATACAGGACACCTTCTTGGCACATGGGAGATGATACGTGTGGGTACACCGGATCTTGAAGCAGCTCAGCGTGGCTCCGGGCCTCCCACATACAATACACTCCAGGGACACTCCGCGCTTGAAGGCTACTTCCACATTCATCAGAGCTCCGTTGAGGGTCTCGTACACCTCATAAGACCACAGGGCACAGTTCAGATGGACCCATTTATCAACATCCAGGTTAAGAAGTCTGCAAGGAAAGAAACGTGTTATATTTCCATTACACAGAGTACTGAATGCCCCTTACGCCACACACGGTCAAAGGTGAGGTGAGGCGAAATTGGGTTTAACGTCGTGCTTGAGAATATTTCGCACATATGACGATATGCATGCATGTGTATGTGCGGCTGCTTCTACTAGCCCAGACTTAAGACTGGTTTTATAGTGCTAGCCCACTGACATACCATGCCGCAGTTAAGCATGAATACCCCACTCAGACACATTATATACTGATTCCAAGCCGACCAGTCCTTGTTGTAACCATTAATGCCGAGCGCCAGGCAGGGACCAACAAGTACCATATTTTAACGTCTTTTGGTTTGACGTGGTCGGGGATCGAACCTGCAACCTTCTGCTCTCTGGGCGGACGCTCTAAGCACTACACCACGGAGGCGGTCTCACAAACGGTCTAAGACAAATACAGACAGATGTGAAGAGCCCAATCATGGATTATGACAGGAGTATATTACCTTGAGGAGGTGTCCGTGTCTCCATCACCAGGCTGCTGACAGAAGGTACAGTTCCTCTTGTCCTCCTTGTTGTGGCTGCTAAAGTGCACCACCATATCCATTCGACTCCAGATCTGCAACACACAGCATCACATTGCAGACAAACAAAATACACACCATGTTGGTACAGGTAGCATCTTGTCTTTGAATGACATTTGGATGTCAACTTCTGTAACACGAGGAACATGACGTTCCAGTGTGTTTTCTTACTCCAATATCATGCAGCATTTTGGATTATCATTATAGGATTATCATTATAAGATATTTATACAGCGCACATATCCACGCAACCATGGCTCAAAACTATTTACACCTGCAAAGGATATTTATTGGAAGCATGGACTGAAATAGGTGTAGTTCCTGCTGTAGTTGTAACAATAATACTCACAGACCTTTAGTGTAGGTTTTTCATGATGTGATGGGATGATGGAAATTCATTCACTAATGTCAATTTTTTAACACTAATTCCTGACTAGATCATCAAATTCATGCAATACATGGGGGGATGCACCAACATCATGCCAGTATCCATCCAACATCTACTTTCAGGATATATTGAGTAAATAAGGAGTTCTGTTCCTTAGGAAATGATTTGTTTGTTAGTTTTATGTTTCATATTCCTGCTACATGCTGACAGTGTAAATAATTAAGTAAGGACCAGATAAGCTGGTGGTTGATAGAATCACAGTTGACATGCAGGTATGCAATGTCCACCTTGTACCATCTGTCATCTCTGATGAGAAGCATGTATGACAGCGTAATTGCCAACATAATCTGATCAAGGAATAAATGTCTATGTGTCTCAGGGAGTGAGTGAGTGGGTTTTAGCAATATTCCAACAACATCATGGCAGGGGACAACAGAAATAGGCTTCACACATTGTACCCGAAGCGAAGAGAAGCGAACCCCTGCCTTAGGTGTGGTGAGCAAATGCTTTTACCACTAGGCTACCACACTGCCCCCTTTGGGTTAAAGTATTCAACACCCTTTTATGCATGAAGCAATCGTTCATGGTGGTACCTGATCCAGTTCCTTAGCAGGTGTCGTTGGGTAGTGCCCAAGGCTATCCTGCATCTTGGGATCCCAGTGCTGCCAACGGATGTCCTTCCACTTCTTCACCAGGGGCTGCAACACACAAACACAGCATTACTACTAACACATTATTATGTATAAGTGGGTTAACACTGCCTGTATTTCTGTCTATTCAAATCAAGTAGTTGCAGACATCACTACATATGTAAGAACGAACTTGTATTTTTTTTTTAAACCAGTTAATTGTTCATCGGACAAAAGAGTATTTAAATGACAACACTGAGTACATGGAATACACATGACAAAAAATACAATAATAAATATGGCTTGAAATATTATGGGTGGCAACTGACATCTAAGCATGGGTTTGTTGGGAATGACACTAGGAAATAAAAAATGTACAGAATAACCATGTTGATAGTGAGGTAGTTAGATGTGTGTTTTGTCAGTGTTCTGTAAGACTCCTCACCAGTGGTGAATATGGAGCCATAGCCTGGTCCGTTCGGCTTCTTTGTTCACTTCTACATTTACATATACATATACTATTAGCAGGGTATCACTAAAGAATAGAACTTTATTATCAAAAGTTGTACAGAATCTCTCTTGCATGCTGCAAAAAAACCCTCTAAAAGCAGGATATTGGGGTGGCCTTGTTACCTTGACAGGCTGCATCTGTGGCAGCTGAATGTCAGACGCAGTGCTGCTGCTGCGGCGGTGTTTCTTCCCGGGCTTTTCCTCTTTCTTCACTGGTGGACTCGGCAACGCTGGCGACGGCATGGGCGACTTGGACACAGTGGATGAAGAGAGAGGGGTGGTGGGTGTGGCAGGCTGGTCCCTGGAAGACTGTGGGGTGATGGGTGGGGTGGTGGAGATGGACAGAGCTGAGGTGACAGGGACGTGGCGGGGGGATGTGGATGGGGTACATCCGCTCTTGTGCTCAACCAGGTTTCCAGCTTCTGTCTCGTGAGCTTGCGGCATCTGGTGCGTGATGGTGAACTGCATGTAACAGTTCATGCTGCAGAATGTCACCTCTTCTTCCTCAGTGTCCTGCAACACAACTCTACTTTTACAACTTGCAATTAAGGCAGCTTGGTGTAAAAGCACCGAGAACAGTATCACAAGGTATCAGCTTAATGTGGGACTGACTGACTGAGTTTGGTTTTAGGCCGCTTTTAGCAATATTCCAGCAACATCACGGCGGGGGACACCAGAAATGGGCTTCACAGATTGTGCCAATGTGGGGATTCGAACCCGGGTCTTGGGCGTGACGAGCCAACGCTTTAACCATTAGGCTACCCCACCGCCCCCTTAATGTGGGAGGTAAAGCCGATTCGATACAGGTCTTAAGACTTTTGCCACTTTGGTGAAACCCAAAAGCCCAGGTATGGTGCTGACAAACGTAGACATCTAATTTTGTCTAACGACCTGTTTCAGGTGCATCCAAAAGAAGCCAAACAATGATATGTCATGCGACAACTGAGCAGCCTGTACCCTCTCTGGGTGAGTTAATGCTTCAAAAGCTAATGCTACAAAAACATTTCCGAAAGGTTTTAAAGAAATACGTAATTCAGACTAAAAGAATTACCAGCACTTTATATTAAATTGAATGAGAATTGAAAGGTTTTGAAAAACTTTGGCTTCATTTTAACTATCGTATGACGTTTGTGTTAACACTTGCAGCTCTAATTCTCAAGTGAATATATAATGTAAAGTAAATGAGCAGAAAGTAACACATACTCCACACACCTGCTCATCCTTCGTGAGGAATGGAAGTTCAGTTTTCTTCTTGCGGATCCCAGAGCTGAGCACTACCACATCACAGTGGCGACAGAACTTGGGTTTGGCCTTGATAAGGGATTGGATGTTCACAGCTTCTTCTTTGTCTGAAAACACAGACATCAAGTTTACAGCGACACTTTATACAGTGTTTAAAACTCCCAAAATTCCAAGCCAGACAGCTGGACTGGTAACTTTAAAAATTACCAGTCCGGATACAAACTTGCCTGTCCGGTTTTCAACAAGAAACAACCAAAATAAAATCAAGTTTCTGAATACTTTACTGCATGTATTGTAACGTTAAGGCTAATGTACATGGCCTGGTTTATAAACTAGAAATCTGTTGCATTTTCTGCCTCATAATCAAGATCAGAGAAATATCTACCAGACCACTGGACAGGCTACTTTTGAAATTTTACCATCCAAGATGAAAATAGACCATTCTGGAAGGTCAGGCAGGCAGGAATTTTAAACACTGCTATATGTCTATATGGTTTATTCAATTTATATTTCCAGCTGGAATATTCATAACAATGCTTTATTGAGAAATATAAATCCTTTGAAATGCTACACATCATGGACAAATTAATTCACTACAGACTGAAAAGCCTTAAAACCTCACAGCTTGTTCACATGGTTACACCTACACACATTAATGTTATAGCTAGAAGATAGTCACATTACTTACGTGTGAGATTCACTTTGTACGTTTCTGGGGACGGGCTCCTTGTCATCTCGTATGTTGGTGGGACAGCAATTTTCAACAGATCAGCAATGGCAGATATCACTCCCCCAATATCTTCAGCCGCGGTGGCTGATAAGGTCAAGGTCACAGACACCTGCTGGTCCAAGCTGGGGTCTATGAAAGGGCGTGCAAGACTTGATGTCAAGGCTGGCATTTTGGCCGTCAAAGTGTCTTTACTACTCATCAAACTGTCAATATTTCTTTCCTTCTTTTCTGCCAACACCACATCGCTGTGTTCCGCTATTTTGGACAGGTCTTCTTCTTTCAGTTCCTTCTTCTCATCCTTGATCTCTGCCTTGATGGGGATTGGGTGCAGCAAGGGCACGGCCGGGGATGCTCCTCTGTCATCCTCGGCTACAGCAGGTTCGATGGGACGAAGGGCAGGTAACTCTGTGTCCTGTTCTCCAAAGCCTACCTCAGGAGACGAGGAGGATATAACAGTATCCGGAGTGTCTCTGCAAAGTTAACAAGTGGTATTTGGAATCACACTTTCTTTCATAAATGAAATATTACTGGAATATGACTGGAATATTTTTTCAACATAAGATGTTCATTTGAAAAAGTGCTTCTACTTCGATTCATAAACGTAGTTTCACTATCTACGTTTCACCCAATCAATGCTTGTTTTAGACCTACATTAAGACAACTTACATGAACATCAACAGTTACTGGCGCAACAAAGAGTTCTTTAAAGAAGGCATTATCCGGGAAGACATTCTTGTCACAAGGCTGTCATATTCTACATTAAAATTCCAATAGAGCTAGTCTTGAATCATGTAACTGTTTATAACAGGTTGCCATTATACAGCTGGAAAAGTGCCAACCTTAGTGTCAACAACAAACAAACATACTACACCATCATACGGCAAGATGAAGAAATATAGGTAACATATCCAAATGACAAAATATTGGTGAACTGGTTGGGTAGCGGCTTTACTCACCTTGCAGATTGTTCCAGGTGGGGTTCAATCCTGGGCTGCGGTGGGATGACAGGCATGAATGGTCTGATCATGCCTGGCAGGAGGGGCATGCGTTGAGCCAGGGCCTGCGGGTGAACTCCGGCCGACAGCAGATGGTAGCGCTGCTCGTCTGTAATAGGACCTACGTTACAGTGGCATTATTAGACAAGTCTGCGTCATAGCCAGCATGCAGAACACATGCTTGCAGCTCAGCACACAGACGGGCAGACGGACCAAGCAGAAGAGAGATGCTGGGTTGAAGGACGAAGCCAAGCAAAGGGTGACAACTCTCATGCACTCAAGTCACCTTCACTCCACTCCAAACACAGGTCAGAGTAATAATCACACAGGATGACATATCAAACTTGTCAACATTTCTGTTGTTGCTGTCAAAACCTAGGACCTTCAATTGATGGCATTACCTGGGTACATCAGATCAACATTACAGGTGTTATCATGGTTACTCAGTATATACTGATGGTCACCAGTTACTTTACTCTTCATTTTCTTACTTTCGAAACGCTCTCCAAGTATCTTAAATTATTTTGTAAAGTACACACATCCACAGAGTATACGTGGACAAGTGGTTTCAACTTTGACATCATTGAACAAATTATAACCCAAATTATCATTTTTGTAATGTGTTACGATAAGTACAGATGTTCCCAACTTGAACGGAGGGAAACACTAAGTCAGCGAGGGATAACCCGATTTCCAAAACTTCCAAATGCCACTAGACAAAGTGTTCTGCTCTTTGTTATCCTCACTGGAGGCTTCAGAAGAGACAGCGACTGTCACAGTAGATGGGATGCCCACACATCATTGTAGCTTTTACATATTTTGGCTCCAGTGATAATGCACATAAGTTACCCATTTCTAGTTTGACCATCAGCATATATTTAGTGAGATGTGTATGTCAGATTTGGCAGATACTATAGCAGTCTGTGTAATAAACCGGGATAGAAATTAACCAAAACGTCCATTAGCCTGAGTAGTAATAGCATATCCCCCAAAATGTTTGATATTCTGCATTCCTTCAGAATACTTTAATCATCAACAAACCCAGGCTAGGGAGCTTGTGCTAATTTCTATCCCAGAAACCTTTGAGTCAACTAGTTCGAACTGGGTTTTTAGCATAATTTTTAGAGCATTTCCTGTTATCATACAGTATTTATCAGTTGAACTTACTCGACCGACCAGAATCTAAGGTGAATGTTAAGCTTCAGACTAGTGGCTCAAGTTTCAGACTGCTATCGGTCTGTGTTGACCAAGTTGTTAACAATGACACTCCACCAACTGAGTGTCTGGACGAGGTCTATCCAAAAGCATTTTATCTTTCTAAAACAGTTTTCAATAAAAAAAACATGCATAATGTATTTATTAAAAACAACCAACTCAATGGCAATATTTCAAAGTTTGGGGAAAAGATATAATGGCCCCTTTGGGGAGCAAACCTTCATATCAGATTTTCATACTCATTTCTTGACACAACTGACACCAGTTAAAACAGTGAATGAAGAATGGAATTTCTAGTAAAGAGGCATAAGATATCAATGACTACAATATTTTAACATTATTTGATACTCCAAAATTGTCCAAGATGTTACTTCAAATCCTTTTTACACTTTCAAAGTGCTCTCTTCTCTAACAAATTCGATACATTTTCATATTTTCCTTAACTTCAGACCACATAATTTTTTAACTTCAGGCCACATACTTTCCTTAAACTTCAGACGACATATTTCCCTTAGCTTCAGACCACATATTTTCCTTAACTTCAGACCACATATTTCCCTTAACTTCAGACCACATATTTCCCTTAACTTCAGACCACATATTTCCCTAAACTTCAGACCACATATTTCCCTTAACTTCAGACCACATATTTCCCCGAACTTCAGACCACATCAACTTTTCCATCCAAACAGAATCATTCAGTAGTGTTCACAACAATTAAGTGCACAAGAGAAAACATAAATTGTATGTGCAATAGCTCAACATATGTACATTTAATGTAAGGCTTGTCCTTCCTGCAGATCATCACCATGACGATGAGAGGAGGTACACATTTTCAAACTACAGCAGGAAAGGTCTAATTTCACCAAAGTCAGCATTTTGGTTTAAAGAGTTTTAGTTATAATATTCACCATGGTTTTCACAACCATTGGTGGAATAATCAAAAGATGTATATTTCATAAGATTGTAAAAAAATTACATGAGAGGCGATATGATTTAGTATCTGATAGCATGAAAGTGAATGTGTGTATCCGTAGCTCAAGTCAGGAAAGGTTGGATGACCTGTCAATATGGCATCAAGTCTAACAAGGGTTACCCCATGCCTTAACTACTGTAGTATTTCATGTCAAACCAACTACCATCACTATGAAATACCAACTAGCACTATATACCACAGATACGTCATACAACCACCTTCATTGTCATATGGACTGGTGCAGTTAACACATATAACAAGTGCCAAATTGTCTTATATTATAGGATATTTATATAGCGCACATATCCACGTAGCTAGTATGTGCTCAAGGCGCGGGTTTATTTCCCTTGATCATTGGATGTCAATTTCAACGGCACATCGTATTATCAATCTCAACTCCCTGGGGATCTTACAACTCTTGCAGCCACTAGGTGCCCTGAGTCATTGTGGCTTTCCCATCCTTACGAGGTACCCATTCACAGCTGGGTGGACTAGGACACATAGTCACCGTACTTTGTCCAAGTTTACTGCACGTTGCTGTACCCGCAACTAGGTGTCTGCACGTATTCAATGTGGCCACCAACTGGTCATATACCAACGGATTCATGGTTTCTTTTAAGTGCACAGGGTTGTGTACTGTACACTTTGGGTTGTGACAACACTACTGTCACTATGTCAGTCATTCAAGGGTGATCCCAAAACTTAAGTATAGCTTATCATACGGATTACCTTCAATATATCAATTCAACTACTACCAATATGTCATAACAAATATCATCACTATGTCATCAATCATTACAGGACCATCATGAAACCTCAGCACCTGAAGAAATTAATGTCATACTAAGTACCATCAATGTCATACCAACTACCATCAACATGTCATACCAACTACCATCAATGTCATACTAAGTACCATCAATGTCATACCAACTACCATCAACATGTCATACCAACTACCATCAATGTCATATCAAGTACCATCAATGTTATACCTAGTACCAACATGTCATACCAAGTACCATCAATATGTCATACCAACTACCATCAACACATCATACCAAGTACCATCAATGCCATGCCAACTACCATCAATGTCATACCAAGTATCATCAATGTTATACCAAGTACCATCAACATGTCATACCAACTACCATCAATATGTCATACCAACTACCATCAATGTTATACTAAGTACCAACATGTCATACCAAGTACCATCAATATGTCATACCAACTACCATCAATATGTCACACCAACTACCATCAATGTCATACCAACTACCATCAATATGACACACCCCATCAACATGTCATACCAACTACCTTCAATATGTCACACCAAGTACCATCAATATGTCATACCAACTACCATCAATATGTCACACCAACTATCATCAATATGTCATACCATCAATGTCCTACCAACTACCATCAATGTCCTACCATCAACATGTCATACCAACTACCATCAATATGTCATACCATCAATATGTCATACCAACTACCATCAATATGTCTCACCAACTACCATCAATGTCATACCAACCTACCATCAATATGTCATACAGACCTACCACCAATATGTCATACCATCCTACCACCAATATGTCATACCGACCTACCATCAATATGTCGTACAGACAACCATCACTGTGTCATCACTTAAAGGCAGGTCATCCACTGGTGTGGGAGACATGACTAACATGTGACACACACTATGGCCTACCTGTAAATGGTACTGTCTGTCCATCGCTGAGGAAGCGTCTCCGAGCGGCAATGTCCGCCCCAGGTTGCCGGATGCCCAGCGGGAAGTTTGGATGCTGAAGACTTCCATAGAAGTCTGGTAGTCCCTCCATGTATGCCTTCCCATAACTGCCTTTAACCTGATTTTCAGCTGAAAACAAAACCACATGTATTGAAACAAAATATTCTAAAAAAATAGGGGACTGATCAACACTAGGCTATACCATAGAATATAGTTACTATTAATTCAAATTCGCAGAATAAAAGTTTAAGAGATCGACCTTAGTTCAAAACAAAATTTCCATCCATCCACAAATGATATGAGAAATTGAATTGTTGGGCATCCTATTAAAATACACACAAATATTAACTTAAAACTGCATTCAAATTATATATAAAATGTGTCCTTCAGATTTAGACAAAACTAAGGAGTAATGAGCTGAAGCCACGGGTTAATTTACGTTGTAAACGTACTGAATCTCATACAGGATTTCATTGAAAAAGAAAGGAAGTAGAAGGAAGAGTACACAACCCACCAGTGACTGAGTTGGCCCCCATCACAGGGACAATATTGTTGTTTATGCCAATGGGTGGTTCTTGAAGATTGATGGGAGGGAGTGCCCTCAGTTGTTGAAGGAAAGACTCTGTTCTTGCTTCCAGTTCAGTTTCCTTTCCTTTAGGTTTTCGAATTCGTTTCTTGGGCACAGCATCTTTGTTTTCTCCTTTCTTCCTCCGTTTCAACTTCGTCTCCGGTCCTTCTGGCACAGGATTCTTCCTCTTGGCTTTCCGCAGCTCCTCATATTCCTTACGTTTACGCTCATATTCCTGTCTTCTCATTTCTGCGTCACAAGAAAACACAACACTGTACAGCAACGATGAGATATGCATGAGGGAGGCAGAAGTGTATGTGGGTGTATGTGAGAGTGTGTGAGAGTATGTGAGAGTGTGAGAGTGTGAGAGTGTGAGAGTGTGAGAGTGTGATATCGTGTTCATGCTTTAGTCATCACTACAAGTAATAATGTCACTTTGGCTCTACACAGACAGGAGGGGACCAACTCTCCCCAGCATCAGGAACAAGAACACGAGTCATGTTAAAAGATCATCACTGAAATTCACATGGCATGACAGAAAACACTTTCAACGGGGACAATGACCAACCTTTCATTTCAAGAAAACTGTGTATAATTATCAGTGGTGCAAGTGTTGGTTTTAACACTACTTTGACCAGCGCAAGCTTGATGTGGATGAAATGGTTGATATTTACCACTTACAGGTATGATGCTACAAAATTACACTGTGACACGCACGTTTGTCCAATATCAGATACTCTATACATGAACGATCAATCTTATCTCATTGGTTACCTCAGATGAAGTAGACACGGTGAAAAAAACACCCGTTTTTCTCAGTTATATGCCTGAAATGTTCAACTATCATATCGTTCAAGATACCACTGAAACCAACTTGAAAGATGATACAAGAACACAGTAAATTTTTCTCACACTGGTTTCATGGACTGGGTCATGTGGTGCAAATCAGCATAGGAAGATGTCTATGTAAGTACATAGGTATGTCATTTTATAAATGAAGACAAATGTATTCCATGTTTCATGAAGCCTATATTGAAACACTGTAAGGTGTCCTTTGTTCCAAGTGTGCATGTGGTGTGTTTACACAGATCTATGTCTGCTTACATGTTGAAAGGAACACTGGTGTATTGTTCTTCATAACAGTAAACATCAGAGTCTTCACCTGAACCTCTCATCCTGATGTGCTAACTATAAACACAAAAACTACAGACTAACTACATCTGGAGGGATGAAGTGAAGCAGGTCCACAGTACTAGCAATCAAGTCTACAAAACAAACTATTGCTGGTTGAACTAAGAAGGTTTTGACAGAATCACCACCAACAAAATGATTATTTGACTCTGATGATCCAAATTCGACAATATGTGAGAAATTTATGCTCCCATGCCACACCTTGGAGTGAGTACCCTGCCCAGGCCATTCCAATGCTATACCTAGTTGAATAATTTTAGGGCATGTGGGGTGACACCGCCAGGTTGTCCCCTTTCCTGAGTACCCCACTCTGCTCTTCCCACTTCCTAACCAGCTCCTCACTAGCTCCTCAATACCCTGCTGTCCTACCTCTGCTCTAATACTGAGGACCTGCCGCCACTGATATGAAGAAATATGTACTCACCCAGTATGTACTCACCGAGTATTTTCTCCCTTTCCTCAGGAGTTTTACTTTCCCACTCCTCAGAAGAAATCTCGGTTTCCCTAAATATAGGCATCTTGTCTATCATCTCCAGCTGCTGCTGCTGCTCCGGTGTCAGCTGGGGGATGTCTTCTCCTTCACCCTGTGAAAGCGAGCACAGAGAACTGCAGCATAACTCAGAATCACCAACAGAGATAGCAATGATGACATGTGCGTTAGTGAAACTTAAATAGTCATATCCACAGTAATTCAGCTATACTGTTCACTTATGTTACTGTGATGATGTAAATACAGCATTCAACACTAACTGTACCCTTACCTGAGGGCTGTTCTGGGCACCCCTCTTGGCTCCACTGTTCGCCAACAGCTGCTTCAGAAGAGCGTTCTGGCTGGCTCGCAAGGCCTCTGCATCACCTGCAAAAACACGTTACTCACCGTCAGAAAACCTACACACAAACATTACTTTCATTGCTGTTTTTAAAACACTAACTCTAAGAAGCTTTCAAGTTTCAACAATAGAGTAGCATACAAGGGAGAGAACAATACAAATGAGTCATTATTTCTTGTTCTGAACAAAATGACAGGCAGCATTACCCAAAAGGCTTCAAAAGGCTAAACTAATCCCAAACTAGTTAGTTTACTATCACATATAATACTGGGGTTGCTTGTCTCAATGCAATGAGCTGAAAGGCTATTATTCACAATGGCATATTTGACAAGTTTAGTGTGAACCTACTTGTGTCAAACTGTAGGAAGGCATCGTCTGTGGGCTCTTGCTTGATCTTGACACTGTCAACAGGGCTTGGTGTGGCCAGAGCGGACAGGGATCCTGCCGGAGAGGTTGCTGTGCTTGCGATGGGTGTAGTCACAGGTGTGGTTGACTGGGGAGGAGTTGACACGCTGTGAGGTGGGGTCAGGTTTGGTGTTGAAGGGGAGGCCTTTAATCTACCTTGTGTCTGCTGTTTGGGTAGGTTGAGGGGCGACAACTGTGGTCCACCTAGAGCTACACCAGGCATTCCTTGTCCTGGGATCTGTTGTGGCATTGCATGCTTTGCCTGCATTACACCATGGAAGTCACCAATGGCTTGTGAAATCAGTTCTGGATTGGGAAGGGTTGGAGAATGTGATGGCATTCCAAGCAGTGCAGAACGAGGAGGCCTACCTTGTTGAACAGAGAGAGGTGGCATTCCTGGAGCAGTGTGAGGTGGCATTCCTGGAGCAGTGTGAGGTGGCATTCCTGGAGCAGTGTGAGGTGGCATTCCTGGCACAGAGTGAGGTGGCATTCCTGGTGCAGTAAGAGGTGGCATCCCTGGTGCAGTAAGAGGTGGCATCCCTGGAGCAGTGTGAGATGGCATTCCTGGAGCAGTGTGAGATGGCATTCCTGGAGCAGTGTGAGATGGCATTCCTGGTGCCGAGTGAGGTGGCATTCCTTGTGCCGAGTGAGGTGGCATTCCCGGAGCTGGTGAGTGAGGTGTCATTCCTGGAGCTGGTGAGCGGGGTGGCATCCCTGGAGCTGGAGAGCGGGGTGGCATTCCCGGAGCTGGTGAGCGGGGTGGCATTCCCGGAGCTGGTGAGTGAGGTGGCATTCCATGAGCTGGTGAGTGAGGTGGCATTCCTGGAGCTGGTGAGTGAGGTGGCATCCCTTGAGCTGGTGAGTGGGGTGGCATCCCTGGAGCTGATGAACGTGGAGGCATTCCATGTGGTTGAGGGGGTACTCCCTGAGCAACCTGGTGGGGATGACCAGCATGAGGGGGCATTCCCTGGGCAGTTGACTGAGGGGGCATTCCAGGAGGGGTGGAGTGAGGGGGCATCCCTGCTGGTAGGTGTTGCATGCCATGTGGAGGCATCCTTTGTCCTGGCATCCTCTGGGGCATCCTCTGCATCAGGTGAGGTGGCATGCCATGCGGCAATCTGTGCATCATACCTTGAGGCATCCCTCTCTGAGCAAACTGGGGGTGCATTCCTTGTGAAAGTGGTGGCATTCCTGGTGCTGCACTTCTTGGGGGCATCCCAGATGCCATTGACTGAAGAGGAACTCCCTGAGCAACCGAATGTGGAGGCATACCCTGAGCAGCTGACTGAGGTGGCATCCCTGGCATACCATGAGGCCGGAATCCCTGTCCAGGGGGTATTCCTTGAGTCAGTGTGTGGGACGATGCTTGATTAGGCAGCATACCTGGAGCAGCTGAGTGAGGTAAAGATTGTGGAGAGGAACGTGGTGGAATGCCTGGTGGTGTAGAGTGTGGAGGAATGCTTTGAGGTGTGGAATGGGGTGGCAGTCTTTGTCCCGTAAGTTGTAGGCCTTGAGCATGTGGTAACCTTTGTAGCATCGCTGATTGGTGCATGCCTTGCATACGTGCCATGTGAGCTGCTACCTGCTGCTGCATTGCTGCTGGAGACATGGGCATCCTCATGCGAGTCTCACCTGTTTGTGGAACAATCTGCCCTGGTATCTGCGGATAGTTGGGCGAGGAGCTTGGTACATTTGAAGGTGTTGATGCCCGAGACTGTAGTCGTGACCACTGGATGAGACAGTCTTGGACTAGAAGCAGTTGCAGGTATGGCTGATGAAAGGGTCATCATGTTTCCTGGTAAGGACACTGACTGTGGAACACTTGCCTGCATAAGCTGGGATACTAAAGCTCTACTTGACTGTGAAACATTAGGCTGCAGAGGGGGCTGATCTGGATCTCCAAGCCTTTGCGGTTGTACAGCACCTGGTGGCAGCTGAGGTCGTGGGTTGGTCCGGCAGGTGAAGTAGCAGTTAGAGAGGGCCTCATTGCATGACCCGACATGATAGCAGTAGCGTAAGAAGGTGGAAGGCGCTGCGTCGGACCTGGTGCTTGAGGTGATGTATCGCCCACACCAGCTTGCGGCTGATCAAGAGGTATATGCCCTGCTCTCATCATCTGTTCCTGAAGTACTTGAGGATTAATTTCAGGTCGCAGGTGCCTCAGCATCGAATGCCCTTGTGGAAAAGGTGGTCGTGGATGTCCTTGGCCCATCATTGATTGAGGAGGGGATGGATGCATTGTGGACTGTGCAGAAACTGGAGCTTGTTGAGGTGTTGAGATACTTGACTGTGTACTCTGAGTGGATGGAGCGGTCTCATTGTGCGAGGATGCAGCTGACGTCTGCACTGATGAGGCCAGGTGTGTCTGAAGACTACCAGATGTTGAAGTTGGTTCCTCATTCGATCCCGAGACAGGCACTGCAGGAGAAGCAGTTGCTGACTGATTAGGAACACTCTCTGTGGGCTGCTGTTGACTAGAAGTGGATGGTGCAGTTGGCTGCAAAGCTTCTGGATTATCACTGTTGCCATCTTTGGTGTCACTTATTTGCTTGGGGGTTTCAGCCTGCACTGGTTCAGTGCTTGATTGGGTGGCTGGTTGATCTTGAGGACTCCTGTCACTCTTTTGTGTTTCCTCTGTTGATTGGGGTTTTGTTTGAGATGGTCCTGGGGCAGCTGAAGAGCTTTCTCCAGCTGCTTTGCTTGTTCTGGCTTCTCCCTCTGCAGGAGTTTCATCTTCATCATCAGTTCCACAATGTATTCCATCGTCACAGACAAACTTTTCTTTAGGGGGATCTGGTCCTTTTTCTTCCTCTTCTTCATCATCTGTACCACAATGAATTCCATCATCACACACAAACTTTTTTTTTGGTTCCGATGACTCCCCACCTTCAGTGACAGATGCACCACCGTCAGGCTCATCATATGCGTCATCTGCCGGTTTGTCAGTTGATGCACTGTCCTTGCCAGATGGTTGTTCCTCCAAATGGTGTGCAGGAGGTTGGTCTGGGGGTGCAGATGCTGATTCTGCTGTCTGTGGGGAAGGTGTTGTCTTTGAGGTAGTGGACAATTCTGAAGACACATCAGTTTGTGGTTGAAGATGAGGGGGAGACTCATAGCTCGGTGCACTCTGCATAGCAACACTAGACTGTGTCACTTGAGTTTCCAAATGAGGAATGGATGAACTCCCATCTTGTGCAGGTTTCTCAACCTCCTGATCTGAAGGGGCACCTGTTGTGGATGCAGGAGACTCCACTTTGATGTTACCAGATTCTGTAACTTTAACTTGATCTGACACTGGAGGTGTTGACCGGAGCAGCAGTTGGGTAGCCTGACCTGCCTGAGCACCTTGTGACAAAAGTGGCGGTGGGCCTGTGGACTGGGCTCCTGCCTGTTGTGCTGGGACTGTGCCCTGAGGTTGAATGCCTGTCCCAGAAGGTGCTGGAGACACTGCTCCTTGCTGTGCCAGAGGTGGCGGTGGTTGCAGAGATGGTGGAGCAGCAGCAGAAGATGCAGCAGTTTTGCCCCGAGCACTCTTCCCACCAGGTAGTTGCTCATCCCCTTCCTTCTGCGCAAGAGCAGCAGTTTTACTGAGGATTTCCAAGATTCTTCGCTCAGTTTCTGACTGTGGTTTTATCGGAAACTCTGTCATCTTAGCTGGAGGGGCAGGAGGCGGTAGAGTTGTGGCTGTTGTAGTAGTCGCTGTAGTGGTGGTCACAGCTACTGGAGCAGCTGGGGTGGATGGTGGATTTTGTCCTGCAAATATTACACCAGTAAGTGAACTGAACGAAAATGGATGAAAGATATGTCTCACTGAAACGATAAGTTTGGCATCGATGACACGTACCAATAGCAGTGCCTAGACAACAGTTACACAATGATGGACGACATATAAGCCACGTTTGTTTTTTCAGTAAGTAAAGATATGGTATGAACTTGGCCCAAATCACGTACCAACAGCTGTAACATTACAACAACTATGGTGCATGCTTCGTCAACAGTTGTAAGCTCGGTCAACTCAAAGCCTATCTTGACAATGCATATGGACACAAAGCTTGCTGCCATGATAAAAGCACAATAATTTACAGTAAGATATAGTAATAATTAGTCCATAATACAAATTTTCACAGTATAGTCTGCCAAGCAGGAATACCCATACCTAAACACTGACTTTCAGTTGAGCACAAACTGAACCAATGCACATCGAGTAATCTCTTAGAGATAACATGTGAAGCTTCCTCATGCACACAAGTCTGAATGATGTGTGAGAGGCCTCAGGCAATGCCAAAGGTACCCAGGCCAGATTGCTGATGCATGCAGACACAAGTGTACAAGAGGCACTCCATGACACTGACTGGCAGTATAGCCCACTGCTATCTCACTGACAGAAGAGGGCTGCTAGCTTCTGTTTCTGTACACATGGTAATGGTTCTGGACACCTGGTGACTACTTTAATATGTATTTCTTATAACAACTGGTGTTTTCTGCTTTAAGCACTGGCACTATCATTAAGTTTGATAAATATCAATGTTTCTTTTTTGTATGTGCTTGTTTATGTACATCGTGCTACATTTTTTCAACTGATGAATCAGAATGAATATATGCTGCTGCTTTTAAGAACAGGATTTAGACATAATTACTCATGATGCAAACAAATTGCTAACATCTCTTAACAAATGATCTTAATGTCCTCTTGCCTCTTGTATAGTCATTGTGTGGCAAATGAATACACAAATATGGGAACTAAAACAAGAATATCAGTTGCTTTAAAACTGTGATAATCAGTGATAACTACTGTACAAGTGTTACGAAATGATGAAAATCAAATCAATTTTCCAAGAGTGAAAAAGGTCAGTCAACACATACAAGCAAATTTTATTTCAATCTTATTTGTCACTAAATTTGAATCCTAGTGCAGAGCAATGCTTCCTTAGACCAGGAAATGTACTCCTCCCATTAAATAGATCAGGGAAAGACAAACAATTGCCAGCAGCCCCCTTGCACGCTACATTCCTACAGAAACGTGATTGTACCTAAAATGGCTGGTTGTGTGGGAATTGAAGGTGGCAAGGGTTGGGACTGCACATTTTCAGTTTCTGCTGCCTTTTTTTTCTTCCGTCGCTTTTTCGGCTTTCCCTTTGCTCCTTGGGAGCCCATCTCAGGGGGTAGATTTGCAGTGGGAGGGATGCCAAAGCCTGTAACAGCCATGGGAGGGAAGTGAAAGAAGCGTAAGACAGGGACAACACAGCATGGACGTGGCGATGCTTCCTCTTTCACACCAGCAGAGTCACCAAATACTTTGCACTGAATTGTCGATAAAATTTTCTGAATCCATTTTCATACTTGTACCCTTTTGAACTTTTGTATTTGAAAACGAGGGACAAAGCATTATGAGGACATGCAGCCAAAGAACCTTTGTTTATTAAGACCATATGAAAATTAATTTGTACAACCTTGGACAGCCTAACATCACTGAAGTCAAGACAGGCAAATTCTTTGATCTAACATCCAAAATTTCATTTGTGACAAGATAATAGCCTTGGCTAATCTGCTGGGTTTTGGTGCCGGAGGATCAATGTACTTTTCATTACTACCAGATGAATGCACGTCACGATGCAAACACTGTCCTGGTTAAACAGTTGGGTTCTTCTCAGCAGAGAGTGAAAATACCACCTCCTGTTAACAATTCATGACATTATCAATATGTGAAATACAACTCCAGGACACACACAGTAGGTCCGCAGCTACTGATATACTACTGAAGCACTACACACTCTACAAGCTGGGGCAGGGTAGGCTAGAAAACAGCACTGTCACTAACATGGCCCACTGGTCACTCGGGTGATAAACTAACATAGCCCACTGGTCACTCGGGTGATAAACTAAAATAGCCCACTGGTCACTCAGGTGATAAACTAACATAGCCCACTGGTCACTCAGGTGGTAAACTAGAATAGCCCACTGGTCACTCAGGCGAAAATCATTCTGCCTGTAACACAATATATACCACAGATATCAAATGGGATAACAATCCTTAAATTCAGATCAGACTGCATCATGTTTATATAGTCCAGCCAAATACATACCCAATATTAATTCACTGAGAGATTCCACCATGATAATGCTTACACCTATTCCTGAATAAATTGTTTTAATTTCTGAAATTCAAGCACACAAATATGCAATGGCAGGGGAAACTCCCCTTCATTCATACTAATAGAATTGCTTTTGTTTAACATAAAAATATACAAAATATCACTGCTCTTAACAGCAACACCTACTCTATTCTACTACATCACATACTGACATATTCCCTGAGTCACAATAGGATCAAGCAGCACAGCGTGGAAGCATGTGATTCAGCAAAGCAGACAAAGCAAGCGCAGAGGATGCAGAAAGAAGCAACTGAAATGAGCTCACAAACCTGAGAGATCTAGGAGAAACTAAATACATGCAGATCCAACTGAAGGCCACCTACTACTCAGCGGGAAGAACAACATCTCCACTGGAAGTCTGTACATTCTACTAGACGCTAACTCCAGTAGAAAATAACACTTGTGGTAGCAAACTAAAGGAAATGGCAAATACAGGATGGTTAGGCATGGCATCTGTCTTGTATTGGGTAAGATCTACAAACGTAATCCTAGGGGCCGTGTACAAAGTAACCTTAGCGCTACGACAGTCATAAGTCTATGTTAAGAATGGGAGTTATGATCACCTCAGCACTAAGATTACAGGTGCACCCTGGCACCTACTTCAGGGTGTCGGTTAAATTGCATATCCTTCCTCAAAACAATTATTCAAAATGGAGACTTGCTTTTCCAACTCAGGTCAGCATATAAATGACGACATCTTTTCAATGGGTTCCTCGTCTTTGTTTGGAAGATTTGGAGTGCAGTGAACAGTAGAGTGCACAGATAAAGGGACTTTTCTCAATAACTTAATGGCAGTTTGTTGTTCAGTAAGACAGAGCCGAGCCATATCCAGTAGGGTTGCCAGGGGTTACCATGATGGACCAATGCCTGTTAGATACTGTCGACACTCCCTGAGCACCACCACATCACTAACCTGGCTGGAAGGGCAAGCCTTGTGGGAAAGGGAGGCGACTCTGGTCAGAACCAGGCATTTGGGGGTAAAGTCCAGGGGGTCCAGGATAGGCAGGTGGGCGAGGTCCCTCAAATGGGCGCGGTGCCCCTTCTCCAGCAAACAGGCCTGGTGCTAGTTGTATAGCATATGACTTGTCATTATTGAATAACAGAAAAGAAATAACAGACAGCATCAGTGTGTACAAAGATCCAAGAATACAACATCAATGTGACAGGGCTCTAGATGCTCATGACGTTTGTGTAATAATAAATAAAAGCAGCAATATATTTCCCATATGACAAATTTCTTGCACCAGAAATTAAGGTACAGAGTTTGGAAATTTCACATATCTTTTTGGGTCACCAATTATATTCTTTGGGGTTTTTCAATAGATTAGTATCCATGTTTCAGATGCAAGTAATTTGAAAAGCTGATACCCCACCTGGAGGAGGAAGCATGTTATTCAATGTGTGCATTTGCTGATATACCACCTCAAGCCGTACAAGTCATAGAGATAGTTACATATTAACATCTTAAACATGAACATTTTATCAGTCTCAAATTCATACATGAAAATTTGTTATGTTGTGGAAAGTGGAGCTGGCAACCGATCTCAGAATCATGCCTCATGTAAAATGTTCTCAGGAGCCTTATAATAATATTCATAAAACACAACCAAACTGCATCTAGGGTTCTAATTAAATTATGACAAATAACAATAAAGTCAAGATATAATATACAGGCATCTGCAAAGACAAAACTTTACAATAGACATGTTTAATAAAATTACTACAAGAAGTCAAAGAATCCTATAAAACAAGTAAAACTTGAAGACAAAGCAAGAAAGAGTAATGGTGCAGACATACCTCGTGTGAAGCGAGGGCCTTGTTCAAACGTCATCCCTCTCTCCCTGAAGAACTGCATCTGAGGGAGGGCTTGAGGAAGAGGTTGAGCTGGAGGTGCTAGAGAGTCAGCGGGTGCTACAACATCATTGTTGGATGTCCAAGTAAACCCATTACCACTACCCATGATCAATATTTGGCTTGGGATTAAATGTAATTAGCCTGATCCTATCTTGTATAAAAAACATGCAGTTCAGAAACACTTAACATATACCACTCATCACTTCACAACTGACTCTGTGCACTTGAAATGATGAGTGGCCACAAGCTTTGTCCCGAAACTAGTTTCTGGTAACTTGTAATTATGATATCCATACATGTGACCAAGGCCAAGACTATGTTTGTTTAAGGTGTGTCAAGAGTGGGTTGTCAGGATGGATGGTTCCATCTACAACCCCAACAGTGACACATGGCGTTGATATTACAAAGATTCCAACCACAGAGAAGTGCACTGGTGCAGAGTAACAACATAAATTGGACAGAAAAAGAGTCAGTGTGGCCTGAAAAGGGAAAGAAGCAGCCCTTAACCCTATCACCAGGCCACATTACACTACCGCACTAGAATGTAGGTACAACATGTATCGTCAGCTCTTGGTAAGCAAGTGTTTGCGCTATAGCTAACAGCTGAACTGGAGCAAATGCTGGTTTACCTGGCCCTTGCACTTCAGTAGTTGGAGGGGTGGCACCTTCGTGAATCTGAGCCCAGTTCTTCTCACGGAACCGTTCAAGCTGTTCTCTCTGCTGAAATCCCTCACTAAACGGATTGTTGTCCTATGATTACAAAATAGTGCATCAGATAGTGAGTACATACGGAACAGATTCTGGTTGCTTAAGCGGGCACTCAAAGGAACAGGGTTCTAAAACTGGTCAAATACTTGCCTACAACATTCAAAATCTTTAACCACTTGGCTATTCGATCAGCCCTCAATTGTTCACTGGAGAGCTTAATAAGCAAACAGTTTATTTCTTTGTTGTATAACGCTGCACTCAGCAATATTCCAGCTATATGGCGGCGGTCTGTAAATAACCGAGTATGGCCCCGACAAACCAGTGATCAACATCAATCTATGAAGTTGGGATACGATGATGTGTCAACAAGTCAGTAAGTCTTGTCGAGGGTCGAGGGCACAATTTCTAGTGACCAAGATAATCATCTTGTTGAGACGTGAGCATTTACTTCATCCATTATCTCTATTACTAATGCACTTATGAAAGTGACCTACCAGTGTCAACCAGACTAGGCTCTTCACACTGTACCCACGTGACTTGCCCACCACTAGTTATTCAATCACTCTATCGTAGCGCATGACAGTATCGTGCACGCATGCGTAAGTCAAAGTTACCCTTTCATATGTATTTCACAATTTTCACATCTTGGAACACATAAAACAATCTAAGTGCATCACAATCAGTTGACAATATCGGCAGACAACAGTAAAATACTAACCCCTAGGACAGTAGTAAGCCGAGCCTGTTGCGCTGCTGTCATTTGACCAGGGCCCATAGGACCTCCAGGACCCACTGTTGCTGGTGACTGTGCAGCACCTGGCGCACCTTGTCCTGAAGGGTGCTGTCCGGGAGATATCTGTCCTGGGGATATCTGCCCTGGTGGTAGTTGTACTGGTGGTACCTGACCTGGTGGTAGTTGTACTGGTGGTACCTGACCCGGGGTAAGTTGACCAGGAGGAAGTTGACCAGGAGGAAGTTGACCAGGAGGAAGTTGACCAGGGGGAAGTTGACCCGGAGGAAGTTGACCCGGGGGAAGTTGACCAGGAGGAAGTTGACCTGGTGGATGCTGACCCGGAGGAAGTTGACCTGGTGGATGCTGACCCTGAGGAAGTTGACCTGGGGGTATCTGTCCTTGTGGAAGCTGTCCTTGGGGTACCTGCCCCTGCATCTGGCTTGAGGGCACAGGAAGTCTTGGCCCAGTCATAGGCATGCCTGACCCTCCTGTCTGTTGGCTCAACATTCGCAGCCTGTTCTGCATATAAGCTTCATATTCCTGTCTGTCTGTGCGAGTCAATCGGACAGAGTTTGCACCCGGGACACGGACTGGTGGAGTCTGTGGGGGCGTTCCTGCAGGTGTGGAGGCAGGAGAGGAAGACAGAGTGGCAGAAGGTGTCGATACAGGAGAGACCTGCGCTGCTTGGTTAGCCTGAGCAGGTACTGGCGATGGTAGCCAGTTACGACCAAACTGTTCCTGAAGCATAACAAACACAAAGGAATTAATAACAGATCAAATTTGTCATTTTGTCCACTGTTAGCAGTTTCAGAAAAAGAATTTCATTTTCTTGACAGAATATCAGCTTTATGATGAAAGAAAACCCAAAATGAAATAGCCGTGAAAGTACATTGGTTTGTTGAGAAATGCCATACTCAGCAGTATTCCAGCTATATGACAGAAGCCTGTATATAATGGAGTCTGGACCAGACAATGAGTTGTGAACAAGTGTCCACAACCTTTGGATACAGTGACTTTCAACCAAGTCATCAAGTCTGACACACCAATCCTCTCGAGACCAGCATTGGCTGCTGACTTCCTATTGTAACGTTGAATCCCAGGTGTTCTGTGTTTAGAACCTTACAAAGTGTGGCTTCGTACCTTCTGTTTGTTGCGATAGTCCTGCACCATCATCTGGTGTTGTCGCTGCTGCTTCCTCAAGGCCTCCAGCTGTTTCTGCAGACCCGACTGCTCTGTGGTGACCCGCTCCAACTCCGCAACATCGTTGGGATTCAGCTCATTTCCATTTTTTCGTGCCTGCAGATTAAAATATACAGAAATGTTTCAAAGGTGCATACACATACCTAAAACAATTCATGCAAGTAACTCAGATGAATCCTGTTCTATCATGAGAAGCCCTTTCAATCTCTACTTTGTTCACAACACCACGGGTAACAATTAGTCTCTGTCTGTCTGTATGTGTCAACACTAATGTCTGTTTTACAGAGCTAGCCAACCTCATTTTTGCATGGATACTCCACTCAAGACACAGGATATTTTATCCCCCTGATGCCAAGCACCTAGTAGTGTGATCCCCAGGGAGTTGAGATTGATAATACGATATGACGTTGAGATTGACATCCAATGATCGAGGGGAAAAAGAAAAGCGCCTTGAGCACGTACTAGTTGCGTGGACATGTGCTCTATAAAAATATGGTATAATAATAGTGTGAAAGCTCGTACCTTCTTTGAACATATGGTGTGATATGGCAGTGAATATACAGAAACACCTTTCCCTGTCTGGACAGGCATTCTTTCGATCAGACCCTGGAGACAGTCACAAGGACAGAGGTATTTACCTGTCTCTGTCGAGCTTGAATGCTCTTCTTGGTTCTCTTCTGTTTGGCAATCTGCTGTTCCAGAAGCTTGATCTGCATGTCCAGGAACTGAGCCTGTTTGGTGAGCCAGTCCTCATACTGCAGTTGCTGGCGATCGTACTCCGCGGCCCCACCTCACCTGCACACACAAACAGATCTGGTTTAAGGAAAATACATGCACCCTTACTCAATCTATACTACTGGCAACATGTTCATAGTCAGCAGGGATCAACTACTGACTGCATCACCGCAGTGACAAGAGCAGCAGTGATCAATATTGAGCGAGTGAGTGAGTTTAGTTTTTCGCTGCTTTTAGCAATATTCCAGCAATATCACGGTGGGGGACACCAGGAATGGGCTTCACACACTGTATCCATGTGGGGAATAAACCCGCGTTTTCGGCATGACGAGCGGACACTTAAACACTAGACTACCCCACCGCCACTGATCAATATTGAGCAGATCAGATATGATATCAGTGTCATAACCCCCATGTTGAAGATGGAAGACTCAACAAGATTCTCCATTCAAATGCCTCAGCAGCAAACCTTAAGGACTCACCAACTGAACTCTATGTTGCTACAATTTGCTTGATTCACAATGTCCCTATCCCAGTGTATTTTTCTTTAATCATTCATTTTCATGTTTCACTGGCATCTTTTAAAGCACCATATGTATTCTAATCTTTTCCTGAATAAGAGTTTGAAACAAACAAAAAGAACATCTGCTAAATCTCTATGAATTTGAAGTTTCTGGAACTATCGTGTATATCCATATTCTGTACTTAACAAATTGTAAAGACTCAGTCACATGCTACAAAAGCCTGACTACCTTGGTAAGGGTTCCCTGTTCTGTTACCAGGGTTACAAACGTGTTAATTACAAAAGTCTCTCACCTCCAGGTGGCGGGATGGGTGGCTGAGGGGGCGGGGGTATCATAGTGAGAGGGCTCATCCGAGGTGGCTGCATCCCTGGGGATGGCGTCTGGAAAGGGGACGGAGTCCGTGGACTCAGCTGTCCCTGAGCTCGGGGCCCAAATCCTGGGAACTGTGGACTGGTAGCCATTTCACCTTGTTGCCCGGTGGTCTGTGAAGCTGACCATGCCCCTTCTGGCCCCGGCATCCTGTTGGCACAAACACAAATATGTTAGAACTATTCAGTTCAAATTGTTAGCATGGATACTGCAACGACAGGTTGCACGACTAGAAAAAAATTGATAAATAACAAGTCTAGTAAAAACTTAGTACATTTGGTCTTATCTAAGAAATATGGTGGTATCCTTCTTTAGGTAAACTAATATCTGAGCTGAGTGCTTCACTCTCCTAAAGACCAACTGGACACTGGATGGTGGATATCGCAGGCCTCGACATCATGCCGAACTTAACTATCAGCTACAGCTATTGTAAGAGTGAGTGAGTGAGCTTGGTTTTACACCGCTTTTAGCAATATTCCAGCAATATCACGGCAGGGGACACCAGAAATGTACCCATGTGGGGAATCGAACCTGGGTCTTCGGCGCCATTGTAAAAAAATGGTGACCTTGTACAAAGCAATGTCAGCACTAAAGTGATCTTAACTCCTGTACCACAACAGTGGTTATATCTCATGACTCACGTGATAATATCACCACAACATACCTTTGTGCTTCCAGGCGAGGTCCTATCATGTGCTGTCCCAGAACTATGGAAATAGAAAGGAGCATAAGTAATGAATACAATGTAAAACTAAAACAACTGCAGTTTCGTTATTAGACAATGAAGTCTTGGAGATACAAATGCAACTTGTAAAATAAGTATCAACCTGGTCTCAGGCCCGGTGGCATCATGGCTTCTGGTTTTCCTCCGATTTCACGCCGATGGATTAGGGCTTGCTGTTCCGCCTGACGCTTCTGTTCCTGCTTCTCCTGCAACCACAGCAACATCAGCGCGTTACAGTAACATCAGAGTTACATCAATGTCAGTCATATGACAACATTAAGACTTCTGGAACATCTCCCTTACATCAACATCACATGTATGTAACATCACTAGAGCACCTTAAACATAAACAAGGCGAGTACAGGCTTCCGCTTATCTCCATCAGTGACATGACCTTCACAGCAACATTACATGTATGTAACATCACTAGAGCACCTTTAAACATAAACAAGGCGAGTACAGGCTTCCGCTTATCTCCATCAGTGACATCACCTTCACATCAACATCACATGTATGTAACATCACTAGAGCACCTTAAACATAAACAAGGCGAGTACAGGCTTCCGCTTATCTCCATCAGTGACATCACCTTCACATCAACATCACATGTATGTAACATCACTAGAGCACCTTAAACATAAACAAGGCGAGTACAGGCTTCCGCTTATCTCCATCAGTGACATCACCTTCACATCAACATCACATGTATGTAACATCACTAGAGCACCTTAAACATAAACAAGGCGAGTACAGGCTTCCGACATCTCCATCAGTGACATCACCTTCATCAACATCACATGTATGTAACATCACTAGAGCACCTTAAACATAAACAAGGCGTAGTACAGGCTTTCCGGCTTATCTCCATCAGTGACATCACCTTCACATCAACATCACATGTATGTAACATCACTAGAGCACCTTAAACATAAACAAGGCGATTACAGGCTTCGCTTATCTCCATCGGTGACATCACCTTCACATCAACATCACATGTATGTAAACATCACTTTCAGAGCACCTTAAACATAAACAAGGCGGTACATCTTCCGGCTTATCTCATCAGTGACATCACCTTCACATCAACATCACATGTAATGTAACATCACTTAGCACCTTAAACATAAACAAGGCGTAGTACAGGCTTCAAGCTTATCTCCATCAGTGACATCACCTTCACATCAACATCACATGTATGTAACATCACTAGAGCACCTTAAACATAAACAAGCAAGTTACAGACTTCTGCTTATCTCCATCGGTGACATCACCTTCACATCAACATCACATGGTGTAACATCACTAGAGCACCTTAAACATAAACAAGGCGAAGTACGGGCTCCGCATCTCCATCAGTGACATCACCTTCACATCAACATCACATGTATGTAACATCACTAGAGCACCTTAAACATAAACAAGGCGAAAGTACAGGCTTCCCGCATTATCTCCATCAGTGACATCACCTTCACATCAACATCATCATGTATGTAACATCACTAGAGCACCTTAAACATAAACAAGGCGAGTACAGGCTTCCGCTTATCTCCATCAGTGACATCACCTTCACATCAACATCACATGTATGTAACATCACTAGAGCACCTTAAACATAAACAAGTATGCAGTACAGGCTTCCGCTTATCTCCATCAGTGACATCACCTTCACATCAACATCACATGTATGTAACATCACTAGAGCACCTTAAACATAAACAAGGCGAGTACAGGCTTCCGCTTATCTCCATCAGTGACATCACCTTCACATCAACATCACATGTATGTAACATCACTAGAGCACCTTAAACATAAACAAGGCGAGTACAGGCTTCCGCTTATCTCCATCAGTGACATCACCTTCACATCAACATCACATGTATGTAACATCACTAGAGCACCTTAAACATAAACAAGGCGAGTACAGGCTTCCGCTTATCTCCATCAGTGACATCACCTTCTGGAACATCACCCTTCACATCAACATCACATGTATGTAACATCACTAGAGCACCTTAAACATAAACAAGGCGAGTACAGGCTTCCGCTTATCTCCATCAGTGACATGACCTTCACAGCAGCATTACATTTACATAATCACAGAGTTGGCAACTCTCACATCAAGCAACCTTACTGTAGTCTGTGCCATGCAACTGAGCATGAGTACAGTCAGGCCGCGTTAGTCCGGACTCCGATAATCCGATTCACGCGTTATCCGAACGGTATCTAGCTGTAACCAATCTTGTTTACTATGTAAACTCATTAACTGTTGATTCATTAATCTGGTGCTTCACTCTCCGGCTCCGGACATTAATTAGCGGTAACGGATTAGCTAATTACACTTGGTTTTGCTTTATTAATCCGGCGGTACATCAAAAAGGTTCGGATAATCCCCTTACCTCGTGAGCAACATTGATTAGCGCTGATCTTCATCAGTCAACTTCAATGGTAATTGATAAGTGGGGTGACACTTCTGAGTTGAACATGTCGTTAGTTTGTGATTTTAATCAATTAATAGGTCTCACTTGTGCGAACGCTACTGGCCCCATCAAAACATGTATACATTCTTATGTTCTTGTCTCAGTATGTCAAAAGGAAGTAACCCTACTGTAGTGGCGTACATAATGGTTCATTTCAGTAGTCCATATGTTTCACTATCCGAACGTTTTTGATGAAAAACAGAAGCGTTCGGATTACCGCAGTCTGACTGTACATGACACCATATCATGTGAACCTAATCTTCCTTGGTTGTACCTCATCCATGGACAATCCACTACTTAACACACAAGTAACTGCTTGATCCTTGATCAACTCAAGACTGTTTCATTCAAGATGATTGTATAGATAATTCCACCCTACAATCGATACTTGGGATTAAATTGAGTAAGGTGGATTTCCAGGAATTATACACTATGATTCTCACCTGTTCCAGCAGTTCATCCAATAGAGTCGACTGTTCCTTAGGTTGAGGTGGAGGCATCTGAGCTGGTCGAACCATTCCTGGTCCCCCTGGTCCGGGATATCCTGGCACCCTGGGTCCTAACAGCCTCATGCCTGGGTGTTGTAACCGTGGTTGTCCTTGGCCCACATAGCCAGGTGGCAAGCCCCTCGGTCCCATTCCAGGATGACCATGTGCTAGTTGCTGCTGTAAGTTGGGATGAGATGTCTGTGGCATCCCAGGTCTTTCCGGCCTCATCCCTCCTATTCCCGTGTGGGCCTGGCCCAGCCATTGAAACAGAGACCATGTTACCCTGGTGTAGAAGCTTGGCGATCTCTGCTGCTGCTTCTCCGTGTAGCTGTTGGGCAATTGAACTGGGGGTTGTCCTGGCATACCAGCCTGGCTCATTACTACGGATGGGGGTACACCCTCCTGTCCCTGCAGGACAGGTCTATCTTGTCCCTCCTCTCCGCTTGACTGACTCACTTGTGGAAACGGAAGTCTTGGTCCTTGGTTTCGTATCCCATGTTGTGAAGTGATTGGCTGTCCATACAAAATACTGCTGGGGGTTGGCGTCAAAGTGCTTCCTCTGGGGGGTACATGGTTCAGCTGCTGCCCGTATGTCCCTTGTGTGTATTGGTTGGTTGGAGTGATGGTGGCTCTTGGTGAATGATGCATTGGAAAGGACTGGGCTTGAGGGTGACCAGATTGAGATGATGGGTTGAGCATTCCTTGTGGAGTATTGGGACCGAAACTGGTCTGACTGTGACTGAGCACTGGTCTGGGCTGTGCTCCTTGTGAGTATGGAGACAGTGGAGCTGACACCAGTCCAGAGCCAAAGGGAGACTGGGCTGAAACTGGAGGACTGAACGGAGACTGAACTGAGGTGGAGAATGGTGAGAGCTGAGATGCCCCCGGAGTGACAGGCTGGCTGTGAGGGGAATGTACAGGCATCTGGCTGAAAGGGCTGTGCATGTTGGGAGTTCTGGGGGATGGCTGCCCACTTCTTGGAGAGGGAATGAACTTTGGTGAAGGAAGACCTGGTGTCCCTGGCAACCCGACACTGCCCGATGGAGACATGTGGACCGGCGTCAGTGGGCCCTGGTGAGGACTAGGGCCATGGTGAAGAGGGGAAATACCGGGACCCAATCCCGGTCTCTGTCCCAGACCCAGACCCAGAGGATCTGTCTGAGGCTTTCCAGCCTCGGAGGCTCTGACCCCAGCCTGCAACCTCTTCTCTATTTCACTTCTTTCAAGTCTGGATCCTATAGGTTCTGTGCCTTGCAGCAGTGCTGCTATATGACTGACACCCTGCTTTGTTTCCTTTGCCCCACCAGCTTTCTTGTCTTTCTCGTCCTTTTTCCCATCTTTAGCAAGTCTAGCTGCATCTAATGCATACTGTTCTTGCCTTTTCTGGCTGAACTCAAGGAATTTGGCTTGGAAATCTTTGGCAGGATTAGCTTTCTGGTCCTGTGATTTATCATCGTCTGTTTCCTTCCCTGCTTCGTCTGCCGTGGCTGCAGGTACTACTGGCTTCTCCTCAGGTCTCTCTTGTTCTGGTCTCACTGATGTGGATGCAACCTCATGCTTCGGTGGCTGATCAGTTTTGGTTTCCTCAGGTTTGCTGGTACCCTCAATAAGATCCAGCTGCTCATCAAGGAATTTGTCATCATCAGATCCAAGTTCTGGATCTGCAAACTTCAGAATGTCAAATGTTCCATCTGCACCTGAAAGAAGATTTTTTAGAATGAATAAATTTGTGGCCACCCTGGCTGCCTAATGTATCTTAGTCCTTGCATGAAATTACTGCAAAACAGAGTACTTAAATTCTTTACATTCTGACACTCACTCCTCTAGAGGTGAATGAATAAGTGATAAGAAACTTTGATCACTGAAAATGTGTCATTTGTGATGAAACATCTGACAAGATTTTTTATTTCATTTGCAAGAATTAAGAATATTGTATGCATTTCGTCTCACAAAGCCAGAAATAGGAAGCTGTTGCATATACGATTTCTCCCAAAGTAGCCAATGCTTCAGCCCATAAAATACCCAATACTAACTGGTCAATAGAATTCTAATGCAATATCTGAAGAAATCCTCATGAACTTACACCCCTTTATGCAGATACATCAGTAAAGTGAAGTAACTTCAGAGTACCAGCAGATTTTACTGCATGTCAATTAGCCTAAGAAGTCAGCAACAGTACTCACTCAGCAAGTACCAGCAGATTTTACTGCATGTTAATTAGCCTAAGAAGTCAGCAACAGTACTCACTCAGCAAGTACCAGCAGATTTTACTGCATGTCAATTAGCCTAAGAAGTCAGCAACAGTACTCACTCAGCAAGTACCAGCAGATTTTACTGCATGCCAATTAGCCTAAGAAGTCAGCAACAGTACTCACTCAGCAAGTCGTCATCTTCATGTTTCTCATCTTCAGAAGACATGGGCTGCTTTGCCACCTTCAGATCAATGTCAGACAAGTGCAGCTGCTCGCTCTGAGTGGTGAGCCCCGCTTCATCTAAACCCTCCCCCGGCGTTGTGTCTTCAAGTTGTTCTCAGAGATCATGGGATCTCGGGTTGAAGTGAGAGGTGTTTCCTGCTGAAACAAGTCCTCTTCTGACTGTGCTGGTGTGGGTTGTGATGCTTGCCTGGCAAAGGGTGGGAGCATCTGCCTGGCACCTGGGGGTGTCAGCTTCTGATCTGGTCCCTGGAACTGAGGGGGGACTGCTGTAGGGGGGACACTATCTCCCCCGACTGCTGGCGGGTGCTGCAAAGCCATAGAAGGAAGGCCCTCGGAGGTTGGAGGTGTGAAGCCAGCTCCTTGGGTTGTGGCAGTGCTGACAGCTATAGGCGACATCATCGGATGGCCTGGAGACTGGCTGGCCTGAGATGCCAGGTGATCTTGAATAGCCTGCATGAACTGGGACGGGGAAGAAGGGTGGTGATAAAGGGTTTATACATTAAAACACTTCATTAATTAACACACATTTTTAGAGCGTTTTGATGCCACATTCAGCAACAATGTAGCTGTGTCATGCCACTACAAGTACAAGTTGTGTTCACACAAAGTAAACCATCTTGACTGATACCATCTTGGTGCTATGGTTGTTAAGTGGAATGAGGCCCTCAGATATACCGTTCTCTTCAAACTGTAGTAAAACTGGCTTAAGGAACATGGTTTAACAGAAAATTATGAGATGGCAAAACAACGGTGGCATTTTACTATCATAATCTGGGGAGTGCAAACTGAATCCTCATTTCCATTGCATACAAGGGACCTTTTCTTGAAAGCTACCTCCGATGGATGATTTGCAGCACTGCTTAGAGAACAACAGGACTACTACGACTTACTGGTTGTCCAGCCATAGATCCTGGAGGGAAAGGGCCGTGGCCTGGCGATCCAATACGGGGTCCCTGGTTAGGCCCTGTCCCTGGAGGGAATGCTTGACGGGGTGGCATCCCAGGTCCTGGGGGACGGGGCTGCCTCATGGCACCAGGGAATCCAGGTCTGACCTCAAACTGACCTCTCGGACCAAACCCTTCTCCTTCTGCAATGTAAACAACTGATTGTTGTAGGTGTATGGCCCTGTGCACAATACCTCATAATACATGGATTCTATTCATAACATCATAGGATCAACCATCTTAGGAAGACGTACCTGACCCGAACTGACCAGGGTTAGGTGGTCTCACCATCCTGTGTCGTAGAGCAGCCCAGCGTTCAGGGTGAGCCACCCCTGGGACTTGTTCAGAGAACCCTGGGGGTGGCCGTGGACCACCTTCCATATACCTTGGTGGCATACCTGTGAAATACAAAATATTACAGTAATTAGAAGCTGAACTATATGGAGATGACATCCAGTTTGTTTGTGAGGCATTTGCAGGACTACACAATCATAAACCCATTCTGAACAACATGTTTTCTCTCTTCAACTCACTAATGCATATTTATGGATGTTTCTGTTATAATGTTTTAACTTTAACAATGACCATAAAATAAAAATACTGACAGAACTTTTCAGAATATTTTTTCATTGCAGTAACCATCCATATCATTAAAAAAATACCCAAGATGGGGCACAAACTAACAACACATCATGAAGCTATACAAAATACCAGGGTAGATAACTCTTTTCTACAAGACAATGTTAAGGATACAACTGATGTACTCTTTAACCCTGCATGTAAGCTACAGATGTAACTATGGCACAACATGGTCCTACAACAGCGTGCGTACCCGGTGGCGTGCCAGGAAGGCTCTGAGGGACGCCATCTTGAGGTGGCCACTGGGGGCCTTTTGCCTTCTCTGATTCTTCCTGCTGCTTCCTAATTTTCTGCGACCTCATGATCTGCTGTGCCAGGATCTCCCGCAGTTGCTGGTGCTGGTTGCCGCGTTCCCCTCCCTCCAGGACCTCCCCTCCAGGGCCCTAGCAACACAGGTTGTATGTCTAACACACTGAACGCATGCAGTGAGTCATTTCAAACATTTGTGGATGACAGGGCAAAAACTCAGTCTACAACTACAACTGTACTCAAACTGCTCTTGACCATAGAAACCAATGTTCAATAGCAGCAATTATCAAAGGCAATGGGATGCTAGAGATGTCTTTGTGCATTGGCCGAATCACTTGCCTTTCAGGCAAGAAGTGGGAGTGAGTTTTGCCTAACAACACTTTCAACAGTATTCCAGTTATATCACAGTGTGTCAGTGGCAGTAAAGCCCGAAATGATAAGGTCACGGCATTTACCACTTAGTTGAAACCTACGAGCACAGGTATGGTCTGACAAACATAGAAACACATATGGGGGTGAAGGGGTATTCGAGGCAACAATCACAGGTTTCTGGCCCGCAAAAGGGATGCAACACTGTGTAGCAAATGACCACCTGTGCCCCTTCAGGCAACAAGATAATTCTTTCTGAAAACCAACAAGAGAGCCAACACATATAAGTTCTGTCATGATCAGACAGGTCTTGGTTAAGAGGAGTTTTCTTGGCTGTCACCCATACTATTGATACTTCTCAGCCATCTTGACCATCCAGTCCCCATATTTGTCAGCTTGTACATTAGGCATGGGATAGTGCCAAGGATTCCTGATCTACTAAGTTCAGACTTAAAGCAAACTGTAGGAGTCGATTCAGATACACAATAGGTGTGGATGGGAATATATATCTGGTGAGGCTGACGTTACACTGGGGGGATGGTATGGGTACAGTGATGGTACACAAGGGTGGAGGCCCATTAATGTAAGACTTACAACTGGGGAAACATTACAATACAGGGTAGGTGGAAGGCTTGTGACGCACACTGGAACAGACATCATCCAATCATTTCTTTCATTGTTGAGTACACATAAATAGATGTGGTGAACATTTCAATTACTTGTTGCACTGACGCTCTGCCATGATCCAGAGCATTGACAGAAATAATCTGTAATTGGCACAAACTCACCAACAGAGTAAAAACTCACCAACCCAGGAGCAAGCACAATCTACCCAGCTCTACTGTTTGCCTTCAAAAGGCAAGGTACTTAAACAAAATGCACAATCAGCTGTAAATGACTGAAGTAGACTAGTGAACGCAACATGGAAGCAGTAACAGAAGCATAATGGTGGCTTGAGAGTCTGGCAACGCAACACCAGTGCCATGTTCCACAGTGCCACCCCAGGACTACTGTAAGTCTTTGTTAAAGCACAGGAATCAACATGGCTGTATGGTCAACAATGCTTTGTCACAAAGGGCCCTAAATACTATACTACACAATTATATTTCTTACAAGATAGATATACTGGTACCATATGAACAATTGAATTTATTGAATATTTGGAACAATTGGATAAACATGACAATGAAATTTATGCTTTGGATCTCAATTTCTTTATGCATTGTAAAACATTTAAGTTCAGACAACATTTACAAATTACGAATAATGTCAATAAGTCAATGACTGTGTCTTCTATAGAAGTAGTGGTTCAGAAGCGTCAGCATTGCCAGTAATCTGAGTCCATTATGCTTCTGAGGATGTGAGGATCAACAGGGACAACATCAACAGCAACACTGCATGCACAACCAACTGACAGCTGGGCAAGGACAGTGCCACTTACCAAGAGAGTGTGTGAGATAGAACTAGCCCAAGATCCTGCAGCTAAGTGAGTGTGCCGTCGGCTGTATAGTTGTTGAAGCTAGAGACGTACAACATAGGACAGTCAGAGTTGATACTACCTGTGCACAACTTATCCTCACATTGCAACCACATCAAACTAGCTCACTAAAACATTTCCTTGTATAGTAAATACTGAAATCAATATAGCTTTCTCAGTCAAAAAAATCATGGAAAATTGCTCCAATGTCTCAGTTCAACTTTCAAAAACCTACACCCCAATATATACATGATGACCAAATGGGTATGATAAGTTTGACCTAGAGGTCACCTATTCCTAACACTGACATTAGTTGAAAAGAAAATCGTTCTGAAAAACGTCTGAAGCTTTTGGGACATCAGCCTATTCAATGAGACACTGACTGATGTACCTTAAAGTGATTTGGGACAGGGGCACAATGGAAACCCTAATAATTGCCAAGACAAATTATCCTTTAAAACACAGTAACTGCTTAGAACAGTGAATCTTTACTCTTCTTTTACCAAGTATTACAGCTCTTGATTCTCCCACTGACAAAGCCTCAAACTAAACAAGAACTGCTGAAAGCCTGCTGAATCCTACTACAGCCTACTCCAAACAACCAACTATTCTTCAACAACAACAAAATATTCACTATCCTTAAGTTTTATGTTGAGCAGAACTGACTGAACAATAAATTTTCGAATATTTGTCAACTTACTTTGATGTGGTTGCAAACAAAGACAGTTGCTACAATGTTGCAGCTCTACAGTTAGTCCTAAGATGATCTATCTCAAGCACAGACCCCAACTGTTGCATTCCAAGTCTGAACTCAATTTGAGGACAAATGTTATTTCTGGTATTTGAGTCATGTTAACAGAAGTTTTAATAAAAACATCAATATATACACTATGAGCTTATATGACGTGCATTAACACTAACCATTACAACGCTATTGACTGTAGACAGCATAGCATTATATGATGAACTTATTAACACATGAAGCCAGTCTTGGCAAAAGCTGTTTACGATTTTAATCTAGGACAATATAAATCAAAGTGCAGATGCATAAATAAAAATGCTACTAGACTTAGTGCCCTTCACCCAAGATGTAGATCTACTCATGCAGAAGGAAGCATAGTTAAATTGTCATACTCTTGTGGGAATAACTACTCTGGAACTTCACGTTAGAGTCAGTAGAGTTGGTGTAGCAGCAAGTATCATTAATAATGAAATTATAGAAAACATGGATATTACTGTTGTTAACTTGTTAGACAAACACACACAACACATTTAACTGGGAAAAGCCAATGTGAAATTATTTCCAGGGAAGTTATCCCCACAGAGAGTATGCATGTATGAAAACAGCACAGCACACAACATCCAGCCTACCATGGCGCTCTCAGGATGCATTGGCTTCTCCTGTTGCATGAAGGGAGGTCTCGGAGCCCTGATACCCATGCCACTCCCGGGACTCAGCTGCGACAGCGTCCTCGCCATTCCCACATCCCCTGCTTGCGGTGTGCCTGGGAACATCAACATCAAGTCTGTTAGATGCCAAAGTCAGTAATATCTTTTAACAAATAACATCTGGACCAGATAAACGAGTGATTGATATAAGCACCAACTCAGGTTGGTGGGTGCAAGGACACAACCAAACTTGACAACCAATCCATCTAGCTTGTCCTACAGCAGGCATGTGAAGCCAAGGTTGCAGGAGACTTCTTTTAACCAGCAATCCCAACCTACCTGGGAATAATAATCCATTCAACTATTTACCGGCATTGTCTTTTAGGAAGTACCCAAATGAAAGTTGTAGTGACTGAATCAGTTGGGTTCAATGGGTGAACCCTGCTTATAAAGTATTGAAGTTTTATCACCGTATGTCAGCTATACATATAATAAAATCTCCCAGTTATGCAGACAGCTACCTCTGGGAAAAATCCACCATAACAGGCATGGTGCTGCCAAATATATAAACATAATAGGGGCAAACCAATATATAAACCGGGACCATAGGTTTATGGTGTGCACAGGGGATACAACTCTGCACAAGAATTGAAGCATCTTACTAACTTGGTCAACTGTGTCCCTAGGGATGAGTGTGTTTGTGGGGGACTGTTTACCTGGAGGCTGACTGTAGGGGTCTGGGAGACTCTGTGAACGAGACAAGAGGGGTGGCCGGGTGGGGAACTGCTGGTCTGGGTGTCGGAGTGCCCCAGGAGTGGAGTGAGGAGACTGGGGAGAATGTGGTAGACCTACAAAAAATACAATTACATCTCCGTACTGGTTCAGTCACCTCATTCCATGTTAAACATAATACTGTAAGGAAGACTTCAAGAGACAGCTGTAAATTACTTTTAACAAACATGTGTCACACAAAAGGCTGAATCTCATTAACTAAAATATTATCCAAATCAAAAGCCTTATTTTCATGATTTTCAGTTACTGATGTATGTCTAACCTGGATGCGGGGTCATCGGCTGTTGACTGTAGGGATCGGTAGGTTGAGAGGTTGGAGGCTGTGGTGCAGGTTGCTGCTGCTGCTGGAACTGTTCGGGAGACGGATGTCTCATCCGTGGTGACAGCTGCTGCATCATTTGTTGTCGTAGTCCGTGAGTCATACCACCTGGCCCAGGACGAGGATGGAAGAATGGTTCGTCTTGCCCTGAGGGAGCCCTAGGTGTGCCAGGGGAAAAGGCATAGGGATCCGGAGCTGGTTGTCGCATCCTCATCATGGGGTCTCCTGGGCGGGGACCACCTGCATGTCCACCTGGAGACTGTGGTAGAGGAAGGCGTGGCCGCTGGAGGTACGGATCCATGACTGCAGATCTTGGTGTTCCCGGAGACTGAGGATATGGTTCTCCTGGCCCTGGTGGTCGTTGGGTAGGTGCTTTGAATGAATCTGCGACAGAAGTTGCAGGGTGTGGTGTCATTGGCTGTCTACTGTATGGATCATACGGTCTTGACTGAGGAATGCCTGGTGTTCCCGGCATCTTAGCATAAGGATCTTCTTCAAGGGTTTGTCTTGGAGTACCAGGTGGCTGGTGATAAGGATCATATGGCTGAGAAACTGGTACTGTTCGGGGAGGATGAGATAAAGGTCTCTGCCCCTCAGGGAACTGATCCCCAGCAAGAGGTGTGGATGGTTGAAACGCGTAAGGGTCCGGATTAGGCTGTGGTGGTCTGACAGCCGCCTCTGGGGGTCGGGGAGGACCAGCACCTGGGGGTAAGCTCTCAACACCAGGCCGTGGGCCCATTTGTTCGATTGTACGTGGAGGGAAACCCTCCATTCCGGGGCCAACTGGGGACTTTTGGAAGGACTCATCTCCTCCCCATGGAGGTCTTGGCATTGGTCCTGTCCCCAGAGGGCTCTGCAGAGGGCTCTGCAGGGGGCTGTGACCTGGCGTCAACTGTTGTCCTGTTAGCAGTACAAATATGCAACCTTAGTAATCCTGGTATCAATAATTCAAACATTCAGATTGCTCGCGTCACATAATAACCCTTACCAATGGAAAACTAATACAATGAATGATCTCACCTTCCATGGGTCTACCTGGACTCTGCATACCTGGGTGGCGTGGAGACATCATCCCAGGTAGCACACCCTCCATGCCAGGTCTTCGCACTGGAACAGGTATTCATCTTGATATATGCTTGGAAACTTGCTTACTTAATATTCAGAATAACCAAGTTTGCATATCTATTACAGCTTATAGTTATCTGACGTTTATTGAGTATTTGTGGGGTTTCTTTATATTCTGTACAAAAAGTAAAAAACAATCCAAAAACGTGAACAAGGCTCACTAATAACTGACCATGACTCCCATCTTCAGCTGAACAATAAATGATAATTAACAATAATCAAATAGAAGTCAACTCTACAAATATATCTTATTAATTAATTATACAGTATACTGAAACTTAGCTAAACCTGTTGAGGTTTCCAATTTTTGAAGAGAATCTTCCTTGGGGTACATATATGCATTTTCTGCGACTGAAAATGTCAAGTGACAGTTGTAACAATGTTTTAATAAAAGATTGTACAAATGAATAAAAAAGCCTTTTTATTTACTTAGGCCCCCCCACCACGTGGAGTTACGTCCCTTACCATGCATGTGTGGCCAAACATGTAAGCACCCTAGCCCAAATCATCATTCCTTCTGCTGACAAACCGTCAGTGAACAGAATTGCGGGTAGGTGGGCGGCCCTACCCTAAGGAAGATTCTCTTCAAAGAATTGGAAACCTCTACAGGTTTAGCTAATTATTTTTCATAGAGATCTTCCTTGGGGTACCTATATGCATAAACACAGACTCCCAAAGGCAGAAGGCTAGGGAGGTCGGAATTCTGTTAAGTACAATAAAATTAGCGATATCGTAAACGAAGCATGTTACTTACGCTAAAAACACTCACCTGGTCACGTGACCAGCAGCTCGAAGAGAGGCATGATAGGAGGTGACCCAAAATGGAGGAAATGTACACAGTGAAATGCACCAGATCACAAGTAGTGATAAAAAACGCCCTGCCCACATAGTGAAAAATTAGAGTAGAGCACCGAAAGGGCATACATATAACAATACGGTCAACTCCAACAGGAGATAAATTGTAATGAGTAAAATCGAGCCTTCAGTGAATAGTCGATCAGAGCAATCGAACGCAAAACCAAACCAATGATCCGAAACTCACTCGGTCAGGGTGACAGGACACTGTCCACTGGAGAGAACAGATGAACCAAACCGATCTCTAGAGTGTGTATCGAGCTGGTAATGTCGGATAAAAGTGCTCGGCCGGCTCCAAATAGCAGCGGAGCAAATCTCTTCAATGGGCAGTGTGGCTGCAGAAGTTTTCGAAGTAGCCACTGCCCTAACCGAGTGAGCCTTCAACCCCTCGGGCGGAAGCTTACCCTTAGCCTGATAAGCTGGACAACTGACAGAAACAAGCCAGCGAGAGATAGTTTGTTTACTGGCAGGAACCCCAGCCTTCCCGCCACCGTAACAGCAGAACAGCTGGGTACCTGTACAGATACCCTACGCTCATTTGAGATAGACCCTAAAGGGTCTTACAGACATTCCAATGGGTGAGCACGCACAGGAGTGGTCCCTGATGTAGAAGGCTGGGTAAGAGAAGGAAGATCAATAGGAGCTGTCACATAGAAAGCATGATCGATCTTCGGATGGTGACTATCCGGGAGGCAGAACTGACACGATCAGGGTGAAAAACCGTCAGTGCCGGATCAGATGACATCACGTGAATATTAGGGGTGTCGCGATACGCGAATGTATCGATGCATCGATACATTTTTACTGACGATACGATACGCGATACATGCTTACGTGTATCGATTCCTATTTTAAAACTTTATCGATTCAAATTTTTATGCTATATCCATCTCCTTCAAAGTCTTGATAGTAAAATTATACGAGACCGCTCTGATAAATAGATGTAGCTAGCTTTACTTAAAAAATAGGTTGGAAACTAACAGCTTTTGTGATTGGCTAGACTATTTTGATGGACCAATCAGCGAAGCCAGCGTACCGTTGCCGCAAGGTAATGCTATGAAAAGGCGCGAAAATTATGTATCGCGATACGTATCGTATCGTGACCTTAAAATCGTGATACGTATCGTATCGTGAGATTGGTGTATCGTGACACCCCTAGTGAATATCACCGACCCTTCTACCGGATGTCACCGCCAAAAGATAGGCTGTTTTCCATGTTAACACCTGAAGGGAAATAGCCGATAGATGTGAGATATCAGGACCGGACAGCCAATCAAGCACTATTGACAAATCCCAAGGTGAGCTGGTTCGCCTAAGAGCAAGCCAAACCCGATCCACGCCAGCTATGAAGCCTGCATAAGAGCACCATCGACAGGGGCGTGAAAAGTGGAAATAGCAGTGGAGTAGCCACGAATGGTCAAGGCTGCCAAACCTTCTTCCAAACGAGACTGAAGGAACTCCAGAACTCGGACTAAATACGCAGAAAAGGGATCTGCAATCCCCCTATCTGAACACCAGCACACATAGCGGGACAACCTATTCTCATATTGAAAGTTTGTTGAATCCCGCCTCGAAGCCAGAATTGTGTCTGCAACTGCCATAGGAATTCCGCGTGCTTCGAGGCTAGACATGACAGAGGCCATGCCACCCATTGGATCCGTGGATCCGGGTGCGGCACTTTGTTCTGAGCGAGAATGTCCGGCCGTAAAGGTAATAGAACAGGAGGCTGAGCCAGAAACCTGAGAATTACCGGAAACCAGCTCTGCGACGGCCATAGAGGTGCCAGTAGCAAAAGTAGCGGTGCTGGCTGGGTGGATAGCTGGGAGAGGACCCTGGGGTTCAGCGCTAGAGGTGGGAACGCCCACAGTACCATGTCCGTCCAATCCAGAAGGAAGGCGTCGGAGGCCTACACCTTCTGGTCTGGTATTCGAGAGAGCAGAACACTGGTGTATGATTCGTCCCGCCAGACACAAACAGATCCACCTGGAACGACCCATACAACTGGGAGATAACTCCGAATATCAGCTGATCAAGCATCCACTCGTGCAGGGCCAGGATCCGGCAAGAGAGTACATCTGCTCGCACATTCTCCAGCCCCGGGAGATATAACGGAATTACCTCGCAGTCGTATTGGTCGTACCACAGTAGGAACTCCCATGCCTCCTGAAGGAGTGCTGGAGACCCGTGCCGCCTTGCTTCAGAATGTACGTCATGGCCGTGCAGTTGTCCATTTGCAAGCGAACAACCTGGCCCCGAACGTGATCCGGAAAGCGCCTGAATACCAACCTGGCAGCTCTCAGTTCTAACATGTTGATGTGACCAGCGTCCGAACACCAACAGACGGCCCAGAACACCTCCCAGCCCGTGAGGGATGGATCCGTTTGAACAGACAGGGCCGGCGTCGGGGAGGCTCAAGGGGAGACCCTTGGAGAGATTCCCGACATCGGTCCACCACTGAAGGTGAGGGAATAACCACTCGGGAACTGTGAATCACTGCTCCAGATTCTCGAGTGAGCCCACAGACATGCCAAAGCCTGCTGTATAGGGACGGTCGCCGCCATGTGTGCCAGCAACCGGAGCCATGTCCGTGCCGGGGAGAAGACACCATCTCCCGTACTCTGGTGATACGATCGGGCGAAAGGGAAACCAGACCTTGATGAGTGTTGAACCACTCCCCAAGGTTGACGATCCACCCCAGGCGGACTAGAATATCTAACACAACGTGAGTAGAGTCTAGACCCGCAGGTTGAGTTAGTGCTCAAGCAACCAGTCGTCCAGGTAAGGATGACAATGCCTTCCTTGCGACCGAGCTAACGTGGCCGGCACTTACATGAGCTTGGTGAACAACCTGGGGGCAGTGGATATGCAGAAGGGGAGCACCCGAAACTGGTAACAAATCCCGTCGAATGAGAACCGAAGGTAACGCTCGAACGAGGGATGTATGGGCACACGAAGATACGCATCCTTTAGGTCGATTGACGTGAGCCAATCGCCGGGCTGAACAGATGAGATCACCGAGCGAAGTGTCTCCATCTTGAAGGATGGAACCTCTATCATGCGATTTAACCCCTTGAGGTTAAGAATGGGACTGAAGCCGCCGTCTTTCCTCGGGACGAGAAAGTACGTGGAGTACAGACCCGACAGTTCCTCTCCCAGTGGAACACGCTCTATTGCGGACTTGGTCAGTAAAGCTTGAACCTCGTCTCACAGATTTCACACCTTGACCGGGACAGGACGGCACAGGAATGCGCCTTATGCCTTGGTAAGTGGCCGATAGTAATGGTGGACAGCACCCAAGGGTTGTTTGTAGCCTTCTCCCACCCTGCCAGAAGATGGAGAGACAGCCATCCACCGGCACATTGGGGAGAAGCGCGTTGGTGGTCCCTTGCATATGTAGAACTCGAAGGGACGGACCCGACAGAGGAGCCCCCCATCCCCCATGCGACGAAACGTCGCCAGTGCGTGCGTCCGGTTCCAGGGCGGATCTCTGTAAAGAGGACAGATACGCCCCATGAACCACCACCCTAAGCTACCTCCTTGTAGCTCCTGTAAGCCACATGCAGGGGGTCCCCAACTGGGGAAAAGGGGGAACCAGCCGACCCTGTTTAGCCGCCGGAGCAGCAAGCGAGGAAAGTGAGCCTCCCCTGAGGGTCACTGAAGTAAACACACACTCGTAACCACCGATACGTGGAAAAGAGATTCATCCCCTAATTGGTATCTCTTAACAAGCTCAGGCAGATCGAAGCGGAGCCGAGATCCAATGAGTAAGGGGTCGACCACATCCTGCACCAATGATGGGAGCACGCGGAGCAGAGGCGAAAGCTTCCCCTGGAAGGCAGAACTCAGCCGAGCCCTGTTGCTACAATGGGATCACAGCCTGAGGGAAAACCAGTGCTATTTGCTGGCACACCTCCCGTAAGGCCGGGGGAAAAGCGTAAATTACAACTATAAGTCACATAAAATAAGTACAACTGCAAAGTCAATAAAACGTTCCCAAGAACGAATACGGACAATATACATACAGTATTCGAAGTCTCAAACATTGTCTCTCAGTATTTCTAAGCCTGTACGTGTTAGATGTAGCGTGACAGCAGAAGGAATGATGATTTGGGCTAGGGTTTTTACCTGGTTGGCCACGCATGAGTGGTAAGGGAGGTAACTCCACGTGGTAGGGGGGCCGTGTAGTAAATAAATATGGCTTTCTTATTTATTGTACAATCTTATATTAAAACATTGTTACAACTGTCACATGACATTTTCAGCCACAGAAAATGCATATATGTACCCCAAGGAAGATATGAAATGAACGTTATTTAAGTACTAATCTGGGTATTTTCAGCTCCTTCAGCTGCTGCGGGCTCTGAGCATGCCTAGATAAGTGACTGATACCCTGTGGGTTATGGACACTCACCTTCCATTCCCTGTGGCGAGAGCTGCTGCGGGGGCATCATGAACGGGTCCTGCATCCCTGGTCCCTGGGCCCCTGGAGAGGGGAGTGGGGGAGGGGCTGGGGGTGGCGGCATGGACAAACAATCACGGCGTTCACGTGCCTCCTGCTGCCGACGATTAAGCTCAAGGGTAACTTGCTGCATTAAACAACAGATGTTAGTATCAGAGATTCCCGCTGTGTTAGAACTGAACCCCAAACCTTTTCTTACCGATGTAGAACAGCAGGGAAATTTCAGGAAGCCTGCAGAAACTGTTATAAGCATAGGGCTAGTGGCTAGTGCTAAGTTCTAACTATGTTACCATAATGTTGTGGCCAGAAGAAAATCATTTTCATTCCAGATCTTACCAAGAATGATTATGTCTTTCTTCTGTCAAAGTTTCAGGTAAAAAATTATATTCCTACTAATATAGAAACACTAAGTTTTATTAAGAGCAGTTGTACGCTAAGGAAGCACTATGAAAGAAACCATGAATAAGATAAAGACATGGTCATCAATATCCCCTGCCAGTGTTCTGTTCCTATTTTGACAACTATTCTTCCTACAATAGCGACACATAAGCTGCTGATGACTAGTGGGAGGAGTACTGTTATGTCAGCAAAGGGAAGATCACAGTGCCTATAAGATAAAGCATACAGAGAAGCATCTATTACCACAAATAAAACCATTGCAAGAAAATAGATTGTGAATATACGTGCAGTCTTGTGTATGTTACCAGTGCCGCTGCGTGGAAGTGTGTCACATACATGGCACCAATTTGACGACACCATGCACCTAGCTAAGAAATGCATGACAAGGGCCATGACTCTGTAACAAATTTGTAACATGGTTTCAGTTTTTGAACTCCATCAAGGCATTCATGTCCTGAAAACATACCAAATTTGGTTTCCCTATCTATAACGTTTGAGAAAATCTGTCCCCACCATCTCAGACAGATGGATAGACGGAAGGGCGGACAGAGCTCAAACCTACATCCCCCTCCCACCACATGGCAGGGGATAATAAAGTGTACAAACCTTCTGGGCTTTCTGGACTCGACTGCTTGTCCTGTTCTTCCGAGCTTTTGCCTATCAAGAAATAAGATAACTTTCATGTCAGAATGAGCAATGATGTATTAACAAATGAGTCTCATATCTCATGTCATCTTCACAAAGCTCTTCCGAACACAACTAACATTGAGATAACAAGGACAGTCTGTCATTAAATAGCTGAATGTCCTTCCTCTAGGACAAAATAACCAAATAGTTTACAATTATCACTGGAATAAGTGGTTCTAGTCTGAAATTCCCACATTTCCATTTCGGTCAAAATACCATCCAGTACTTTCAAGCCATCACAGCATCTGTGTATCTGTCAATAAAAGCATCTACACTTACACATCCACTATTTTCAGCCCTAATATCAACTACTTTCAGACATAACAATTAACTGCTTTTAGCCATTTTAACATCTACTTTCAGCAATATAGTCATTTACTTTCAGCCACATTATCCACGACTTTCAGCCGTAAGTCAAGCTAGATATCTAAGAGTGATGTCTTACCAAGAAGGGGGCCTTCTCCTCTGGTGTGAGTTTCTTCCATAGCTTGGCGATCTGCTTTGACCTTTCCGCCCAGTCTGCAAACATGGCAATGTCACTGAAACTTTCTTCACATTCACAAAATCACATGGGAAACAAATATCTTTTTTCAAATCAGAGAAATATATATATTTTAAACTTAACTAAAGTGCTGACACAACAAATTCTTATGAGATGGCATCTGCCTCCCCAGACTTTCTAAAATCTTCAACTCTGATCATTCGATTGTTAATTGCACTAATCAAGAGAAGTTAAAGAAACCAAATTCTTTCACATTACCATATTTAATCTAGAAAGCCAAGACAGATTAAATACAACAATACGAAATGATCATTTGTTAAGTTCATTTGAGTTGTACGCCCAAGCTACTTTTCTCCTTTAGAGATAACTAGCAGTTTCAATTCTACCTGAACAATTCAGACAAGAACTTTTCATATCTAGGCCTTGAACTCACCAGGGTAATCTGTTTTGAGGTTTGGATGGTTGGTGTTAACGTAAAGCACTGCCGAGATGGTGGCATTCAGACCTAGAGCCTCGTCGTTCTCCCACTTCAGTATGTTCCTGCGGCTGCTTGTTTCTGGCTGATCTTCCTCTGTGTTGAGTGACCATGCTGGGTTGGGGCCTGCCGAGAAGCTTGGACTCATCTGCTGAGGGCTGTGACAACAACAACATCTCTCAATTACTGAAACCTCTTGCAATCATTTCTTGTTTCCCATCTATATTCCAGTGTCCCAGTGGCCTGTAAATAATCCAGTCTGGATGATGACAAAACTCAAACAAAAACCCAGTTCCCATCATAGTCAGTTCTAGCATGAGGTACTGGTCACCTGTTCTTACCTGGAATCCCCACAGGTGTGAGTGACCTAGGCCTCCTGGGCCATGAATGAGTGAGTGAACTGAGGTTAACACTGTTTTGAACAGCATTCCATTTATATCATGGCATGTTAGCTTGATATGCAGGTCACAGATGCTTAAAACTTTGACAAAGCCCAATAGCAAATCTAATTTGATTGGACAAATGACCTACCCATACTCATGCCAAGGGACTAAGATAGTAAACAGATGATCTCAATTGCCAGACTACTAAATCACTTCTTGCTGCTGGAACATTGATCATTCTAATCCTGTAACACCTAACCTCAGCATGGGCCACTGATGTTTAAAATCCCTAGGATACAAAAGATTTACAGTAATGTTGCAAAAAGAACACACTCATGATTAACAACTGGTATTTGGTGTATTGTGGATATATCACAATTCCTTCGTTTTGAAGGTGAAATAAAGCTGTTCTAAAACATACTAACCATGAACAACCCTACACTGAAAACTGCATATGGAAGACCCTGAAAAGTTCTTACCCTGGCCCATACATTCCAAACGGGGGCATGTTTCCAGCTGGAGGCATCACCTGTTGCTGGTCTGAGGGGGAATGCATGGTAGGTGACAGCATTGCAGATGGCTGCATTGACGGAGAGTGCATGGGTGGTAGGACCAAGCCTTGTTCCGGCACCTGTAGTGGGGTGGGCATCTGGGTGGGGCCCGTCATCAGATGACTGGGGCCCGGGAGGGGTATATGAGCCTGTGCCCGAGGTGGGCCCATCCCCAGCCTTGTCTGGGGCAGGTGTTGAAGAGGATGCCCTGGAATGGATGGTGGTGGCAATGGCAGGGGAAACTGACCATCAGCTGAAATAACAGAGATTGATAAAAATCCCATTGCAGGTAAATATCTCCTCAGGAACAAAGCCAAGATGCACTGACACAGATGACAATTTCAAGTCTGCTGTACTGCACTGTTCAGGTTTCAATTTTCATAAATTGTTTATCAAAAGGAACAAGGATAGACACCTATTTGTAAGTTCTTGGCAAAGGAACAAAAAAAATCCTTCCAGCAACATTCCAGTCCTAATACATACTTTTCAAAAAAATGATAAAGACGTTTGATAACTATGAATCACGTGCTTTTTGAGTAGCATTCATGGATACAGGATGAAACTACTGTTGTTCCAAGAGACACTTAAGGCACTGGGATGGAACCCAACATGTGTTTTGAAGAAGCCTGAATCCTGTATTACTATACTGCCATCTTGTGACCTTGATCAATTCAGACATAATCTGGCCAGGTCAGATAAGCAAATGGGTCCCACACTATAGGGAATACTTACTTGATGTTGAAGGTTGATCTGATGATGTTTCAGAACCCTGTAACACACCCTTGAAAATGTCCTCCATTATTTTTGTGTCTATATGTGCCAGACTAGGCACCACATCTGAAATATTCACAAAGTCATTGTATAACATAACAAGCAAATAACAAAATTTTAAGCAGCATCTTATAGACGAGACTCTCAGGAATCAATCTGCCGTTAGTTACATAAACTGTAAAGGCTTAAAATAACTCACCATCAGAGAACATGCTGTCGACATCTAGATTTTTGTCATCAGTGTTCAACATGTTGTCAAAGTTTTCAGGCAATTCTTTTCGAGATCCTTCAGCTTTTTCACTTGTAGAGTCCATAGACTCAGTTTCAATTGGTAAACCTGACACAAAAAGTTGAAATTAATGCATAATGATCACAAGCCGTGCTTAGTAACATGTGAAAACAGAGAGAAGAAATGCATGTTGAACATGCTGAAGATAAACCTCACATACTTGAGGTTGTTCAACCTGATTCATATGTTGGGGATTATAATATGTACTTCAATGTGTTTTTCCAATTTTCACTTGATTTTATGTTGACCGAAGCAAGAAGTTGAATCCATTTTTTTCTGTTTGTCAGAGTCCATGTTGGAGTACCTACCATCTTCTGGGCCCAGCATGTTGAATATCTCCTCGTCATGGGGCAGATCACTGAGGTCATGAGGTAGAATGTCCTTCAGGTCCCCATCATCTGCGACTAAAACAATCAGGACAACCATACAATGTGATGTTTGATGGATTCTTCGTCAGTCACAAGATGCAGAGTGAGTGTGAGTTTAGTATTACGCCCCTTCCAGCAATATTCAAGCAATATTACGGCAGGGGACACCAGCAATGGGCTCCACACATTGTGCCCATGTGAGGAATCGAACCCAGGTCTTTGGCGTGACATGCAGACGCTTTAACCACTAGGCTACCCCACCACCCACACAAGATAGAGAATGTGAGGGGATGTCATAATGACAGTTACATTGAGACCAAATACATGGACTAGACAACCTGGCAGCTGATGGCCCTGTGAACATTTGGGTTAAACTTAAATTTGGGTTAAAAGATAACGTACAGGATCAGGTTGTGAGGTTCATTGACTTAATGCATGCCAAGGTATCCAACTGCACAATAATCACTGGATTGTCTGGGCCAAACTAGATTATTTCCAGACTTCAGTCATAAACCTGTGTGCAACATAAAACAACAAATAAAGACACAAACTGGTAGCTGAAGGCAGGAACATTGATCCACATTGCTTGTGGTACAATGTCACTCTTACCTCCAGAATGGGACCTGTTCTGCATTGTAACCCTACAATACAAATGAAGACAGCATACTTACACAAGTTGGGGATATCTTCACTGTGGTCGTCTGCTCCAGACACAAGAGCCTCGCTGCCCAGTTCATCCTTCAAAGCCTTGCTGAAATCATTTCCATCCTTCAAGTCAGCTGTGGGTGAAGCAGGACCAGACTTCTCCTTCTCGGCATCAGATTCTGCCTGGAGAGTTTCTTTGGACTCCTTGGCTGTGTCGAGCAGTGACTTTCCGAAGAAAGCTTCCTGTAGATATGCAGGGAAGTTCTCTTCCAGCTGACTTTTGGCCCGAGGTCTACGTCTCACGCTTCACTCTCTCCTGGGGGGCCACTGGTGTTCCATCTGGGCCTACCGCAGGTGTCTCTGCCCCTAGATAACACAAGAATTATATTAAAGGAAAAAACCTTTCCAGTAAGTTGTCACAACTATTATGTAACTTGCGGCCCAGTGGTTATTACCAACATCTGAAGCTGCAATAAAATTCTGTATCTAAATAACCCAGTTATATATCTGTAAGGGATGTAGCTTAACTTGGTTTTGGGGGAGTGAAGGGTCTGTTATTTGTGGACTTTGTGACAGTTTCGAAAGTAACACCTCACAAACTTTAAATTAGGTGGACCTAACATGGTACTGTTGTTCAGCCAAAATACCAATCACTTTGGTACAAATAACCAGATCCATACCTTCCTTCTGTGTACTGGTTCCTTCTTCTGGTGTGATGTCTGATGCTGATGTCTGTCTCTTCCAAGTCCGTGTACGCTGTCGTGCAATAAATCCTCCAACACCTGTGGAAAGGAGCAAATTATTAATGCCTTGTGCCATTTTACCCAGTATTTCAATATAACCATACATCTCATTTTTCAGAGGGCCAAGGTCACAAGAAAACATATGACCCTCCATGTCCAAGCACTATATGCCTGTGTTATTAATCTGGAACCTGGCACAATATTTGCTCACTCAGCCACAAGCATTCCCATCAGTCTTTACACAAAAGAATACTTTGCCATCATCTTACTCATGAGTGTCATGCGGACAGTTCCTAAAGGAGCACTAAGCTCATAACTGACATTACAGTTTCCTCCATGATTGATACTGAGACAAAACTTTGTGAAACTCTAATTGATATCCATAAACTATGGGTTTACAAAGAAAGCAGAGTTTATGACTCGCATTAAATATGCTTTGACAGCAAATGCACCATAACCTGACACCCTGTAAGACTGGTAGTACACAATGAAGCCATTACCTAGCCCTGTTTGTTTCCTCTGCCGACGCTTCTTGCCTTGCTCTTCCGTCTCTGCTCCCTCCCCACTAGGGGGCGCCACAGACAAGGGTGGTTCTAGGCCTTCCATTGGTTCTGGTGTCTTCAGCTGCTCTTCAGTATCTAAGAAGATGTTGTCATGTTAGTAAAGTGACTACTCTGTAACAGCAACACCATCCTTTGGGCTATGAATACAGAAATTACTATGTGACATGAACAGATTCCAGCAAAACAATCAGAATCAAACTTTAAGAACTTTCAAGATATCAAATATCACAACACATTTGGAGATACAAGATCATTGTCAAATATGTCCACAATATACTGGACAGATACTTGACAACAGAGAAGGATGTTTCAGGTCGGTAACATACATTTTTCACACAACTACAGCAATAATCACCTTTTTCTGGATTCTCCTCCCCTTCTACTGATGACATAGACCCCAGCAAGATGGCAATGTTGGGGTGTTTGCTGTGCGGGTCTAGTGGTTTATCTGTTTTCTTCCCCATCCGTGGCTTCCGTGCTTTCTTGGGCATGGCCACAGTGAGGCTCTGGATCTGCTGGATGCCGGTAGCAGAGAGGTACACCCCATCCATCAGGAACTGCTTGGGGACTTCTGGAAGCATACACAGCACTGTGTTCATGAGGCAATCATTCGAGAGTCTCTGTGAACGGGGGACTGTTTTGTCACATCACTTTGAGCAATAGCCTAAGTACGTGGACAGCGGCCTGGAATTATCAAGTCTGGGTGATGCAGAAACTGTGAGCAGTAACTGATACTGTACTGTTGCACTCGTATACAATCAGCAGATAAGGTGTTGGACCACCATTAAAAGTTGGTAACCATTCTGGAATCCCAAAGGCTTGACAAGACACAAGTTCTAAAGCTTGAAATCTACTTGAGTTATTTCTGCAGTGTCTCCTTTACAGTGTGCACAGTGTGCTTTCTACCCCATGAATTTTGAACTTTGTGTTTATTAAAAAACAAAACATGCATGGCAATTTGATGTCATACCTGGTTCTTTGGGTAATGGTGGAGGTGGTGGTGTTGGTGGTTTCACTTCCTTCTCTTCTGGAGGTGGTGGTGGGGGTGGAGGAGGAGGTACTGGAAGAAGAGAAAGATAAACACCTCAACTTCTGTCAATAGTAAATCAGTGTGACAATAGTGAGTCATTACACAACAGGTGATCAGTAAGTACATGTAACTGGGAAGGGCTGTTTCCAAGTAATGTTGACAATAACGGCAATGACCGAAGGTAATTAAAGGGAGACTCACATGGTCCAGGATGGTCTGTCTTTGGCCGACAGAAGAGACAATGATAACCATAATCAGCAGCCCTCTCTGCATCCTCCTCACACTTAAGTCCATCACATGATGCATGGAGCCACCTGCAACACAACAACACATGTGACACACGTACAGGTAACAAGGTAACAGCTTGATGTGAGGAGGCTCTGAACGTTGTAGTAAAAGACATAAGCATGGTAATGGTGCCAACAATCCTAGAAATATCATCAATGTTATAAGTTAACATATAGTGAGAAAAGAGATACAAACATTGTATTGCTATTTATGAGAATGACATATACACAGCTAGAAATATGTTGCAGTAAGTTGTGGAAGTATTGTGAGTCAGACATGAGCACAGACCTGTCACACTGAACACACTGTATGATCAGCTCCTCTTCTCGGTAGCGAATCTTGCAAGCCGGACATACCAGCATACTGGCACATGGGCCACATTGAGTATAATTGTTCTGCCAACTGCATGCAAATCCAGGTGAGGTTATTCCACAGTTGACACACCGCACACACCTTCATTGAGAGTAAAGAATAGATACACAGTCATACAGTTTCAAAATCTTGTTGCAAGTTAAACTGATATTTAAAAGACCGTGTTCATTGTCACCAACACAGATATGCATTCTAATTGTTAACCTTGCACTCCAGGAGAAAATATTAACAGAATGAAAAGTTTAAAAGAAAAACATATCTGGTTCTCAGAAAAGGTGTGAAACACTCAAGAATCATGTTTTCTATTTTGTGCTTGAAAGCTGGAAATAAAATAAGTTCATTCACTAGAGGTAGTTTTTGTATCTAGATCAATGCTTTTGAGTGTTCAGAATCATTAAACTTGCTCTCAAAACAAAGTAACTTACACATTTTATTGTTGGGACCAATTTGTTATGGACTTATGAGAACAAATGACAAGTATGCTACCAACTGTAAGAGTGTCCTTACCATTTACACTTCCACGTTCCCTTGGGTACAGTTTCTAGTGGAGGGTCCAGACAATAGGTGTGGTAGCTGATATCACATTCATCACACAGGAGTAGCCTCCCCTCATCCTTGGGGCTGCCACACCCCTCACACACTGTACAATCAAGGCAGCGCCAGCCTTTCTGCAGCACTACTTTGGTCACCTACAGCAACAGGACAATGCTAGTGACCGATACATACTCATTACCTAGCAACACAATAGGTACAATAGACACAATCACCTCCCCATCTCCTTTGTATTTACACTGTTGTCAGCAATATTCAAGCTGCATTACTCCAAATAAGTTAAACAATCATATTTGGCAGGCTGTATGTTGCTATACCATCATGACAGATTAACTTTAGTCATATGTAAAAATCAGGTGTTTTGAAAACTTTTTCAAGTAACAGTTATCGTAGTGACCTGTAAACACATAGTCTAAGACACATGAACCAGTGGTTGACGTAATTGCCATCTGAAGAGACAACAAGCCATGTATTTTCTTTGCTTACCTTTACATTAGCACAATAAGGATGATAGCACTGTCCACACTGTGTACATACAATAAGTCTTCCTTCGTCACCTTTCCCAAAGGAGCCACAGCTTTTACATATATCCTGAAGAAAGAATGTATAAATGACAACCAATATAAATATAACAGCTTCTCAGTCATAGAATGCCTTCATAACATCTCAGGGTAGAAGATTAACTACATTTTGGGATGTATAAATGTACTAAATGAGGCACCAAGTGACCCACACAAGCATCACTCACTTGTTCTAGCACAAAGCTGTCTTTGGAGGAGGTGAGGACAATCGTAGCTGGGTGGTCATCGCCACTATCGTCCTTCGAGGAATCAGTTTCAACACGACTCGCCACCTGTCAAACATACATGATGCTGGATATCAGCTCACAGTAAAAACAGAAGGGTTATGATGACTGTACCCTGTTTCAATCAATATATATCGATCATTTCACGGTGTGGATAACAAGAATGAGCGTTCAACAATTACAATCATTCTAAAGAAATTATCTCCATAAGCCATGTTATTAAACTAATTCCTTTAAAGTTAAATGAACTGTTACTTCAAAGTAGTGGAAATAAACTTTTTGCTTGCCAAAGCTGAAGATTGCTTTTTTTTCCTTTGTTCTTTGATCTATTCTGAATCTCAATGTTTGCAATCAAGAGGGGCAGATAAACATTAATATGAGTGCCCAAGCATCAAGATATGTGCACAAACATAAGATAGGTGCCAAACCATTAATAGGGATATGCCAGTTTATGCCAGGGACGTGCAAGTTTGGCAAACCAAGCCTCAAATATTTACCTGTCCAAGTGTTCCTAGCTGACCAGGTTTTACTTTGACTTTAGGTCCTCGTCTCTTCTCTCCAATACCAAGAGGTCGTCGTCTACTTTTCTCCGGGAACTAGCGGACGAGTCTGTCAACAAGATAAACAATACTGACTTTCCTAAAATACAATTCGATATGCTTTACCATTACTCATATTTTATCATAAACAAAGGTCTTATCCCTTATTGTATCTCCAACAATTTGTTTGGGAGGAAGAAAGCCAGCATGACAGTATTATACTGGAAATATTTTGCATACACCACAAATAAAACTAAAATAGTAGTTAGGTAAGTTGCTCTGTACTATTTTTCAAACCATCTTCATCAACCAAATATACATGTAAGGCAGGAAGCATGTCTCCAGTGTGGAGGGACACTCACTCTGGGTCTTCCGGCTCCTATTTTCTTCCTGCCCACTGGAAGTTTGCCCCGATGACTCTCCAGCATCTCAGCTTTAGCTGCCATGTAAGATGCTAGGCCTGAGGACGTCGTCAATGGAGGCATTTGCTGGAAACAATAACATATACATGAAAACATATGTCAGCTAGATCTAACTGAGTAACAGACTGCATGTGTAAGTTAAGCAAGCAATAATCATAAAGTAAAGTTTATTGAAGAAATACAATCATGAGTAATATACCATTTTTCTTGTAGATTTTTACACTAGTACATATCAGTAATTGAAAATGCTCATATGTTATGGTAGGATACCTTGTCCGGAATTCCCATATCCACATCCATGCTGGAACTGGAGTCTTCATAATACAGAGATTCTTGTGAGCTAGCTGCAGTCAGAGACGCTTCATTTATATAGGGGTCATCCTTCACGCCATAATCAGTGTCTACAATAGAAGGGTCCACCATGTGAATCAACGTCCAACATCATGTGTAGTGGCAATGCAGGCGAGGTGAGGTGAAATTGTGTTTAACGTCGTGCTTGAGAATATTTCGCTCATATGACGACGTGCATGCGTGTGTATGTGTATGTGCGGCTGCTTGTACTAGCCCAGACTTAAACTGGTTTCATAGTGCTAGCCCACTGAGATACCATGCCGCAGTTAAGCATGAATACCCCACTCAGATACATTATACTGACTCCAAGCCGACCAGTCCTTGTTGTACCCATGAATGCCGAGCGCCAGGCAGGGACCAACAAGTACCATATTTTAACGTCTTTTGGTATGACGCAGCCGGGGATCGAACTTGCGACCTTCCGCTCTCCAGGCGGACGGTCTAACAACTACACCACGGAGGCAGTTGGTGGCAATGCAGAGCCTAGATGTGATGATAAAGGGGTTAACATGTGTTCAAGATTATTGTTATCAGATAAAGATGTGCATGCACATGTGTGTGTGGCTGCCTGTACTAGTCCCAACTTTTTTGTTTTATAGTGCAAACCCCAGTTTAATATGGCTACCTCACTTAGATAGTGCACAGACTCTAAGCTGACAGTCTTTGTTATGTCCATTTAATGTGTCAGGTCATTTTCTGTAGGTATATGATACGCCAGGGTTGGAAGCACTGACCTTCTACTCTCCAGACAGTCTATCTATCCACGAGACAACTGAGGAGATGGACAGATTGTTGTTGTAGGTTTGTTGTTTTCCGCCACACACAGCAATATTCCAGATATATCGCGGCACTCTGTAAATAATCGAGTCTGGACCAGACAATCCAGTGATCAACAGCATGAGCATCGATCTACGCAATTGGGATACGATGACATGTGTCAACCAAGTCAGCGAGCCTGACCACCCGATCCCGTTAGTTGCCTTTTACAACAAGCATGGGTTACTGGAGATCAATTCTAACCCGGATCTTCATGGGGATGGAGAGAATGGATGTCACTCTATGACCGTAACTACCCAATGATCATATACAGGATCAACTTACGACAAGGATAAGAAATTTCCATAAGCTTAGACTGCAAAAGTAAGTAATATCTTGCTGTGTTAAGGTACTATGGGAGAATGGCCATTGACTGAATGAACTGTCTGTGTGTCTGTAAGTACTGTCAGTCTGTCTGTAAGTACTGTCAGTCTATCTGTAAGTACCGTCAGTCTATCTGTAAGTACCGTCAGTGTGTCTGCAACAACAGTACATACAGCTACACTGGTGCTTTATGAAATGAATCTATTTCAATAATCACCTCTGGAAGGGAAGCCCTCGAGAGACTCTTCAGTTGGTAATGGTGGTTGGAGGGGAAAGGAGTCAATATCAGTCTGAAGACAAACAAATGTTGTAAATCATTATCAGGAACATGCATGAAAATTTACAAAAAGAAAAAGAGGTTTATCACAAAAACAACCCATCTGACAAAAAAGTATCTCTGATAATAATCCTGGTTTGCATCACTCAACTACAGACAAATTGAAATTCAGTAACACAAGGTAAATGGAGAAATTCATAGGAAACTACATTAGCCTTAAAAGGAATGCACAGGAAGTCACACTTACTTCTTTGAGCTGGAAAGCCAACCACTGATCAGAAGTCTAGTGAGTGATTTTAAATTTCGTATCTCATTGGCATTTTTCATTTATATTAAGGGCCACTATCAAGCATGTAGACATAATGTGGAGACAAATAACAGTGTGATACAGGTTGGAGACATTTCTGTGAAACTCATGGTGCTGGCAGACTACAGATCACATTAAACATATGGACACAAAAATAAATGATCAGGGGAACAAAGGGCCATAACTCTGCACAGATAGGCACATGACACCATTTGTGCCGTCTGTACCATGAACAACACTGACACACATTCTCCATCCTGCGTCACTCTGAGTGTTTATGACAGTAAGGACACTCACATCATCTTGAGCTCTGCATACTGTACAGATGTAGTCTGTCTGCCCCGTGTCCTTCAACTTGGCCAACAGAGCACTGTCTATTGATGGATCACAGTCGCTATGGACGTATCTGGAACATCACACATCATTATAGAATCGGCAGAAAACATATTTGATAAATGTTAAGCGGCCTTCACACGGCAAACTAAAGTTTGACAACACATGTTGTCAAGCTTGAGTTTGAGAGTGTGAACATTCAAACAACTCGCCACCAACACCAATTTCAGAGTTGTCAAACTGTTGTTGAGAAATAGGATCGGACTCTAATCTCACAAACTTTTCCATCAAACTTTCGGTGTTGTCAAACTCGTGTTGTTCAGAAACAACCAATCGCAGTCAACAAAATTGTCACGTGACTGCACTGATAGAGAAATGGCGCTCAAATGACTCGAAAAGTTTGACATGTGTTTGACGTGAGTTTGACAACTTTTAAAATTTTAACATGTGTTGTCAAACTTTAGTTTGCCGTCTGGAGGCCGCTTTAGAGTACAATGGGTTGGTATATGAAAGAAAAACACTTGACAAATGCCATACACAATTTCAGCCATCTGAGGACTAATATTCCATAGGACCCAAATACAATCTTTAATATTTAACAAACGTCAAGGTTCTAAAATATATCAGGACTAAATTTTCCTACACACATACCATGTGGCCTAAAATATGAGGAAAATATGTACCACCAACACAATATATTTCCATATTCACTCACTTTTTACAGGAATTGCACTGCACCATTTGTTTATTATCAAAATGCCGATAGGCCTTGCCACAGAGAGGACAGCATAGGCCCTTGTTCCTCTGCTGGTAGCAACTGTCGCACACTGAGTAGTTGAGATGCCACCGCGAGCTCGGACCATTTCCAGGGGTTCTTGCTCCACAGTCTGTACATATCCGACAGTTCTGGAAAAGTAGATAAGTCATTACAAATGTTACATCAGAAACAAACAGAAGAAACAGAATGACAGGAGTCATATGATCCCCAAATCTTCACAGCAGACCAGATGGACAGACGCCACTGATAGCAGCTGTAAATCCCAGTTCGCTCGGATTATTTTTCTCAGCTTGTCAGCACCATACCCGTGCTGGCAAGTTTAAATGTCTGAGGCCTGCATCACTTCAGGCTTCCCTCCCACATTAAGTTTAAACACCAGGAACTGGAATACTTTCAACAACATAAACAATGTATAATGCATAGGACACAGCTAAAGCTGTGTGTTTTCCGTAGTGTGTCTCATCCTCCCTACATGACTCTCTCATAACTTGTTATCACCAAATTACTCCCTTGGCCAAATGTAGAGATAGCATCAAAATCAGGTAATATGATACATCTGTCCTTATCACCCACACTGCATATCTTGAACACCAGTGCTTGTCACCGTCCATTAGATCATGTGGTTAATACTCATGTAGTTGGTCTATGTTTACACCTTGTTTGTTTTAAGTACCCTGCTACATTCTCTGGCTAGTTCCATAACAAGACTGGAGGGTAAGAGGTGTCATACTAATTAGTGAAAAACTCTTTTACTGCTATTGAGAGATCCTAAAAGATAGCGCCTTTTCTAGCATTTGGCCTAGGACTAAAATGCACAGTTTTTAATCACACAGGGAAAAAGGTTCCCAACTTTCAGCAAAGCTCTCAAAGTGTCAAAATGTCACATACCTTGCACTTCCAACCATTTTTGGGAATGGTGGTCATGGCAGGTTTGAGACAGAATGTGTGGTAGCCTTTATCACAGAGATCACACACCAGCATCTTGCAGTCGTCTCCGGGATGTCTGGAACACCACAAGTATACGCTATATATCAACATCCTTGACTCATCTTTTCAATTTGGTTCTTGCAGTGAATTAATGATAAGTAATGCAACCCCAATATCCCTTGTCTTCCAGTCCTACCATTACCAATGACAGCCTGTTCACAACTTTACTTTCAGCTGTTTCAAAGCTAAATAGTAGAGTTATACAGATTTATTGAGTTTATTTAGATTTGAGATATGAAAGTTTAATCAAACAGATTTTTAGTGCTTACCAATAAGCAATTTTCCATCTTTATGATGGGGTCTGCAAATGGTTAAGTATTGGTCAGTCAATCCATGGATCATATTGTGACAAACATACAAGGAAATACAAGCAGGAAGTCCCCCAGCCTTGACCAGCTAAACCATCTGGGCTCTCACAACCCTCACAGGCTCCTTGCGGTCTATTCTAACCCAGAACCCAACTGGATAGAGAGGTGGCATTACCTGCATGTCTGGCATATCTTACAGTTGGGGCACTGCCAGCCGGCCCGCACTGTCGGCTTCACCTCCACTGGTGGACAAAGACAGTTGCCATGGTAATGGTGACCACAGGTTGTGCAGAAGAGTTGCTCAGCAACATTGCCTGTAGTGCCACACTGAACACACAACGACTCTGTTCCCCCTGAAACAGCAACAAGGATATGTTACAAGTAACATATACTCTCTGATTAACATCCTCCTACAGACCATTTAAATAATTCAGTTCAAGAGCAATCTGTTCAAAGCAGATTTAGGAGATAAGCGTACTGTGTTTGGAAATTAGATGAATGTTAGACCGAATTGATAGCCTCTAAATTTCATTTGAAGCCGAACGCGTACTCTACCCAACTGGCTACACTATAATTGAATCGTCTGACCTACTTATTTTCTTGGAAGTAGTTGTTGACAGCAACAGTGCGAAATGGCGGACGAGCCAGTGTTTACATTTTGAGAAAGGTTGAAATTTGAAGTGACAGTGGAAAATACTTGACTGTCGAATCTGAACCCTGCAGAATCGAAGAATAGATCCTTTTCTGATCGACCTACGACCTGTAACTCATCAAAGACTGTTGATTTTTATGACCGGCGAGTGTCGATCATGATTTCACATATCACGTACGTGCCTCCACCCCCACATGCAACGAAAGAGTGACAGTGCTGCTTTGTGTACATGTCACTAACTTTTGATTCCTTGGAACATTGTTTTCATCACTTGGGACTGGATTATGGCCAAGCTTTTTTCAAAGTGTACGAACATAAATTTCCAACAGTGACAGCCTTGCGGGGAAGCTAGCAGAGAGCAGATTTCTGGTTGTTCAAGTTTTGACATGTTTTTTTAACGATGCAACAGGACATGATGGAGTATGAGTGGCATAAATTTGGTGTTTCGCCTGACCATTATCTTGTGAATTTCCAATTCTAAACGGAATCAAATATACCATTACCAGGTTTTGCTGCATAAATTTTGTATAGATAGGGATGTATTTTTACAAGGCTTACTGATTTATAAGTAAGATATTGTTTGTTTATGTTTGGGGCTGTGTATTGTAATTGAGTTTGAATATTTTTATAATAGAAGGTAATATGATAGTGAGTTTCGCTAATAATTGTGCAGGAAAAATCATATAATTGTATTTTTCAAATTTTAATAAATGTTTTGTAAGCATTTACATCACGTCTGTTGTGCTGATATTAGCTATGCTGGTGGTCAAGATGAAGTAGTGCGGCAGTGTTGTATACATGCGCAGTGAAGCGCCGTGAAATCAGACGCATTTTCAATCCAAAATTGATACTGTCTGATTTTATTGATTGACCAATCAAATTCGAGCATTTCATGTAGCCATGGTAGAATGACTAATTGAGATCTCTAACGATATTAATCATCAAGCTGAACTAGTGACTACCTTCAATCACAAGCAAACTGTGGCACAAATAGGGTTGCGCAACAGAGAGAAAATGACCAGTCTTTCTATGCAGCATACTTCCCTCGCTTTGGTTCGACAAATATTGCAGTTGCACGTCTACAGATGTAAGACAAATATTGATTAAATTGCAAATTTGATAAATCAATGCAATTTCTACAATGCAAGGTGTTAGAACATGGATTAATGCATGACGGGCATTGGGGGTGAGGATCAGCCACTGATAGCCGGAACCTGAAAACACTGGAAGATTTCATCAAATGTAAACAACTACATAACGATGAAATAAGTCACAAAACACAAATAATTTCTTCATTTTTTTTTACATATAATGCAAGCTAGTTATAACCGAAACCATACACAGCGTAATTTGGATAAAAGGATCTAAATGTAAAGGATATAATGCCGTATACAGGACTCCAGTGCTCGCCCAACCATCCGCTTGGCCGATGAAGGAGAGAGTGACAAGTATGGCTGGTCACATGACTGTTTACACGAGAAAAGGGAGGTAACTCGTGGGTGAGTGACCTTTTACGTCCGCTTTAGGGAACTACAAGGGATTCACGTGTTCCACTAACATTCGCATAGAAGAAGGAGATAAGCAAAAGATCATGAGTCAGGCAAAGGAAAAATATATAGACTGGTCATTTTTCTCTCTGTTGCGCAGCCCTATTTGCGCTACAGTTTGCCTGTGCTTCAATGAAGACCCCTGGAAAATGTGCGACCCATTATCTCTAATGCTCTTCAGCCAGTATGATATGAAACTCTTCCGGAACAAAAGAAGGTGTGAGTTTTAGAAAAGGTTTTGCCAAGTTTTAAAGGATACCTCTTTCAAATAATCTGTAAATATCGTTGACATGGGAAGGTTAATATTATCTTTGATCATACTTTAATATCAGACAGCAAGGGACACAAGTCAAGCTAAAACCTCACTAATCCAGACCACTGTCTAAAGTGGACAAAACCCTTTTGGCCCAGACAAGCAGCCTATAGAAAGATTTATTGCATATCTCACTGGTCTGGTTGTGTTGACTTAATGACTGTTCTACAAAACATATAAAGCACTACTTACCCAAAGTTTCAGCTTGGTCAAGATGTTCAGTACAAAGCAAAGACCGTGTCTTCATTTCCTAAGGAAAACAAAACAAAAAACATTCAAAATACAATGACTTACATCCTCTATCAAATATTATTCATGAAGAATCTAGTTTGTAGGAACTATCTAATTCACAGACAGACATCAAACCTTTAAAAACAAATCTGAACTCCACAAACAGCTGATGTACCTGAAAACATCCCCCAGCAGATGCACATGGGAAGTGAAATCTTTTCTGGCATCTTGGGCTTCGACAGCTTATGGTTGCACCATATCTTCTACAGTAAGCACATTTCTGTTGAAAGAGGGTAAAACATTGCAATTAACTATGATCAATATGTGTAATAAAACAAACATTCTTATCTAGTTTGTTAACCATATTTCATCAAAATTAGATCATTCTTTTTTATATATTCCTCCTTGGGGTACTTATAAGCATTACCAAAAGTACAACTGGAGTCTTGTAATGACTGCAAACTTTACATCTTGTAACAGAATACAGGTTGAATCATTACAAGAAGAGTGCAACAATCACCTGAGACAGTCCAGAGAACACAGCCCTGTCAACAAACTGCAGCTGATCTTCTGACTGCGAGACACCCTCAGCCCAAGCAGCACAACAGTGATGAGCCCACACATGACCTGAAGCAACAAGCACTCACATCACTAACAAACAAACACAAGGTCATATACAGAACACTTTAATACCAGACAAGTTTCATTCAGACCACTGTCTAAAGTGGACAAAACCCTTTTGGCCCAGACAAGCAGCCTATAGAAAGATTTATTGCATATCTCACTGGTCTGGTTGTGTTGACTTAATGACTGTTCTACAAAACATATAAAGCACAACTTACCCAAAGTTTCAGCTTGGTCAAGATGTTCAGTACAAAGCAAAGACCGTGTCTTCATTTCCTGAGGAAAACAAAACAAAAAACATTCAAAATACAATGACTTACATCCTCTATCAAATATTATTCATGAAGAATCTAGTTTGTAGGAACTATCTAATTCATAGATAGACATCAAACCTTTAAAAACAAATCTGAACTCCACAAACAGCTGATGTACCTGAAAACATCCCCCGGCAGATGCACATGGGAAGTGAAATCTTTTCTGGCATCTTGGGCTTCGACAGCTTATGGTTGCACCATATCTTCTACAGTAAGCACATTTCTGTTGAAAGAGGGTAAAACATTGAAATTAACTATGATCAATATGTGTAATAAAACAAACATTCTTATCTAGTTTGTTAACCATATTTCAACAAAATTAGATCAGTCTCCTGCATTGACATTACAAGCATAACCAAAACTACAACTGGAGTCTTGTAATGACTGCAAACTTTACATCTTGTAACAGAATAGAGGTTGAATCATTACAAGAAGAGTGCAACAGTCACCTGAGACAGTCCAGAGAACACAGCCCTGTCAACAAACTGCAGCTGATCTTCTGACTGCGAGACACCCTCAGCCCAAGCAGCACAACAGTGATGAGCCCACACATGACCTGAAGCAACAAGCACTCACATCACTAACAAACAAACACAAGGTCATATACAGAACACTTTAATACCAGACAAGTTTCATTAACGGGTAGTCGGGCAAATATATCTACTGTAAGGTAAGGTTACCTCCCTTGGTGTGGCTGTCCACACTACTAGTATACCAGTATTTATCTAACTTCATTATGTATATCTGTATAGATTACATTTATGAGAATGTTTGTGCAATGCAGTGCATAAACATTACAAATCTGTCAAGATTAAGTTTGGAGCCTGTTTAAGTGAGATAATTCAGATATTCTTGTTCCAAGTCTAAGTTGGATTTATTGTTACAGTAACGATTAGAAGTAATGTTCCTCACCTGATGGTTCAAATACGTGGCTCACTTCCACATCCTCGGAATGTCCCACCTGACTGAGCTCATCACAAGTCTGACTAATCACACCATCCTCGTCCAGCGACGACTGCCGCGGAGAGCGGCTCCTCTCTCTGTGAAGACACATGGCGTCAGTAGGGCTAAAATTTGCACAGCACTCATTCACAAATGTGCTTGTTATATACAAACAATATACAAGATCAAGGAAAGTTTCAACAACAATCTATAGATGACGCACAAAAATATCAGGACATCTTTAAGCTGCACTAAGCAATATTCCAGCTGTAAGACAGCAGATTGTAGTGAGTGAGGTTAGTTTTACGCCACACTCAGCAATATTCCAGCTATATGGCGGCAGTCTGTAAAAAAATCGAGTCTGGACCAGACAATCCAGTGATCAACAGCATGAGCATCAATCTGCGCAAGTGGGAACCGATGACTTGTCAATGAAGTCAGCGGTCTGACCACCTGATCCTGTCAGTCGCCTCTTACAACAAGCATGGGTTACTGAAGATCAATATTCTAACACGGACCTTCACGGGTCAGCAGATTGTAAGTAATCAAACAAGTGATTGATATTGTGAACAACCTACCACAACTTCAGTGTTCGATGACACGCAATCAACCCTGTTACTGAGTGACCAATAAATCATGACAAGAACAAATTGACAGGGACTTATTCTGAGCTCAATATCTTTCCTGTCAGTCACACACCCAGTACTATTCCAACTCAGCTGTCTGATACACGTTACAATCCCATGATACTTGGGAAAGGTGTCCCTTATAATATACAAGCAGTAATGAAGAGGAACAGCAAAACATTGAATAAATGTAACACAACAAACCAACAAAACTATGGTTCTAATCTTGGAAATTTTACTACTAATTTATGTACTTATACTATCTCACGGTATGCACCTCTCTTCTTCTTCTACGACCATGTGTGGAAACGTGCTGTAGTTTAAGTTGAATCAAACTTCCTGGCCTCTGCCCACCTAACCTCTGACCCCACTCCGATAACAATACCTGTCAATCATCTCAGAAAGCGTGCAGATCGCTCAGATGATCATGTGACGCTCTGTGCCTGTTATTTTTGTCTTGGAGCCTCCGGTAATCTGTGATGTGGGGCAGGTCGGGTGGGTATCCATATCGCGTGAGATAGGATAAGTATATAAATATACAATTTTGCGGTCCAGCTGTCCTGGTAGTTGGTTCTTGGCGAAAATCCAACCGCAAACCAAGAAAAACTTTAGCATGTCTTGACCTTTCAAACCCACAGGAGACATCATGGCGTGTAACTCGGAAATGCGGCCAGCAGTGGCCAAAGCCAGGGGGAAGAAGGTCTTAAACGTGATCTGCTCAAAGTCTTTTCCCTCCAAGGGTTCATAAGTCGCTGACGTAAGATGATTGAGCACAATGGAAAGGTCCAAAGATGGTGGTCGGAACTTCCGGAATTGGTCAGCAAGTCTATAAGATCTGAGGAGAGGCTGGAGCTCAGGAACAGTCGACACCTTCACACCTGTGGCTGGCGCAATAACAGTGTTAAGAGCAGCCAGGTAAGTAGACAATGTATAACCCTTAAGCTTCTTGGAGGTACAAAGATGATGGAGGTACTCTGCCACCAACTGCGGCGAAACAGTAGTGGGAGAAGCTATACCTCTGGCCCTGCAGTACCCCTCAAAGTTCTTCCACTTGTCATCACAGAGTGACCTAGTAGATGAGCGATGCGCTGTAGTGATGGCAGTAGCAACACGCTTGCTTGCAGTTAGCGACTTATGGAGATGCACCAAACGTGAAGATGAAGTGTGAGCGGAGACCAATGCAGCTGATCGGAGTGCGGGTGCACCAGAAGATTGAGGCGTTCGGAAAGTGGTACAGAATCTGGATCGGCCAGTTTCTTGTAGATCGACGATCGCGACCAAAAGCAGTGTCATCCGCTGAGTCGTGCGTCGTTTCAGTAGTATGCGTGGAAGTATGGCCACTGGTGGAAACGCGTGCGCGTTTAGGTAATCCCAAGGAATGGCTAGAGCGTCGAGACCCCAGGCCAGAGGGTCCGGAATCAGAGACACGAACAGAGGTAACTGGTGGTTGAAACGAGTGGCGAACAGATCCACTGTCGGAGTTGTCAATGGACAGCAGACGGTCTGGAACACATGTGGATGTAGTTTCCACGGGGAGGGGCGAAGTGGCCGGGACAGAGAATCCGCAATCACGTTCTTCACTCCTGGAATATGATTGGCTCGAACGGAGATGTCTAGATTGTCCACCAGCTGGAAGAGTTGAGGCGACCCCAGATGTCAATCCCATCCGGTTGATGTGCCACACTACCGCTGCATTGTCCGACCGGAACAAGAGAGAGGTGGATCGTAGAATCTCTTGCCAGTGAGTGATGGAAAGAATGACTGCCCTGAGCTCTAGAACGTTGATGTGGTAAGCGCGACCTGTGAGGGACCACCGCCCTGCACTTACTGATCGAGAAGGTGAGCACCCACTCATGTAGAGATGCGTCCACGTACAGGTGGTGCAGTCCGGGACGAGCGGCCTCAAGATGGGGATGGAGCGCCGGAGGTAACTTGATCAGGGAAAGCAGGTTGCCCACCCTGATGTGTGGAGCCAGGAATAACCGCAACGGTCGAAGTTGAAGCTGACCCCTGAGGGTCAACGCCTGAGCCGACGTCAAGAGACCCAGGAGCTCCTGCCAATGACGAAAAGTCCTGGGTTGAATTAAAGGGGAATTAATTGCCGGATCTTGTAGAAACGGTCCCTCGGCACAAACAGTCTGTTGAGCTCTGTGTCGAACACCGCCCCGATGAACTGCAGGTGGCGTGAAGGGACCAGCTCCGACTCCTCCATGTTGACCAGCCAACCTAACTGGCGAAGTAGCTGCATCGTGAACTCCATATGACGGTTATTCTTTTCTATGATATTGTGTACTATGTTCTTGTATACTATGGGCCTGTGGCCTTCAGTATGAATAAAGATTGATTGATTGAGTGCACGATCGGTCTGAGCCTGGATACAATCGTCGATGTAAGTCTCGAACAGTATCCCCTTACGATGAAGGAAGCTGGGCTTCGTCACCACGGAACCGAAGAAATTCCAAACGGCAGCACCCGCCACTGATAGTGGGTGCCCTCGAAGACGAAACGAAACTTGCGATGGTCCAGGGAAGATCGGGATGTGAAGGTACGTATCCTGAAGGTCTAGGCTGACCATGTAATCCTCTGGTTTGATGATAGTCTTGAGTAAAGCCACCGACACCATATGGAAATGAGGCAGTGGTTGTAGGAACATCTCGTTGAGGACCGTCATGTTGTAGATGAGTCTCAACTTCTTGGAATCCTTCTTCGAGACCAGAAATATTGGAGAGTAGAACCCCGGTCGGTCGCAGTCGACCCTAGGGATTCGATCGCAAGTTTCTGAAGAAGCGTAGTTATGGTGGATCGTAGCACAGTCAGTTGACGAACGGGTTATGTCCTGTGCTCCGGAAACAATGTGAGAGGAGGGTTGCCGATGACCGGAAGTTGAAATCCCTTGGACAGAGAGGATATAACGTAAGGGTCGTCCAAGATGGTCCAATTAAGGGCATAAGTGCCAAGTCTTCCGCCCACTGGGGAAGTCGTGATAGGCAGATTGGAGGCGGAAGGATCCAATTGTGCTCTGATATCATCAAGTCACTGCTTCTGGGTCCTCTGATTGGAGGACTGCTCGGAACCGGAAGCTGGTTGAGAAGCAGTGAACGATCGCGCTGACGGTTGGAACGTCCTATGTTCGAACCTCTTCCTCGAAAGGAAGTCCAAGATCCCAAACAAAGATCTGGACGGCATGTAGGTAGCTGGCCGCCGTTGACGCAATGCATCTTCTACTTACAATCGCTGAAACTTCAACAGCTCCACCGAGACTTGCAAATGAGCATCCTGCCCAACCTTAGCGGCTATATCCCTTATAACCCCGTTAAAGAGTGATCTAATGACCAAGGTTGACGGAACAGATCTGTCTGGAATCTATCCTCCCAAGAAGATAAGTGAAGCGGGCCCCTTCGCCGAACTGCCGTGAGGTAGGAGAAAAAATGGGCCAGCTGATCCAAGATGGTTTGGAACTGCTCCTGTAACAACACCATCGCAGCCCTAATATAGGCCTGTTGGGGAAGCGGCACTCTGAAAGTAAGCGCCGAATCGGGAGCAAGCGACGAATCGGGAGCAAAGATCATACTAACATACTAGCTCTGACAGTGAGCGCTAAACCGGGAGCAAGCAGCGCATTCAAGGTATTTGTCACATCAGAGGTAAACGGTGTACTGGAAGTCGACAGTGCTCCGTAAACAGGCGGGACGGCATACGAGGCAGAGGTAGAAAGCGCCTGCACTGGAGCTCAACATCATACTAGTAGGTATCACAGGAGGGTATGAAAGCGCCGAACTGGGACAAAGCGCCGAACTGGAGACAAGCGGCGCATGGGTAGAAAGCGTAGAGCCAATCACCATGCTGGAAAGCGCCGAACCGAACATATCCACCCGTGAGAGTGAATGCTGGGCATCAAACCAAGGGCGGCACTGGAAACATTCGGTGTAGGATCACCAAGGTTTTCTCAGCACCAGGGTAGACGGACAGGATTGGCCAGATGAAGTAGTCAAAACTACAACTCAAGGCAGCGAACAATCTGGAATCACAATAGGAGTGGATACTTGCGAACAAAATAATCGCCGGAGATCCTCACTCAAAAAGGAATCGGAAGCCTCTCATAGAAATTCTTCATTTGGCGACGGGGACTTAGACAGGCGAGCAGGTGTCTTGGTACGACGTTCAGCTCTCGATCGTTTAGCAGAGGAAGGACCCTCCGAAGGTTTACGGCGATCTCTGTCAGACAAACATCGAGAAGCCACCCAGCGATATTCCGAAAATGCATCATCATCAAGTGGAGCACAGTAAGTGCACCGGTGCGACCAATCGCAACATCCCAAACAATCCACACACAACTTATGTGGGTCCACAGCAGGAAAGTTACTGTTGCACTTGTCACAATGTTTGCCCTTAGTAGAATTACTGCGATGATCTACCCATCTTGAACACAATCAAAATCTTCACTAGAAATCAGCACACGTCCACACGACATTGCGACAAGAAAGAGGATGACAGGCACAGAGAGTCACGTGATCATCTGAGCGATCTGCACGCTTACTGAGATAATTGATAGGTATTGTTATCGGAGTGGGGGCACAGGTCAGGTGGGGCAGAGGCCAGGAAGTTTGATTCAACTTAGCCTACAGCACGTTTCCACACATGGTCGTAGAAGAAGAAGAGAGGTGCATACCGTGAGATAGGATAAGTTTAAAAATTAGTTATTTATCATGGGATCCACCAAAATCTATTACTATCATTAGTGTTTAAACAAAACCAACTGATTTTATTCTTAATCTTAATCACAACAAAGACTTATGCAAAGAATTCTCCATGCATCCCGTTTTCATATCAACTAGTCCGACTACAAGATAAATAATGTACAAACCTTCCTTCCCTGGGAGGACCTCGCCGCCGTCTCCAAGTCAGGTGACGTGGACTTTTCTCTCGTCCCTTCTCATCATATTCTGGACCCCCTCGTCTTAATTTTGGTAGCACTCTCTTAAAAGGGTTAAAACCTGGTGTTGGCTCATATCTGTGAAGTTCTCCCTGTCCCAGTAAACTTTTCTCTCCACATCCACAGAACGCACATAGATGCACAGGGCTACAAAACAATGTTGATCGATAAAAATCACGTGAAATTCTACACTGATTAGAAGCATTCAACACTCATTTGTTGGTTGATATTTTCCATCCCAATTTCCAGAAAGAATGGAGGCATATGGGAAATACTAAATTGATTACACCAATGAATTCAACACTTATTTGTTGTGCATATTTGTTTCAATTGGGCATTATAAGTTCAATCCCACTTCCCAGAGAGAACTGAAGGTGAGATCATCAGACACTTACCCTTGCTCGACAGGCTCGATTGCTGCTACTGCTGTGGCAGCACTGGTACTGGCACCTTCGGACAACCTCGCCTCAACACCACCTGGAAGGATAAAGCATGAATTGCACTCAATGCCTTTATCTTACTTCGAGATTTCAACATTTCTAGTTTACACATGCAGAGTTACAGCGCAGGCGCTGGTATCCATCAAGAAATTCCTCACCTTGCACCTGCACTGAAATGCTGTATTTAAAGAACAAAGAACTAAGGTCAATACTTCATCCAAATCTTCACAGAAAATACAGCAAATACAACATTCTGTTGTCAAGTAATAATGTATACATCCAAAAAATGAAGAAGTCTAATAATGCGGAGGATCCTCTCAATTGCACACAACTTTGTCAATTGACATTTAATACATTGTTGTGTTATCGTAATCAAAATATTTTGTTGGTGATTAAATTTTTCACTTTAAGGTCATTTAAATAAAAATTGATAAGAATCAAAAACAAAATTCTTTATGGAAAGACATGCAATCAGACATCAGACACAATCACAGATGACTTGACTCACCTGGCACTGAGGAGCCGACTGGTCGTGGTTCATCTCCAGTTTCTAACGTATCCATTCGATGAGATGACAGATTTCTTATTAAAGTTGAAGAAGGTCTTCCAATCCTCTCAGGAGAGTACTGAAGCTGTGAAGCTTGAGACTGGAGAGCCCGACGATAGCTCAGGCTGTGAACAGAGGAAGGTCGACCACGGCGACCAGTTCCTCTAGCACGGCTGGGCGAACATAATGAACAGTTGAATTAGTGGAGACAAGACGGAAGACAGAGATAATTTGAGGGATTTCCTTCAATCATATTATTGAGAAATGAGTGAACGTTGTTTCAAGTGGTCTCCAACAATTTCATCCATTTCCATCCAGATGTTAACTGGGCGATTCAATCGCTTCGAGTTGTCCAGTATCAAAATGAAGACAAACTGAGATAAAATATGAGGGACAAAAAGAGCATATGTTACTGGTTTGTGATGTTTTAGGGACAAGCTGACAATTCAGAATCAGAGGAATACAATTTTTTGGTGGTACTCACGAAGCTCTTTCAGCAGAAAATGACCGGGATCCTCTTCCCGCTCCAAAGACTCTTCCACGACCACTAGCATAGAAAATACTAACATTACCTCACAGTCAACAAAAACATGATCACAGCTCAAAATGTGAAGGGTCTATGGCACTGAAGGATATCATTACAAGTTATTATCCAATAGTTTCTGGAACTAAATTGAGCAATTACATGTGAACAAACACTGGATTGTCTCGACTGTAGGACTATATACGCAATTATCAGATTCACAAACCTTCGTTTTCTGGGTATTGGTGATTGACCATCTTTTCTCGGCCGACCAGGGCCTCTTTTAACTGGTTGTAGAACTGGAAAGGGGGGATAACCTCGTCCAGCGTGTTCAGGAGACAAAATAGCACTAGGATCTACTGCAGGTAAGTTCTGTACAGGTGAACTGGAGTCTAATTGACGTGAGTAAATGGATGGTGGTGGAGACGACTCATTAGCACTTTTACTTTCCAAAGGTGATGAAGCTGTAGCGTGTTGAGATTCTTCAAAGAGGTCAGTCGGAGAACCATCTGTGCATGATGATGCCAAAGACTCACCAAAATATGATGGATTGGTTTCATAAAGTTCTGTTTCTTGCCCCAGGGTATGAGATTCACTAAGTTGGGACTGTCCAGGGAATAGAGTTACATCCCCTTGGCCAGTTATCTGCTCTTGGTTCACATCTTCAGCAGTGTCAAGGGGTGGTTCTACCCCAGTTAAACCATCATCCCCTTGCAGATTTCCTGGGCTACCTGAGAAAATTAAAATTTCAAAATAAGTTTGACATGGTAACCTCTCCCTCTAAATATACTAACTAGAAACCATTAAATAAACAAAATCAATAATTCCTAGCTTCATCATCCAACAGAAACCTTGCTTGATTGATGGAACTACTTTGGGTTCGACATCAAATACTTGTCAAGTTCATAATCAGTCAAATTACATCAATCAATTCTTAACTATTACTGATTTTAGTATTTTCCAGCTATTTCCATAGTGGTGACAATCTTAGATCTAAATTCTACTGGTTGCTTAATTCTAACTGTGGCAATTCTGAAGGATGGATCAATACAATAAATAGACCAAAACTTAAAAATAACAGATAATGAAAAACAGCATTTTTCTCTACTATCAATAAAGGCTGTATAATCAATCCCTGTCTCATTATGTGACCGCTGTAGCAGATCATATAATCAAAGGTGCATTCTGGGAGCAGCATGTGGCATAGTGATAACCACAGGTAAACATAATTCCCCAAATATGTTACAGTAAACAATGTTTATTACAGCAATTGAATATCATTTATCTGAAGGTCAATCAAAATAAAACCTCACAGTAAAAGTGAGTGAGTTTAGTTTTACAACGCTTTTAGCAATATTCCGGCAATATCACAACAGTGGACACTACAAATGGGCTTCACACATTGTGCCTATGTGGGGAATCGAACCCGAAGTCTTCCACGTGACAAGCCAACACTTTAACCACTTGGCTACCCAACAGCTACCCCCTACCCCCACCCCCTAATTGTATGAAAGGCATTTAATGGAAACTAAGAAATAAGTGCCTTGTTCATATCGACACAAAAATATAACATCACTAGGACTATTTCTGGGACAAGTCTTAGACTTAGCGTTGAGTTATTAAAAAGAGCAAATATTTTACTATGTTTTCTAGTTTAACTTCCTCCTTCTTTGCCTTATTGAGAAAAAACTATATAATTAGATGATGAAATCAAACACTTGAACAATTGTACATTTTTTAGATTACTTTAGATTATTGGGGTCATTATAAGTGTTATAACACAGCTTTATTTTGCAATAGTGCAAATCTACACAATAATCGCAATAGTATCATGATGCATGAGCATAACATTTACTAGTTTACTATCCCTTTAAGGGCTGTAACTATTCACTAATACATACAATATCATCCATACTCAACGAGTCAAGTAGTGACAGTGGTTGAAATGTCAGTTTATAAAATCATAATCCACTATAACTTTTATTTCTTTACATCAATGACAGATGTCACATCTAAAATATTTAGGTCAACAATCCAGTGCTACAGCATTATCAATTGATCTACTGACTTATCTTTTGCATGCCATCAAGCATTACCCATTCTATTTCAGAAGACACAATATTGAAATAATTAACGAGCAGCAGGGTTAACAATGGCCTATTCAAGATATATTAATGAAAGGTCTTTCAAGGTCAAACTGCCCAAATGAAGTCTCTTTGAAATAGACTGACATATACTAAGCAGCAAAAGAAACGTCATTTTGGAATTTTCCTTCGCAGAAACGGATAACTGTAAACTCATTTAATGTTTTGATTGTATATTTTGACAACATCTCCAACTTTACCTGAGCAAAGACATTCCTTCCCAAACTCAGAATTGAACCCAGGAAATGGTCTCAAAAACGCAACCTGATCTCCGAGATGGTACGGTGTTCTCCATGTTTTTCATGCAACTCATGCTGCACAGCACGTGCAGCATGAGTTGCATGAAAAACATGGAGAACACAAGGACCAGCCCTATAAAATGCACCCCCAACCTGGTTGAAACATTCACATTACAACGTCAGCAGGATGCCGCGACTCACGACAGCTCAGAAGAACCAGGCGCTAGGAAGACTTGAAGCTGGCCACACTGCACAAGCTGTTGCCAATCACTTCCAGGTCAACGTTCGGACCATCTACAGGCTGCAGCACGTTTCTGGGCCAACACCACAAATGATCGCCCCCGTACTGGCAGACCAAGGGTGACCACAAGCCGACAAGACCGCCATGTTGTGCGACAGCATGTACAGAATCCCTTCATGCAGGCATCTGAAACAGCACGCCAGACAGTGGGAACACACGGAACACCAATCAGTACTGATACAGTACGCCGACGTCTTAACAGCGAGAACCTCCATTGCCGTAGACCTTACTGTGGACCTATCCTCACCCCTCGTCATCGGCGTGAACGTCTACAGTTTGCCCTACAACACCAAAACTGGCGATACAGGCAATGGAGAACTGTTCTGTTCACAGATGAGAGTCGGTACTGCGTATCAACTGCAGATGGCAGAACAAGAATATGGCGACGACGTGGCCAGCGTTACTCAGACCAATGTGTTATGGAAGGAGACTCATGGAGGGGTGCAAGCATCATAGTATGGGGTGGAATAGGCCTGAACTAGAGAGTGGGTCCTGTGGTGTTCCAGAACCTTGGTCCAGGGAGAGGAGGTGGCATCACAGCGGTGCACTACATCGACCAAGCTCTCAGACCCCACGTCATACCACATTTCGCACGCCACCGGAACAACATTTTCCAGCATAACGCCCGGGCCCATACTGCCAGAGCTACACAGGACTTCCTACAGCAAAAAGGTGTCAAAATTATGCAGTGGCCAGCCCTTAGTCCTGATTTAAACCCAATTGAACATCTTCGGGATGAAATTCAGAGGAGACTGAATAATGTCATACCAAGGCCGAACACAGCCGATTTATTGCGCCAGGCCTTTCTCAGAGTGTGCTTCAAGGTGCCAATGACCTTCATCAATCGATTGGTGCACTCCATGCATCGACGCTGTGCTGCAGTTATTGCCGCTAGTGGTGGTCACACTAGATACTGAAGTCAAGGGTCTGTATGGACTGCAAATGTTCACGTAATGTCTTGACATTGTGCTGAGTTATTCATTGATGTGTTCAAGATATTGTACACAAACAATGTTTTTGATCCACTTATTATGTCCATTTCTGTAATGATTTGATTACAGTTCCTATCTAGTTTTGAATTCGTACTGACTTTTGTTTTGCTGCTGAGCATAGTTAAGACACTACCAAGGCCAGACTGCCAATTTCAAGGACCTTTCCAGCCTGTTCGAACTTTGTGTTAATTATTGATATCTCAACGTTTGATAGTTTCATTATTCTCATACGCTTGATCCATCCATAGTTTCATTATTTTCAATGTCAGCTCTATCTAGATTTATATTTTGTGTACTGATACACTATATCTTTGACACACTGAATCAGTACATTAACACTTATCTCCTTTTCAATGTCAGCTCTTATCTAGAGTGGTAAATGTGGGGCCACAAATATCCCTCATCTGATAAAAATTTCCAACGTTTATATTTATCTTGTCCGTTGTCAACTTATCTCCGTCAAGAAGTTTACAGCATACGGAAATTATACCTTTGCGCCATCGCTTGAAACAACGTTGATTGCACAACTAAATCTGATTGTCTCCAATCACGAGTCTTGAACGCTCACACCATGAAAGGGCCGTATTAGAACAGAGGTTTCGTAGGAAGATATGACAGGAGTAACCTCTGTGGGAAGAGAATGGAGTGGTACTTAATGATACAAATTTCCAACCATATTTATCAGGCTACCCTTATCTCCAAAACCACAGCATACACATTATACCTAGCCATGTTTGTTAAGATCTGATGCAGGAACCCTATATGAAAGTGTATTATCTGCTTTTCCTGTGGTGTGGTGTGATGTACAGTGTCCTTACATGTGTCCTAAAAATGAACTACATCATATAGATTAAATCATGCTTATGTTTCATTGACATTTACCAGTTGTGCTTTAACAGTTAAGTTCTAGAACCAACTTATTCCTCAATACAGACATATTGATTCATGTTGTGATGTGAACTATATCTACTATCAAAATATACCTTGTTTCAATAACTTTGATGGGTCATCAATAATATCCCAACCTAGTATTACTAACACCTATGACCCATGAAGATCTGGGGTAGAATAGGTCTTCAGCAACCCATGCTTGCCACAAAAGGCGACTATGCTTGTCGTAAGAGGTGACTAACGGGAGCGGGTGGTCAGACTCGCTGACTTGGTTGACACATGTGATTGTCTGGTCCAGACTCGATTATTTACAGACCGCCACCATATAGCTGGAATATTGCTGAGTGCGGCGTAAAACTAAACTCACTCACTAACACCTATAGTGTTGGACCGCCATATTACAAAGGAATACATAGCACAGAAATTGTATAGAAAGACCACTTCTTTGGTACAGGCTCCAAGTTCTGTTGTAACTCTGCTTCACTACTCACTGTGAATATGCCAAGCTAATATTTACATAGTTGGACTGCCATAAAACATAGGAATAAAGGTCCTGGCCACAACGCTGAACAGTACAAAATATTTTTTAGGTACAGACCCCTAGTTTTGCAAGTGCTGCATAGCTACTCACTTGCCATTCTGGTTTCTTCAATTTTATTTGATTTTATTGGCAGAATACCAGCTTATAGTAACAGCTACCTGTGCAGATAAGCTGCATTAGGTTTATAATTGTGAACCATTTGAAAAACGAAACCAGAAAGCCACTGTCATAATGGCTAATAGCTGTCTCATCTCGCCAAACATGTTTAACTAGAAATGGCAAGTCTTTATGCATGATCAACTTCTTTATTGTACAATAGCGCCATTTCTGTATATATACTGTTTTCAAGCATGTTGAAACCAAGCAATTACATCACTTCACCATAATCAAATATGAGCACAAACTTTCTAAATGTCTTGAAAAGATTACTTTTGGTCCTAACTTACTTCTATGGGCTGAAATTATTAAAAATTATTACACAGAAATTTCTTTGATTAGGTTAACATAAATAGTTAACAATTCAATTAGTGATGACAATGACGATGTGAACAATGACTCATAAACATTTTTCCTGTTACGATTCACTCAAATATACAGTGAATCGAACCGTATCACTTCATGAATTCAATTCATATTCATGGTCACTAGTATCGAATATTTACAAATATGTATAAAAGAGCAGGGATTGAGATAGAGAACTTTGACAATGAGCCATTTTCAGGATTATTAGCCATTTTCTGAATTTAGAATGGGCCACTGTCCTTGTATCAATAGTAAACTTCAAAATGTTAATGGGCCATTTTTTATTCTAATGTGCAAAATGGCCCATGCCTTTCCCAATCCCTGAAAGAGTGTTTTACTTCCTAGGTTTTACTGTTTGTACTTTACAAACTGGTTTCTTGTTTATCTAAGTGAATGGAATGCAAAATGGAAGATATGCATGCCATGCTGTAGGGTAACTTGTGCTATTTTGAAGTGGGCCCCTCATGGCACTGATGCAGCATTGTTCACCATGTATGCCTTTTTTATTTTACAAAACATATCATGTAAATGTTTCAACTCAAGCAATTACATGACATGGGTTAATCTAATTCCTTGATATTAACGATAAAAGTATTCATGAATAATTATTTGTATTCGGTACTATATATTCATAAAAATATTGTATTTGCCTCAAAGTAAATTCGTTGCAGCCGTAATAAACATCTATGCATCACATGGTGTATGTCTAGATATCTTGAGGCTGAGTGATATCTTTTCAGTATGTTGATACCTCAACCTATCTGATATGAGCTAGGCTAAATGTTTTACAAATACTCAGTTTTATACTAGTGACTGAATAGATGTAATACCCTGAAAAGTCCATTGAAACATTATCTCTACAAAAATATCAAAAGTGATGTATAAATATTTTTGCAAGCTTCATTTTACATCAACATCTCCATCAATTTAAAGAACAGATTTTTTTCCCTAATGAATTTCAGTTACTATCAATACCTATCATCTCTTTACAATTGTGATAAAATTATATGAAAAATATAATCTAACTTGAGAGTTGTCTCCCATTGTTGGCCATGAATGCAGAACAGTTCTAAAGGATAGCTTATCATCATCAATAAGTTACATGTTTACATATAATCAAACATCTATTTATTGTATATATTGCCCTAGACACCTATAGTTTAGTACAAGTTGTCCACAATTCATTTTGGACAACAAGTTTTACTGCTTGCCCTAACATTTTATTACTAGTTTTAAGACAAGCAGAATCATGATCATGTCTTACCCTTGTCACAAAAAATTGTACCATGAAACAAAATCAAATAAAATGAAATTTAGGACTACACATATGATAAAAACACATAATTTTCAAGGAAACTACATTCAACACGGTCAAAATAAAATATATGCATAAATACTAACTGTAATTGAAAACAAAAAATGCATAGACATACATCAGATATATTTCAAAACATTTGTTTACATTCTGTTTACAAAATAACTACTATATGAGTATATGGTAAGTTTGTGTTAATCTAAAGCATCAGCAGAAAATGTTAGGTGCATACTGCACAGCTACAATCAGCTACTGACAACATGAAAGTGCACTGGTTAATGTTATAATCCGACAATATAAATTGCAAAATGCAATATACCAAAATGCATCACCTGAAGTACCATGACAAAAAGACATGTACAGTAGATTCCACACTACTAGAAACAGTTCACATTACTGACCATGATGAAAAGTTACTTTTATTTGAAAACATCTGACAATGTGTATTTCAAAATACTCAACATTTAATTAACCATAATGCCTCATAGTCATAGTAAGATACCACAAAGACTTTCATCCATACTTCATTTGTTCAAAGAAAAAAGAAATTCTCTGTCTCAACAGTATTACTACAAAAGTTATGATTACTTTAAATGAATGAGCATGGAAAACATGAATTGCCATTCAAAATTATCTACCGGTATACTGATTGCCTTTTACTAACAAATTTTTAACACTGACTATTTATTTAAATTGCATGCAACATACATAGAAGTGCATAATGCTTACACTTACTTCATACTTTGATGTACTCCAGAATATTGAAGGTGGAACATCAAATAACAATTATGTAAAGTTGAAACTTACTTATTTCACCGAAGGATCTTAAGAAATTATATTGAGTACAAAAATACACTATTCACATTCAAGTGCAAGAAATGTGCATGGTCAAGAATGCGCTTTAAAAGATGAAATAGTGATGTGCAAACAATCAGAGACCCATCCAGACACAAATTACCTGCTCAAATCTGCATGTTTTGGGGTGGGGGCGGGACCTGCTCTTTCAGTGTTTGGGGAAAGCACCGCTGCTGTATGAATTATTCAGTGAAATTACAACCATTTTATGTTAGAAAGTGATGGCCACACTCTACTCCAAACTCATTTCTGTGTTTATTCAACCTAATGGATCTATATCATGTTGATTGAGTACTGTCAACACAATTATAAGCCACTCTCTCTTACCGTCCATTAAGATCCAAGATCGAAGGGCTAAAATCAGAAGATGCACAGATCTGCATTTTTGAAGTCATGTGGATGGCTTTCCATCTGGAAATTCAAAGTTGTAGTCAGAGGACATGTAGCATAGAGTCGACACTTAGTCAATGGGCAACGTGAGTACAGAAGAGACTACCGCCAGCCCGGGACGATGCAAGTCTCTAGCCCGGCCGGTATAGAGGGTAAAAACACCTACGATAGAAAAACAAGCAAATAATGAAGATGAGAGACAGTGATAAACAAGCAAGAGCATTCATAATTGAACGAAACGGCAGACTGGAAGAAGATTGCTACGAAACAAAAATCTAGGCTAATTGGCCTTCGCAATCAGGCATCGGCCTCTTCATCATTGTCTGAGAAATTCACAACACAGTAGCAAATGTGAACAAGCTCGATGCATAAAATTAAGGGGTCCCACTTACCTTAAGCAAGTCCTTGCGTGTGAACACAATAATCCTTATATAAGAGCAATAATGCAATTTCTAGTGTATGTAATATCTATCTGGAAAGAGAGTAAATTGTCTTATTAATCCTAACAGTGAGCGTGACCCATAGAATGAACTCTCCTTCCAGCATCAGCCATCTTGGATTGATGCTATCGGTATCCCAGCGCACAAGAAATAGTTCCCTAGTTCAGTACATTATTATCACCCCAGTCATTACACTTCCGAATACGTTTATGACGATAGAGCTCAAACGATTGATGTAGTCTCGCCGATTATTAAAGTTGTTGCATAAACGATAGTGCATGGAATAGGGCAGTACATTGTTAGCGGAGGAATACCTCAAGGTGCTTGGAAAACGATGAGGGGGATTCCGTCACAGTAATCAAAATGTACCGGCTTAGAACAACGTGCAGGTTAATTGGGTTGACGCTTTGCAAAAAAATAAATTGTTTTCTTTGCGAAATTATCGTCCGTACCTAGAACTGATTTGCACATGCTGAATATCATTAACTACAGCTAAATGCGAAATTACATGTGCGAGGGCTCGTGTACGGTCTTGTTCAAATGTGACCTATTTTCACAGTCTTCAGGGAGAAGTCATTTCAGATATCAGATCCCGCGGAAGTAAATCGCTATGTTCTGTATAGATACTGTACATGTGTTTATTCCGAGGGCTCATTTTCCACGAATAAAATAAATGTACTTCGTCTGCATGTCCAGTAATTTGTTGGTCGTAATTGGAACATTTCTTTCCGCAATAAAGGAATGGAATATAGGGAGCATGAATGTACACCAAAGACCATTGCCTTGACCAGACAATCAGGACGATGTGTGCTATGTCAGCGTGTTACTATTATTTTTCCGACGAAACATGCACAGCAGTAAATCTTCAGCCTTCAGAAAGAATGCCTCTGAGTTTTGCTTTTGTTGTTGAAACGTTGAATGTCAAGAAGAGCGTGACAATGAGAGAAAACCACACAGAATTATTATTCATCCTGAGTTGTTGATCAACTGTTGAGTGAGCCGTACAGTAAATAGTAGACCAGGGACAGTGCAAAAGTCCTAGTATGATACAGAACGAATGATACAAGTCCATGTTTAGTGGGGAAAATATACCCATCAGTGTCAAATATATAGTTATGCTGCAACTTCATGTAGGCTACTGGTGAACCTCCAAAACCAATTTGTCCAACCCTTACCATGGATACTCCAGTATGAGATGGTATGCTACAACGGTTTATGAGGACTGATTCTCCTATTATCGATGTCAACAGTTTTATGTGTACACAATGCAATGAGAAAACTATTAACCAGTGTTATACAGTTCTGTGTCCTAATAAGCTACCTATCCACATAGTCGAAATACCAGTAGTTAAAGTACAAAAGAACCCCCCTTAGAAATGCTTCCCTCAAATGCAATGTTTTAAGTGAAACCTGCAAAAGTACATGAATTGTAACAAATAGACAACCGGTGGTTATTCAGGTCTGACAATGTTTGATGCAAAAGTCTATTTAAGATCACTGTCTTCAAATAATATTGACTTCACTCATTGTATCAGTTCTAAATCAAATCAGGATATGAAGGTCGTGTTATTTAAACACTACTGCAAATGGTTCTGTATAAACCATTGATCCAACTTTGTGGTACTAAAAAACAGTGCTTTGTCATTTAGAATATGTGTGTGTCAAAATAGCAATAAACTGACAAGAGTGTCGCCCAGTATTTTACCTCTAAACAAATTGGTAATACAAACATGACTATAACACTGAAAATATTCCCAAGGCTGAAGCGCTCTTTCTGTGAAGTGTTTTTTAGTATTTTGTCAAGAAGAGTACCAGGGTTTGACACATCCTCTTGACCAAGATGGAGGAGAAAGAAGAAACCTTTCTTCCAGAATGTAGCAATATGTAGGATCCAATCACTTCTTTATGTACCAGACTCTCTTGTATGGAACCTTAGTCTGTTCTGCCTCAATTCCTTTAATTGTTAACATTTTCTGAATGCGAACCATACTTCTACTTGAAACAAATGTTACCACAAAAATATCTCTAAGAAGTGCTGGAAAGTGGCCCACTAATCTCAGGTGCAGAATGAACCAAATGAGTAAATGTAAGAATACTAAATGCACCATGTTACTTTCTTAATATGGAAATCATTCTCCGTGTAAACCAGCTCTATGGTCAAGTGGAGAGAGTCCCCTCAGTTCAATCCCCAGTCACATCATACAAAAATAAAAGACAATACATGTACATGTTTGTATTTGTTGTTTCCATGGCTTAACACGTTAAGGGGATGAAACATGGACTGGGGTGTTGGTATCAGTGTTCTACATTGGAGTGGGGCATCCATGTTAGATGGTAGCATAGCATCTCAGTTGGCTAGCACTATGAAACTGGCATTAGCCAAGACTAGTACAAGCACCATCACACATGCACATGCATGCACTAATGCAATAATCTTGAATGCAAATCCCCACCCCATTTCACATCACCTCTCCTAGCATAGCTTGTCATTGCATGTTGCTTTGTTATTTTGTTCTGGCTATATCATGTAAGTATTAAATTGAATCTGTGCCATGTGCAGTCATTCATCTTTAATCTATCGCTGATGACCTCTTTCTCATAGACTTGATTATTCAGAGACAATTGATGAGCGTGTTTGATTGTTGATTATGGAGCTCAGGTGGCACAGTATCTAATCCATCAAGATCTGCAGAGGAGTTCTGAACCGTTCGTGGTGCTGGAATCTGGATTCAAACCCAAAGATCCTGATTCTTTCATTGTTGGCATCAAACCCCTTTCCCTGAATTTCAGCAGTGGTAATTGTAAGTTGTGCCACTTCAGGCTTTCTTTTTGTATTAGTGAAAATAATAATTTATTTATATAGCACCTAATATCCACAGTAGAGATGGTGAGTGGCGCTGTGATAATATTGGGGAAGGAAATAGTTCATATGGTTTACAGAAAAGCAGCAGTGAACAGATGGGTTTTTAGCAGAGATTTAAAAGTTTCTTTCGATGAAGTGTTCCAGATTTCCTTTGGAAGAGATTTCCACAGTTGAGGGCTGGCAAAGGAGAAGGCTCGGGCAGACAGTTAGTATTGTTTCAAGATAATCAGGGATTTATCTAGGATTAAAATAGAAGTTCCCTTGGTAGGCAAATTGTTATTTTTACATTTTTGTTATAAAATTAGGTTTGTGTTCATATTTTCACAAAGTCAGCAGCATTTTAACATGAAACATAAAACAAACTCACTCTTCCTCTTTATTGGACATGTTATGAGTGAAGTGGAAGTGACCTCAACAAACTGGACCACAAGTTATATTTATATTTGTTTGAATTGGGAAATTGTAATTCCAATTTCATAATGTTTACTGCTATTTGCCTCTGATTTGAAGATGAATATTGAATGTGGTACAGGTCTAAAGAAATGCCAGTATTGTTCACAAAATAATTTTGGTAATTTTGACACTTTCAGAATTGTTTCGATTCTGTAAATTATCAGTTTTATTACAAAATGGCAGATCAAGGGAAAGTGGATACACAATCACCACAAGGTCTACATTGTTAATGCAGAATCTGAGTCAAGCTTGGTGTACTTGGCTCTTATGTTGCCCTTGAATCCCAGTCGGAGTCAAGCATGGTGCACTTGGGACTTGAGTTGCCATTGAATCCCAACACTGAGTCAAGCATGGTGTACCTAGCTCGTATGTTGCCCTTGAATCCCTACACAAAGACCAGTATTGTGTCCTTGGTACTTACATTGCCCTTGAATCCCTAATCAGAAAGAAAGCCCGGTGTACTCAGCATTTATGTTGCCCTTGAATGCCATTAAAGGAGATCTATTTTGGCAATGAATCCCATTGTGTTAGAAATCCCATTGTGTTAGATGCCAGGGCCAGGTATAATGGCCTGGAGTGTGAATGACTTTGAATTATAGAGGGTTGTTTTTGATACCTGTAATTCAACATTATTTCAATATTATTGCATGGGTGGATGAATAGTTTTGAGACTGCCAAAAAGGAATGCATTGATAGAGTTAGTTGCTAAATACGTTCAACGTAATCATCACTGGTCCACACACTTCCACCAGCATTCTGGAGTGCCTGGATTCCTCATTTGTAGAATGGTTCCATCTGGTGGTTTAACAAGTCCTCGACAGAAAGGATTACATCGTCATTTGCATAATGCTTGCCAGACAGTTGTTTCTTCAAGATTAGGAAGAGATGGAAAGCTACAGATATCTACAACTAAATAAATACAGAGAATGTACAGTGGGTTCAAACCCACAGTAATGCATTGACACACTGGCGACAACCGCCATAATGAAACACCACATCTGTAGTATGTTTTCAACAAGGAAAACTCTCGATATTTTCACTGTTTCACAATTAGGTTAGCATTTTATTGGGCATTACTGGTCTGACCTTTGGGGTCTAGTCATGTGGAACTCTTGTGTTGCCCTAGAAGCCCAACGCCGGATCAAAACAACATACATTCTCACAAAAGATAATGAATCTGAAGTGTTTCTGAACATGATTAGGTGTCGGAAGCCTCAACACCCAGTGGGATGCACATTTGTCACGCCTAGTTCAATCCTTAGAATGTTCTGGACATTGTCATGAAAGAGGCCTACCATATTGGTTATATTACGTGCGGTGAGTTGTCTGTCATTCATTGTCATATCACATACTGTGTCAACATTTAGTTTAGGTCTGCTTCATCTTGGATCATCGCTGTCAGTTGGATGTAACCCTTGCACTTAACTGGGTTGTACCCAGTTGTGTCCATTTTCATCAACAGAGAATACCAAGTCTCCTTGATGCTTGCAAACCTCTGTTGCCTGATTATGTATTAGGTTAAGGATAAACCGTGAGCATGGATGATATTAAACTTGGCACATTCCAACTTTTAGGGTACATCCTTCAGCATTATACTCGGAAGTTTTCCATTCATCACCCTTACCATCATATGTCCTTTGCCTTTACAGCGCTAATGGGAATGTTTATTGCTGTGGCTACGATGTGCTGATACCCGTGAAGGTCCGGGTTAGAATATTGATCTTCAGTAACCCATGCTTGTCGTAGGAGGCGACTAACGGGAATGGGTGGTCAGGCTCGTTGACTTGGTTGACACATGTCATC